TATTCAAGTGTTCCATGGCGAGGGGTGAAATTCATTGGTAATTGTAGTTCTCTGGGTGTGGTCGTGGTTTCCTTTGCTACCAATGCAAAAGTCAAGGTAGTGTTCTAGGGGGATCTAAGGGTGCAATAAAGGTATCTTTATTCAGGGGGAACTATGCTACAGAACTAGATAGAAAAGTAGACCTATTTATACTAGTTAATGTCCTGTTGCAAGGAATGCTCTAGAAATATGGGCGAAATACTATGTTGCACAAAATTATTATAGTGATTTCGCTTGCAATTTGCGCCTCTTGCCTGCCTCTCTCTTGCCTCTTCCATGGCTTCCTTTGCCAACGTAAGCGCCGCGCTTTGGGACTCCAAAAATTCTTTCACACTAGGGGTTGATGATGTGTGGATGGTAGTTGTAGAAGAGATGCTGGGACACGCGGGTTAAATCCAGCATTCAAGAAAAAAGGTGAAAATCCAGTTGACGCGTTAACCGAGTTGTTGTAGGCAAATTCAGCAGCGGAAAGCAATAGGTCCCAATTGGTTTGTCGTTGATCTACAAACGCACGAAGGATTGTTTCCAATGTCTGGTTGGCGCGTTCGGTCTGGCCATCTGTCTGCGGATGAAATGCTGTGGACAAGGCGAGTTTGCAGCCCATGAGCCGATGGAGTTCTTGCCAGAACTTGCTAGTGAATTTTGTATCACGGTCCGAGACGATGGCTGTAGGCATGCCGTGAAGCCTGAACACGTTGTCAAAGAAGAACCTAGCCACATTTGAAGCCTTGTCTTTGGTGGTGCTAGGCACAAAATGCACCTGCTTGGAGAATTTATCAACAAATACTGTGATGGCGTCGAAACCTCTAGGAGTCTTGGGAAGCTTGACAATAAAATCCATCGTCACAGTACTCCAGCGTTCTTTGGGGATCGCGAGGGGATGGAGCAGGCCTGCAGGGCGTTGTCGGCTAGGCTTGTTGCGTTGGCAGCTTTCACAGGTTTGGATATAATTGCGAGTATCGCGAGCAATCCTGGGCCAGAATACATAACGACGAAGGATATCATAGGTCTTATCGAATCCGAGATGTCCGGCTATAGCGGAGTCGTGAGCGTCGTGGAGAAGGGTAAGACGAATATCAGACTTCTGCGGAATACAGACTAGGTTTGTTCCGCGACGCCAAACATATAAAAGTCCATCATGTAACGAGTAGCGAGGCGGAGGACATTTCTCAAGGCAGAATTTATAGATCATGGAGAGCTTTGGATCATCAGCGTAACTCTCAATCAGGCGCTGCTTCAGGTTCGGTTCTAGTTCGACCACAAGTGAGTTGACGGCGACAGATTGTAGATGCAAAAGTCATGGTAGTGTTCCAGGGGGATCTAAAGGTGCAATAAAGGTATCTTTATTCAGGGGAACTATGCTACAGAACTAGATAGAAAAGTAGACCTATTTATACTAGTTAATGTCCTGTTGCAAGGAATGCTCTAGAAATATGGGCGAAATACTATGTTGCACAAAATTATTATAGTGATTTCACTTGCATCCTTCCCGTCATGAAGAAACCTATTATCTTGTTTTTCTTGAAGCCTCAAAGACGGCAAGCGCCTCTTTAGCGTTTGCGAGCGAAGATTTTGTTTCCTAAGTAGCTTCATCTAATGGATAGCCTTTCCAAAGAACGAGCCACTTAGGAGTTTTGCCAAACATTTTGAAGTCAATGATTTTGTCGACTTCATACTCCTCTTCTCCATCTACAAGCTCGGGGGCAGGGCGTGGTGATGAGCGGTCGCCGAATTCACGAGATGACTCAATATAGGGGCGAAGCAGATCGGCATTAAAGACTGGATGCTGATGCATGTCAGGCGGTAGTTCCAGCTTGTAGACATTTCATTGACCTTCGAAATGATCTTGTAAGGGCCTATGTACTCAGGTTCCAGTTTCTGCGACGGCCTATTTTTATGTCCCACGACAGAGATGTTTTCCGAGCTTAAGAGCACCATGTCACCCACAGCAAACGTAGCAGGCCTGCGAGTTTTGTCCGCTTGGGCCTTTTGCCTATTCTGCGCTTCGATGATGGCATCCTGAGCTAGCGCCAAATTCATCGACTGGGTTCGAACAAAATCACTGACAGCCGGAACATTGGTATCAGGTGGCTTTAAAAGAGATCCAGGGACTAGTGGATGGTGACCATAGTTCAGAAAGAATGGGGAGAAGCCTGTCGTAGGATTGACAGAGTTGTTGTATGCGAACTCCATCATAGGCAGTAAAAGATCCCAGTCGTTTTGCTTGTACGATATGTAAGAGCGGAGCATTTCTTCTAATGTTCTGTTGGCGCGCTCTGTTTGTCCGTCTGATTGTGGATGGAAGGCAGTAGACATGTTAAGTTTGGTGCCCATGAGCTTCATCAACGTTGTCCAGAACTTGCCGGTGAATCGTGAATCTCTGTCTGACACAATTGTCCGAGGCATGCCGTGCAGTCTAAAAACATTGTCGAAAAAGAGTCGTGCAACATCAGAGGCAGTGTCGGTAGTTCGGCTAGCGCAGAAATGAACTTGCTTGGACAGTTTGTCCACAAAGACCGTAATCGCGTCAAAACCTCTGGCTGTCTTCGGAAGCTTGACAATGAAGTCCATTGTTACAGTATCCCATCGTTGGCTTGGAATTGCCAAAGGTTGGAAAAGCCCTGCAGGAGGCTTTAGTGAAGGCTTGTTACGCTGGCATTGCTCACAGGAAGCAATGTATTTTTTTATATCCCTCGCCATGCGTGGCCAAAAATATGTTCGTCGCATGCTACTGTACGTTTTATCGAATCCCAAGTGGCCTGATATAGGAGCGTCGTGAGCGTCATGCAAGAGTTGTGAACGGAGTCCGTCGTCCTTGGGTATGCAGAGGCGAGGGCCTTGTCCAGCGTTGATCCAGAGTAGACCATCCACCACGAAGTAACGATCCGAGGTAGAGGCATCCTTATACTGATGCACGAGGGGACCTAGAATTGGATCGTGTAGGTAGCAACTGGCTAGTTGTTTTCGAATGCCAGGGTCTAGATTGATATCCAAGGAGTTCAAAGTAGTAGGTGTAGCCTCCAAGTCCTTGAGGTCCGGTCTTCGTGAAAGAGCATCAGGGACGACGTTATCTTTACCAGGTTTATACTTGAATACGAAATCATACTCTTGAAGCAACTCCATCCATCTTGCTTGTCTGCGAGTCAAGTTCGGCTGGCTAGGAAAATGTTGTAGAGTGGCATGGTCGGTATAAACGACAAAGTGAGAACCGTCAAGGTAGTATCGCCATGTCTTCAGAGCATGCACCACAGCCAGCAGTTCTTGTTCGTGTGTAGGATAGTTGCGTTCCGCTGGGTTGAGCTTGCGTGAAGTAAAAGCTACTGGTCGTGATTTACCATTTTGGTCCGTCTGGAACAGGACAGCACCAATTGCAAAGCCTGAAGCGTCTGTTTCGACTGCTGTAGAGAGGGCAGGATCGAATATCCTAAGAACTGGTGCTGAGCTCACTGCTCTTTTCAAAGTCTCAAAGGCGTCTTGTTGAGATTTTCCCCAGTGGAATTCCTTATTGGAGCTTAACAATTGTGTGAGGGGAAGAGCAATATCAGCGTAATGAGAAATGTACTGATGGTAAAAATTAGTCAAACCAAGGAATTGCATCACATGTCGTTGGGTTGTTGGTACTGGCCATTCCCTTATTGCCTTGACAAGTCCGCCATTCGTCTTGAGTCCATCCTTGGAGATGACATGGCCTAGGAACTCAGTCTCTTCCTGCATGAAGGAACACTTGGATAATTTACAATAAAGCCCAGCTTGACGCAAGAGGGAGAGTACTTGTCGGATGTGCCCTAAGTGATCTTTCTCGTTATCGGAGTAAATTAAAATATCATCGAGATACACAACAACACATTTATCAAGAAGTGGATCAAGTACGTTACGCATCATAGTTGAGAACGCTGCAGGTGCATTTGTAAGACCGAAAGGTACGACGTTAAACTCGTAGTGACCATAGCGAGTTCGGAACGCGGTCTTGTGTTTATCATCAGGATGGACACGCATCTGATGATAGCCCGAGAGTAGATCCAGCTTGGTAAAACATTTAGCTGTTCTGAATCTGTCGATCAATTCATCGATCCGTGGTAGGGGGTACCTGTTTTTCTTTGTGATCTTGTTCAGGCCCCGATAATCAACACACATTCGAAGCGAGCCATCCTTTCTCTTCACAAAGAGGACTGGAGCACCGTATGGTGAGGTGCTCAGTGAAATTAATCCTTTTTGTAAAAGATCAGTTAGCTGCTTCTTCAGTTGATCAAGCTCAGCGATCGACAATTTGATGACAGGTCGGACAGGTGGGTCAGCATAAGGGTCAGTCTCTATACGCATGCTATCACCTCTGTCAGGGGGAAGGCCATCGGGAAGCGTTGTAGGAAAGACATCAGGAAATTCGACTTTAACGATTTGCTTGATAGAGTCCGGTAGTTCAGAACTACTGCTAGAGACAGGTACTGGGACTCGAACTTGGGCGAGGAATACAGAGGCATCAGGTTCCGAGGCAACGGTAAGGAAGTTAAGAGCAGATATGACGGAAGATCGCTGTCTAGGCTTCCTGTCGATGCCAGTGCAAGGCCACAAGACCGGGGTACCTTGGTATTCAAAATGCAGATCATCCCAATTCAGCTTACGCGAGGGCAAAAAAACAAGGAAAAGCGGTAGAAACGCCCCATTACCTCCTCGCTTATGAACATTTCAAGGCCACCACTGAACTTTCCTCAATAAAGGAAATAGACATCACATTGGGGGACGTGCAAGGCTTTGATCCCAAAAAGATCTCATTTCCAAGAGCGTCAGAGCTACTAATGGACCAAGTACAAACATCATTGAGGCAGCACTACAGGAACGCAATGGTATAGCTTGTGTAAGGTACTTTCGTGCATATTCTGCAATCAAATGCTCCTTATTCAGACTCTTTTTTTTTTTTTTTCTTTTTTTTTTTTTAGTTCATTGTCGATAAAATTAATGAAGATATAAGCGACGTTGAGTTTTTTTTGCGGGAGAACAAAAAAGCGAAAAAATACTCAGGCTTTCCTACGTCCTCCTGGTCACTCGGGTATGTGTATCTGTCTGAACACGCCCTAGTTGACATCTGGGCGGACGAAGATACCAAGCAGCTACTGGAGCGTATTCTGCCTCTCGACAATCCTTCCAAGACTGCAGTGTTTGAGTGTGTACAGGGAACAAAAGGGGTTTTGATTCAGGCTCTCTTTTGTGACATTGGAGGCGATCGCATGGTTCTTGGATATCGAGACAAAGTATCCCTGCAGTCACAGGACAAAGATCTAACTCGGTTCAAACTCAAAGGTACGATTTCTACCAACGGTCTAGTTCTGAATCTACTTGCCTATGACACAACCCAGGCGAAGAGACAGCAGCAGTCTGACGTAGATGAAGAAGACCCCAGCCAAGAACTGGAGCTTTCTCAGGGATTTCTCAACACGACGTGTTCAAAGGCAGTCGGTGAAGACCTGATAGATGAAGACTATGCAAACATAAACTGGAAGAGGAGCTCCAAACTGCTTGAAAACGTTGAGCTCACATTCAACAAACCAGGGCGGTGCCCATCCGCAAACACCACAACTATCGTCGGATGCGATCCTGGTATTGTTAGCGCCCTTACGTTTTCCTCCCTGGATCCTCACAACCCTAACTTGCGGCAAACCGTAAAGGTGGGAAGCAGGTTCTTGTACCTCCCTGTCCTCCGCTTCAATCACCTGTTGAACAAAAGGAAGCGTGAAAAAGGAATGATTGAGGTTGAGAGCACCATCCCTGTGTTTGGAAGGGATACGTACAATGAGTACTTTCAATGGATGAACGAGGAGTCCCAGACACAGATAGGATCAAAGAATTTGGATGTGCTTCAAGAGTTCTACGAGTCCAGATGGCACCTGAAAAAAAAATGGGACCTACGAAAGGTTCAACGAGCTATGTTCGACTACGCAGTACAGCGAGTGTTGCAAGCGAAATTACTATAATAATTTTGTACAACATAGTATTTCGCCCATATTTCTAGAGCATTCCTTGCAACAGGACATTAACTAGTATAAATAGGCCCACTTTTCTATCTAGTTCTGTAGCGCAATTCCCCTGAAAAAAGACACCTTTATTGTACCCTTAGATTCCCCTAGAACACTACCTTGACTTTTGCAAGTGTTGAAGATGCTCGGGGAAAAAGGAGTGCTTGTCGTCGGTGGAGAATCAAACCTGATAAATTAATAATGAACTGAGATATAACGAGACAAGAATCAGGATTTTTATTTTCATAATAGAAAAGAGTATTTATACCTCTTTTCTATTATTGTATGTCACGGGTATTAATATTAATGTAAATTAGCCATATAACAAAAGGTTTTAGGTGATTATGGCGCAGTCGGCCTAGGGTCCTTTGAAAGTAGTAAAGGAGTTCAGCAAGCACAGTGCTATAACGAGACACCTTGTCACACAGGTATGGCTTTTTTTAAAAAAAGTAAGAAAAGCTGGAAAGCCATAGAACCCTTGCTAATAAACGACTGCCATTTGAAACGCTTAGGTCAAAGCACGAGGACACTTCGCTGTAGGGGCGCACGAATTTTACACCAGCGCCCGCTGTCCCCGACGCCTATGCGATAGCTTTTTAGAGACGGTGTACCCTCGCTCTAAATATTGCCGGACATGTAAGGTATTCTTCGACCGTGACGCAGTAGGGGCGGAAAACATCGCAAGAATCGGTCTTGCTCAAATTGAGAGGCAAGAGAGCCCTGCAAAGTACAAGCCCACGGAAGAGTCACCTGCTCCGGCTGCAAAGCGCGCACGACGCTAGACACAAGTATTTAGGTGCCGGCACACCCACAAAAAATTTGTAAGTTCTGTTTATTTTCGTCTCCTGTATCCTCTCCCTGAATTTCTGGACTAACTTTAAAAACCGTACAGATCAACAGATAGCGCGTTTAGAGTTGAAAGGAGAGACTTTACTACAGTTCCAAAGAACGCGTATATGCGTATATGGGAATACTTTAACACTTTGGAGGAGTGATACAGATTGGGCCTCCATAAATGCAATAATTATTCTAAGCCACCTGCCTCGTGTTTTTGGCGCGACATTAGGACACCGCCTAAATGTTCGAATGTACGTATTGATGTCCATATGCAATTAGACGAAATATGCGACAACCTTAAAAGAAACCTTGAGAAGCTCGGACTATTCCTCTTCATCTTTTCCAGAAACACCTGCTTAGAACTCATGACAACGCTTTATTGTGAGGTTATAGCTGGCTCTAAAGAGTGGAAAATATAGTATAAAAGATCCAAGTGAAAAATATTTAGACAGTAGTTATCAGAAGCTAAGATAAGTGAGAATAAGATGTGGGTCCACACACCACATCCATGGGGTATTTATTCATTTTCTGGTAGAGAGACTCGTACCAAGTAACTACATATCTATCTAGAAGCGACATGGGATTATTCAGGAACCATGTCGGTGTTTTGTCGCGTCTCTAGTGACGCGTTATTATTATTATACTTTTCTTAGCGTATTAATTTTAGGAATTCCCCTAGTGTGTTCCTAGTGCGTTTTTAGTATTTTTCTTAATCTTCTAGCTGGGCCGTTATTATCTTGTATATTGAAATATACAACACCAAGGAATACGGAAAAACATGTTTATTTATGCCTATAATATACAGCCAACTATTTCCCCTAATGACAATGATATTTGCAAGGAGGCTTCACGCTAGGGATCTATCAGAAGAGAGGAATGTATTGAATGCATTTATTTAAGACGCCCTCCATCAATAAATGAGAAAAAGAAAGAGAATTTGAATGCTCCAGTGCTATTTGAAAAAAAGTGTTGAACCATCGAGTCTCACTGTATGAGTGTGAGTCGCTTAGAGCTTTTGACAAGTGGACCAGGGTAGTGAAAACAGATCCTTCTGATAGTAACGTCCTTTGATGAAGCATTTGGCATAGCATTATACTACCCAGGTGATTTATGTTTCTACGTAATAAGAAAGAAGCCTCTTTTGTCCATTTGATAGGTTTGTAATCCGCTTTCATTGGAGCAATATGACAACAAAATAATGCATGAACATAATAGAATGCGTTAACATAGCAAAGAATAAAAATGTTATCTGGGCAGCAAAAGTGATATAAAGATCTACTTCTTTGTATTTCATTCAAAGGAGGAACCACAGATTGATTATAATGATTGAACAGGACTCATTTTGGCTCCACATGGTGGTATCATTAATTGTTCAATGAAGGATTGCTGAAGGGCATAAGAAAAACCAATATAGGGTTCTTAATGTTTCAATATAAGAAGGTAAATGCCCGAAGGAATGCTAGACGACGAATGCTTTTGTGAACGCCACGTTACGCTAGCCTATCTCTAATATACTATAGCCAGCTACCTTTTTTGATATATCACGTGTAGAAATTTTTTTTCAGACAATTTTTTTTCAGACAATTTGGGATTAAGATCGGATTTTATTTCCTCCTCCTCCCCTTTCATTCCCTCATTCATTACCCTTTCCCTTATTCCCTTACTTCAACAATGGTTTGCAACCAATGCGTTAAAGAATATGCGCGTCGTGGAGAATTAGTTGAAGTTACGCATGAACGATCAAATAGTAATGAGTGTCTTTTCAACAGATGTAAGACATGTAGTCGTCCAAGAATACATGGACATATGGAAAATTGTCCTGAGAATATTATCCCCGTCATTGATAAGTGAGTATAAGTGATAATTGGAAAATGCAGAACATATATGACAATATGACAAGACAACACGACAGAGCAACAGAGGAATGGATAAGTATATGTAGGATGTAGGATACAAGTGTAGGAAAAGCTGAACTAATAATTAAATAAATATTTTTTTTCAATTTTTCAAAATCAAAGTGAGCGTGACATGGAGGTGCAAAATTCACGTAATGAGAACATTAACCTGAACAGAAGTAACCGCGAGGAAGAATATGAATTTGAGCCTTATCATCCCCCACCACGACCTCCACTTCCAGTACAAGTTCCTATTGCTAGGCGACCTTTCATTGCTAGGCGACCTTTTAATGAAAATCTAATCAGAGGCAACAGTATTAAAAATCACAGACATCACCTTGATCGGATGATAAAATGTCCAGATTGTCGGGCGAAAGTGTGGAAAGAGGAACGAAGTAATAAGAAGCAAAATCAGGACTTTAAATACTCCATCTGCTGTCAGAGAGGTCGAGTTGTATTGCCCATTATTGAGCCACTTCCATTCATCCTAGAGGTTTTAAGTTACCTTTTAAGCTGCTACTAAAGATCGGCCAGCCTATCATGTTGTTAAGGAATATGAACGCCAAGCGTGGATTGTGTAATGGTACCCGACTTATTGTGCGTGGTCTTACCTCAAGATGCATGGAAGCAGAAGTTATCACAGGCGCTTTAAAAGGAAAAAGAGTGTTTATTCCGCGCATCCCCCTGACAACTGCTGATGATGACCAAACATCACCTGTGAAGTTTACACGGTATCAATTCCCCATCAAGCCAGCATTCGCTATGACAATTAACAAGTCGCAGGGGCAAACTCTTGAGAAGGTGGGTATTTATCTCCCTGCTCCCGTGTTTACTCATGGTCAACTGTATGTTGCACTATCACGCTGCTCCAATCCAAGAGATCTGAGGGTTTTAATAGACAATGGCATATTTCCTGGGTTTGAAGGTGTTTTATACAAGGAACATTGTATACAAGAGCGTTCTCCAATAAGTATAAAAATAAAAATAATAAATTATTTTGTTCAAAAATTCACACCTGTGCATCGCACGGGCTACTGCTAGTAATGAATAATGAGGAAGAAGAGTGGTCACGGACTCGGAGTCACGTTGGAAGTCTTTTTACCTTGGTTCTACGATGCCAAATTCATTTTTTCATCGTCAACCTTTTTTATTCACGCGCTGTACATTCACATATAAATTCAATAGCCATGAGCAACCTTGAAAGTAAATGCACCGCACCCTAATTCTTCCTTTTCGCAACTGTGTTGGTATATGTCCCTGTGCTGCATAATGAATTCTGTACCTGTACCTACACCTGACTCTTATTAAACAATATTTTTCGTTAATAACTGAATAGACAGTCTGCTACAACTTCGAGTACGTCTTTTCCTCTTTCTCTTTTACTTTTTATTTTTTATTTTTTATTTTTCTCCTTTGGGAGCTGGCATTTATAACGAATAAAAAGGGCATTGACTTTTAGTTTTTACACCTCTTTTTCTCTTCCTGCCCCTCTTCCTCTTCTCTTTTTCTCTTTTTTTTTCCCTTTCTTTTTCTCAATAGCTTACGACAAAGCAACTGCAGCGTCAGTCAAAGAAAGCCTCCAAAGATGAGCAATTAGAGAAAGCCAAGCTAAAGAAGGTACCCTTCTCCATTAACCATTTATCATCTCACCAAAAGTTGCATAAGTTTGTTCTCAACGCTTGAATAAAAAACGATTTGCTCATGTTCCAATGATTTTCACGGTTTTGATATTAGGCAATCCAGCAGGGCAATATGGAGGGCGCAAGGATCTACGCCGCAAACGCAATCCGAAAAAAAAACGAGGCCCTCAACTTGCTTCGTCTTTCCTCTAGAATTGATGCGGTCACCAGCAGAGTTCAGACTGCGGTCACTATGCGCACTGTCACAAAGTCTATGGCTGGTGTTGTCAAGGGCATGGATAAAGCCATGGAGTCAATGAATCTCGAGACGGTAGGAACTGAGTTTTTTTTTTTTTTTTTTTTTTTTTTTTATAAAAAAAAAAAAATGAAGCTATTGTTTTTACTACAATGCTTAATCTAAGGAAATACCTTTTTTTTGACTGATGTTCTACCTTCTAGATATCTCTGGTGATGGAAAAATTTGAAAAACAATTTGAAGATCTGGATGTGCAGACACAGTATATGGAGAATACAATGGGTAATCAATCGGCACTAACAACACCACAGGATGAAGTCGATACACTCATGCACCAAGTCGCAGATGAACACGGATTGGAGCTGAACCAAGAGCTTAGGGAGACTCCCGATACATTACTGAGCCATACTAACAAAGAAGCCGAGACCAGAGAGCAGGATGAACTCACAGAGAGACTCAGAGCGCTTCGCGGATAACATGAAAACAAAAATAAAGCGTCGACTTCACATTGGATCATAGTATATTTGGATTGTGATGGAATAGCGACTGAGTGGGTGATCCATTAGGAACAACGGTCCCACAGAAATAAAATATTGTTAGCACTGAACATTGCGCCAATACTACTGAATATCATCATTGATCTTGCGAGGTTTATTTTCAGGATTTATATTCGAATTACGCCAATTTCGCTGTTTTCGTAACACGAAATCCCATTTTGGGAGTATTGACAAGCGTAAACTGACGATAGTTAAAGTAAATCCAGAAGAGGACAAATCCAGCTGCACTCCAAAGTGAATTGAGGACCGGGAAGATATCTGGATATCGAGCAGAAGGCTCGAGCATGAACTCTGCTGTATGCATCGTTGTAATCACCAGCAGATTCAGCTATGCATAGTATTAAAAAAAAAAAAAAAAAAAAAAAAAAGCTGTCAACAAATGCTTTTTAAACAAATTTTATCCGCTTCAAAATAACACTTGAAGATCAAATCATGAAAACCCTACCAATATCAGCAGTTGGAGGAATTTAGAAGTATTATGAGCAGTAGCACGAGTTAACCAGACCCAGAATCCAAGAAGCACGGCATACTGTAGAAATAAGCCCTCGTGTTTCAATAACGGGAACATGCTGAATGTCGCCAAGGTTATGAACAATGAAGCAACAGCAGGCTCGTCCAAAATCAGGAGCGTTATGGGCAATGCTGGGATGAGAATTGATTTCTCATGAACTTGGAAAGAAAGCAAGAAAAACGACAACGACGAATTAATTAACCCATAGATCAGTCCACGTTTTGTCGGTCTGGCAATCAGGTGGAGGACAGAGGGCAAGAACGATAAGAGGGTCGCTAATGTACTACACAAATTAAATAAAAAGGATTAAGTAGTCGTGAGTCTAAACATGCGTGGCAATAGCAAGTGACAAGGACTTGAAAACACACCATTATATGCCATATGGTCCCAAAACAATTACCTAATACGAACTAATTCCTGGATATCAAACATTTCCCGCAACTTGATCACCACATTCACTGCACACCAGATATTGGCAACTTTATCCTGATAGAGTCCCCTGAACACTGGGAAGATGCGGTGGAGAACTTGAAGAATCTTCTCCTGTGACTGCAGCCATGGTGAAAACATCAGCACTAGTGTAAGAATCACTGTCAGTCCCAACTTGGTCAACTTCCAGATACTATTTCAAAAAAATATATATAGAAATATAGAATTTGTTAGGGTAATCGAGGGGAGCACTTTTCATAAATCAACACATAAATCTAGGATGAGAATGGCTCGTGGAGGAAGGCTAGTAATGACCTACCATCCAAAAAAGCCCTGTCGGAGAGATTTGCCAAGCAAATAGGCAAACACTGCGGGGGCAAAGTATAGCCCCATCTGTTTAAACGCCAAGGCTAGACAAAATGAGATACTTCCAAGTACATCCTGGTCTACCAGGAAGCAATTGAGAGCCCACACCACTAAACCCAACATAACTGCATTGTACTGGAAATGGCCACTATCGATCAAGATCAATCCTGGTTGCAGTAAAATCAGCATTAACGCCGTGTGTTGACGTGTCCAGGGCTTATTTGCAAACCAGCGGTTCGTGAAAGCGACTATAGCCGACATATAAACTAGCATTTCCAAGACCAAGACTGTAGCGCGCATATAGAGCTTTGCATCCCTAGATTCAAATCCTCGGGATGTTTCCCATGCAAACCACTCAGCATTGATCTTATTTCCAATAAATCCACAGATCCATGAGACATAGGCGGTCAAAGGCGGATAGTCCAAATCCCACCATTTAGATCCATCAGAATACCATTCTCTAATCGGACGATGTATTGTCAGCTCCATCCAATGTCGTTGAGCTTCATAGTCTCCATACCTTGGAGGTATTGCCATACCTAAAAGATGATAGTGATTAAAGTAATTAGTCGAAGCGCGTAGATTAGCATTTCTATGCTTATTATATGTATCTAAAGATTTTATCTACTCTCGTGCGATGCTTACCAGAATACGGTCCGAGACCAACGATCCAACGTACCAAGGCCGCGATAGCAACAGCGATCCAAGGCGCCATCCTCTTAAGTTGGTTTTCTTCGAGCCATATTGCGTAGCTATATACAGGCAAATTGAGCTTTGGTGCTCTAATGATGTTGGATACTGGCGCTGCTGTGGACGTCTTGTAGATCGTCGTAGTGACGGCTGTTGTGCTGGCTGAGGATGAATTCAATCGAGTTGCAGCTTGTTCTAGCTGTCTAATAGATGTTGATGAAGATTTGTTCTTGTTGCTCTTGGCCCGTGAGGTGGTCGGAGCCATGATGTCTAATTGTTGATGACAAGAAAATGCATTCAATTGAATTTTAAGTCGGTTATTACGTGACGCCCTTAATTCAAGTAATACAGTGAATTGTCAAGCCGTTGAACATCTTGCATTTCTATAGCACTACTACTTCAGATGTCATAATTTATTAATCTCCAGAGAAAAAGACCTTCCAAGAGCAAATCTATTAATATAACGGATTAAGGATTATAAATATTTCTTAAAACTTTCAGTACGCGTTTTTTACGCGTAACTTAATTGTAATGTCTCAGATCCTACAGGAACGATAGCCGGAGTCCTCGAGATCATTGCCTGATATAAACGCTCCCAAGTCGACCCCTTCATCTTGACCTCAATGCCGTCCTCCCTCGGCGCAATATATTCCTTCACCGTCGCCTCCTCATGAGGGTTAATTCCACTAAAGGACATCCAGCATCCATGGAAACTCGTCGGGTTCGGTCGTGCATTGAAAATTGCAGGCCCATCCTGCCCACTTCTCCAAGTCAGGTACGCCTGTGCGCCTGCATCCAGATCTAGCAAAAATGTGATCCTGGCCAGATCGCTGATCACCCCTGGCTGGGCAGGTGGAAATTTTCGAAGATCTGCCTGAATCAATTCCAAAGCACTATTGGATACCACTAATGTCAATCTATGTGAAATCGTATCTAACGTTGCTACGATATTCTTGGTTGGCAGCACAGACACCATCTCTGTGAGGGAGCCCCGGAAATCGTGGAGCGCCAGCAATGATGGCCTGGACCAGTCGGACCAGAGAGGGATTGGCCACGTTTCCAAGTCATTACCCATGTTAGTTAATGTCCTAGCTGCACCATATTTTGAAAATACGGCCATCTCATCTAAGGTCGCTATTAGTCCATACAGTACATCCTTGTTCTCTAAAGAGCCCTTGCATTCCGGCGGCGCATGAACCAAAAGAATTGCTAAATCCAGAGGCCCCAAGTCTGGCGTATTGAGTCGACACGGGAAAACATCGCCTGCCCCCAAAGGTTTACCCCCAGACGATTGGATATGAGCATTCATTTGCTGATACAGATTATACATGATGGGTTGAATAGTATCAAGACTATAGCTACCCGGCCGCTGTCGAAGAGTGATTACAATCTCCTTTTGCCCTGGATTTTGGGTTAATCCCAAAGAATAGAATGTCCATGCTGACCCGCTTTCAGAAGAGGTCCTGAACGAGGTCACTATACTAGCAAAGGTCAATGCAGCTGGAGGTGAAGCTACGCCTGCAACTGGAGGAACAGCTTGGCTGGAGGTTGCGTGGGTCAGAGGTGCATGATGTCCTGGAGGTGCTGAGTGTACTGGCATCTGGTATGGTAGGTTTGGTGGCGATGTATGAGATGTTGGTACTGTTGGCACGGGAGGAGGAGGTCCTGTGTATGAGTTCGAGGAAGAATGGTGTAAGGATATTGTGCTATGCCTCGAAGGAAGTGTGGGCGTTTGGTGCTGCTGCTGGTGCTGCTGCGACAAAGCTGGACTAGAATTGGATGCTGATGGCGGTGAGGCAGCATATGGTGGAGGTGCTGTAGATCGCTCAGGCACAAAGACAGGAAATCCCTCTGGTGAGATAAGCATCTCCAAGCCTATTGGTACGACGATGGGAATACCACGGACTGCCGTCCCCGGTGGCGGGGGGACAAATCCAGGCGGGAGCTGACCGGGTGGGATGGGGTAAGACACATTGGGATCAGGAGGAACGAATGACATTTTTTTTTTTTAAGACCAATGAAGAATTAGGATGCAAATAGTTTATTTTATTGAGTCAAACCCTGTCAAGTGTGGCGATGACAAAGCTAATTCCAACAACACGTGCAATCATCATCGAAGTTACATGTACAAAATCATTTTTTTATTCAAACAAGTTTTTACTCTATTCCACTAATGCGCGCTAATATCATGCTTTCTGTCGCGGAATTGTCGCATATGCTCTGGGAGCTCAACGTCCTCATCCTCGTCATCATCACCGTTTTCACCATCATGATAATACGAGGATCCCTGGGACATGATTGGCCCACCGTTCATGGTTCCATATCCTCCAACTGTAGTCTGTGAATTCGCCATGTGGCCGGGATACCCTATCACACTGTTCACTACACTTTCATTACCACTTCCATTTCCAGCATCACTATTGATCTCATTCGTAGAGCCAACAGTGGAGGTAAAAGATCCTACATTAAGTGTTGATCCAGGTCCCGCAAGAACATTTCCATGTGTTGACCGAGGTGATACAGCGGGAGAGTTCTCCTTGGTTCGGCCAAACATACTTTGAAGCCGATTAAATGATCCCTTTTTACGAACAGTCTTTTCATTCTTGATAGTCAGTAACGCATCAGACGTTGTGCCTCGACTTGCCTGAACCTCTGACCAGGTCTGATTATCGGTTGATATGTCTGCTCCTGGTGTAGTCGGGCGTGACAAGAGATATGCCAATGACTAGATTAAAATATGTTGAGAGATACATTAGAGCCAAAGACTTCAGAACGCAGTATCTTGGGAGATCTGGTAGGAAATAGACTAAAAAAGATTTAAGAAAAAAAAAATTACCTGGTACCAAAGATCATGTTTCTGACGAGTAGGTGCTGTCAACTTCAGGTTACGATTAGAAGTTTGAATGAGCAAACTGACATTTGGTAGGTCCGAGTTGTTGGACGGATTTTCTTCCGTGATTTGATAGACGTTCATGATCAATGCTATTCAAATGGACATAAGTAAAGATTAGTACCAATCGTGAGCTAAATGTAACTGGGAAACGCATAGAGAATATTCAGTTTAACCTACCGCTCTTTGCTCGCTGCTCACGCAAGCCATCTGCAGCTGGATTGTTTAAGCTCCAGTACATAGTCTTAGTATAAGGGTGAACCCAGAAGTAGCGACGATGCTTCTTCTCACTGATGACGCTGGCCATAGGTCGGCGCGTATATTTCCATAGATAGTCTCCAATCATTGTCTGAGTGATGATTTGGATCATAGTTGGGTCTGTGGGTGTAGGAGCACCATCATAATTCGAGCCAATCGACATTCTGCGTTCATTATGCGATGCAGCATAGTCAGTGGAGATACTCGAAACGGAGCCGCTAGGCGAAGGACGATATTTGGAACGTCCAATGCTGGCTCCAGAGGAATCCGTAATATGCTGGTAGGGATGTTGATTCTGTCCCTGCGCCTGTGGTATATGGACTTGGCTTGAGCTGTTATGGAAAGTATATGCTGTGCGAGTCGTTGTAGAAATGATGGCTGCGCCCGTGGAAATTTCCGTCTTTTTCTCAGGTTGAAGTGAAGCCGACCTAATTGAAGCTGTACGTACTGGATATGTCAATGGTGGTGATGTTGGCATAGTTGTGTTGAGAGACTGGGGTTGATTCAAGTAAGTGGCGCTATTTGCAGAATTTGAAGGTTGATTGATATGGACCCCATTATTCACAGCATTATCATTCAAATATTCAGTGTTATGCTCCGAAACCATCAAAAGAGTGGATGATCTATTGACGAGTTGTCCAGGAGATAACGCTTCACTATCCTCGTACTGCTTCTGGAGATGGTGATGTTGCTGTGGTTGATGATTGTATTCGCTCTTGTCATCTTCATCGTCGGTCACCTGCTGATGGTGCGAGAGTCTTCCATGACCTCGAATGATTGTGGCCCGATCAATGGATTGTGCAGAGGAATAAATTGGTTCTATCTGACCGGTGACCAAATTGGCACTACCATTATCGCCAAATGCTGATCCAAAGGAGACACGGAACTCTGGTTCCTCCTCGACAATAGAGAAAACGTGCGAGTGTGGTCGTGTGATGTCTTTGGGAATCATGGGAACAGGAGGCACCATGTGTGAGGGCACATCAGCCATACTCCGGCTCATGTCGCAAGTATGGCGACGTTCATCATCAAGTGGGATTTCTGAGTGCATGAAGCGAGGAGTAGGCTCTGTTCCTTCTTCTGGATAAATATTGGCAAATGCTGGTTCTGCATTTTTGACTTGCGCACTCTCCTGAGCCTGGTCCGGAACGTCAGGAGGATAGAGGGAAACAACGTCCAAGCTGTTGACAGTGGGGGTGGCAACATTGGGCGAGTCCAAAGCTGCCATACCCTTAACTTGCATGCTTGACTTCCGCGTGATGATGCCTTCCAAAGGTCTATTTCTTTGAGAAGACGTTGCTGGTGCCATTCTTTCGTCGCCAGAAGGTATAGTAGTGGTAGCAAAGTCCTCTGTTGATGTACTGTTATCAACCATTGTCTTGGCAATCACCGGCACAGATTCTGCCTTTGGCAAATCATCTGTAGAGGTCGCGCTGTCCATCAATATCTTTGCCTGGATGACCTCTGGTTCTACCACAGCCTCTGTTACAGGTGTAGCCAACAATAAATCCTCAGTAGGCGTTGCATTATCCGCCAAGGACTTAGACTGTTGATTCTCAATGTCCATAACACCGGATGTAGCCTGTGTAGGCAAGTCCTCTGTTGAAGTTGAGCCATCGACGAGGGTCTTGATGTCGGTGTTAGTTGCGATAGTACTCCTTTCAACGTCAGCTTTTTGGGCAACAGATATAACAGATAGTGTAGTATCTCCAGTTGTGGCGAACCCAGACTCGACATCTGCTTCTGATATCACCTCTTCTGGCAAACGTTCTGGTGCAGATGCAGATTCGGACGTGGGTACGGGTGCGGGTGCGGGTGCGGGTGCGGGTGCAAGCAGAGAAGTCAAGCCAGGGATAGTGTGGATCCAGTTTTCAATGGGCTCAGTCATAGCCTCCTGGTCTTTGTACTCTACAGTTGGCTTAACGGGCTCCATAATCGATTTTGCTTGAGCCAGCTCAGCAAAGAGCCCCCCAGCGTGCATCGGAGATGCAGCTCGCAAGGGTGGTAGTTCGCGAGATGCTTCGAATTCCCTATCGAGTCCCTGTAATGGATTTTCTGTTCCATTGTCATCCGAACCCAAGGCTACCTGTCCGAAGCCTACAATTTGAGGTACTGCAGAATCGAATCCACCCATGGTGCCTTCCAATCTCATTGACTCGATAGTTTCCTCACGATCTGCCAATAATTTGACAAGCTCTTCTTTCTCTGTCAACAATCCCTCTTTATCAGCCATTAGTTGTTCTTTGGTGGTCATTGCTTGACTCAATTTAGACTGCAACTCACTAATGATCGACTGCTGATGAGCAAATGAAGTCTCACGAGCGAGGGAAACAGCCTTTGGTTCAGCGACAGGGACAGTTGGAACAGGAGTGGATGCGATTTCCTCATTACTAGGCAAACGAGGAGGTGCTTGGATCAAAATAGGCGCTTCAACAGGGCTTTCCTCTCCCTGTTCCAGCCTCTCCTTCTCCTGCGCTAATGCTAAAGCCTCAATAGTGGCCTTTTTAACAAGCTTTTGCTGTTGCTGAGCCACCGTGGCATTTAGTTCCTCCAACTTCTTCATTAGGTCTGACTTTTCCCTCTGGATTCCTGCAGTGTGTTTGCGCATAGCCATCATATCTTGCTCATGCCTGGATTTTGTGAGTTCGAGCTGGCCAGCAGTTCGTTCTTCCTTGTCCTTGAATTGTTCCAATTGCTCCGATGCGACGGAAAGGGCTTTTTGGATCTTGGAGTTCTCATGTAATGCCCTTGATAGCTGTTGTTGCATTTCTTGGTTCTGGGTCCTGAGTTCCTGGTTCATCAACTCTAGATTCCATTGATCCTCTTTCTGACGCTCTATTATTATTCCAAAAATATGTTCCAAAAGAGCAGTGTATGTTCCACCGCAGTTAGAATTCAATCATCCAATTCAGAGTATATGTTTATATGCATATATACAAATATAAATATAAAGACCTCATTTGAAGCATTATTCATCTTTTATAGAAATCTTCATCCTTACCATCGCTCTCTTCACGCATACGTCTCTGCTTGTTGAGAGCATCGATAATACGCTCCATCTCGGTAATCTTTGTATCGTACTCTTGGTTCAGCTTCTCTTTCATCTCTGCCTGCGATGTCCAGTAGCGGACCTGGTTAAGTAGCTCTTGCTGAATCTGGACTGGAAACGCGGGGTCATTGATGGATGGTACTGGAGGTACAACTACCTTGTGACGACGAGGCTTTGTGATATTCTGCGTTGGCAATGCGCTTGAAGGAAGAACGTTTGACCCTGCCCTTGGAAATGCATCATTCTGTGGAGGTTGGATTTCTATCGCGGGCTAAGAAATACAATGAGAATTAATGCACCGATGTTAATTCTGAGTCCAGTCTAATATATGCTTTACTAATGATTACGAGAGAAAACTAAAAGATTGTGCGCTTTTCTCATCCTCTGAAACAGGTACTGGATATTCAAGAGATTAATAAATAAGATCAAGCATGAAGAGTGTGACGATGAAGCGATTTCCATCAGGTGAAAGTATGCAATACAAGCGCTCTTCCACTCACAGTACGGGCCTGGAGTTGAAAATATCGTTGAAGCAGCAACGGAAATATAAAGCAAATGAGCGCATTGCCCAAGAATAGACGTTCAATAAAAGAGAGAGAAAGAGCCTGAGCCTTTTGCTGAAAATGGCCGATAAGATGTGTGATTTGAATAAATAAAGATGGTGTTTCGTAAAAAAATAATAATTAACTTTGGAATGTATGAGAGCACTTTTTTTTTTTAAAAAAAAAAAAAAAAAAAAAAAAAAAAAAAAAAAAAAAGAAAGAAACAGAGCAAAGCCAATGCTGAGATCATACACTTGCAACAACCCATCAAGTCGTCAACCACACCGGCTACTTCAAGAAAAATCAAGGGCCAGTTATAATAATACTGTTCCTCACTATGAAGAGGAGATCCTCACTCTAGAAAAGAATAGGTCGCATTTAAAAAAATAAAAAAATAAAAAAAAAAAGGAAGGGAGGGGATAGGATCTCACAAAAGAATGTAAAAATAAAAGAACGCGATAGAATCAGGGAGAGAAGGGTTTTTGGGCTGACGAAAAAAAAAAAAAAAAAAAAAAAAAAATATTCGAAAGAGACTCAGAGACAGAACGAGTCGAAGTCTATCAAGCCGTGATAACCATTCCTTACCAGTTGTGCATCTATAAGTCCCTTCAGACCAAGGATACCGTTTTGGCCTTCCTGAAAATCTCTATCGAGCATTGCCAATCTCTCGCGTACCGAATCTGGCAAAGGCTGCTCTATTGTTGCATCTGATCCGGTGCCATAGTCGACGCTGTCTATGGAATGCTGGTGTGCGCCTTCTAGGGCACTAAGTTCTTGAAGTTGCTCAAAGCAATTCCGAAGATCTTCCTCTCGCTTAACAAACAAAAGCCCAATGTTCTGTGTCAGCTGGAGGTCGTTGTGGATAGCCATCAACCTGGCCTCGAGTTCTGCACGAGCCTGACCAACAGTCTGAAGGTTGGCCAGCGGCAATACTGGCATTGGTGACTCCATTGTTTTGATTGGTGTTCCTGTACTGATGAGTGATTGCTAAAAAAAAAAATATAGGATATTAGGTGAAGGGTCGTCAAAGTCGTATAGAGCCTCAGTTTATCGATCTAAACAGTCGTTGGTTGAACAAAAGGCGAGTGGTGGTTATGCGAGGGAGAATGCTTGTATTATCAGTGGATGTGGCTAAGATTGAAAGAAAAAAGAAAAAAGTAAAGAATAAAAAATAAATTGTTGTGAGGACAAATGAGTAATTGCAAATCCGAAAGAGATGCAGCAATGAGGATGGAGGACAGAAGAACGAAAGAAAAATAATAGTGAGTAGAAAGGATAGGGGAGGGAATTGGGAGATGAGAAGACAAGAGAGAAGAGAATAGACAGAAAGAAAGAATGAAAGAAAAAAGAAAAGAGAGGCCATCATGGCCGCCATAAAAAAAATAAAAAAAAACTCTATTAAAGTGCCTTGAGCATAGAGCGATATTAAAATAAATACAATAAAATAAAAATAAGCACGTCTATAGGCAGAAATAGCCAAGTCATAAATAAATACATAAATGGAGACAAAAGGCTCGGTGCTGATGACAATAAAAGCAATCGAATTTACATGAAGCATCCCATTCAGCAATTACACAGCTCTTTGACACAGAGTGTTTTTGTATGTGTATAAAATGCATACTTTTGTTGTTTGCAAAAGAAGAAACGATTCATGGGGGTGCAGACTCCACTACCCAAAACTATACCCAAAATATCCCCAGAGTGTTCGATTCAACTCAGCTGCAAGAAATGAATAGGAAGCAGAGACACAGGCAATTTCTTTTTAACGTTGCAGCATGCATTGAGACAAACAAATGTGCTGCTGGACAATGCTTGGTAAATCTTCTATGCTGTGTTACTCAAAAATATGTATTTACTTTTCGTACCTTCGAAAATAAAAAAAGTTAATAAATGGAAACAGTGTGACACCAGGAATGTTTTTTTATTGGAAAGGAACAGTCTTGGGTGATGAGGAGAGGAATGAGAATGAGAATGAGAATGAGAATGAGAATAAGAATGAAATAAAAGTGATTCCTTTTTCGTCTTTTAACAGACAGGCATTGCTGGCTTAAATAATAATAATCTCGTCAGCTATTTTCAGCGGAGACCAATCCACTAAACATGGGCAGAAGCGGCATTGGTCTTTCATCGTTTGATTTGCTCCCTTAATACCCTAATGCGAGCGCTGTGCTGGATAGACTATGAGCTAAACTACTTGCATGCATCAGGCCTCAACCTCAATCCAACTCAAGGTTGTCTCTTCTACTTGCTTATTTTTAGGTAACTCGGTCAAGAAAAAAGAAGAAAAAAAATGCATTTCAATGCGTGAGAGCCAGGACGGTTGTCCTCAATCTTTAAAATTACCCCTGGGACCAACCCATTTTGTCAATAACCCTTATATATGTTTGATTACTTGATTACAGCTTTTAAGAAACAGCTAGTTCTTCGATATGCACTCAAATCCACATCACGTTGATTTTTCTTAGCTTGAATAATCTTAATTCAGATGTGTGACTGCTATTTCTCTTTTGGTTTATTCATACATCTCGAATATTGAACGGGCTCGTTGCAACAAAACAAACCGCCATCCGGAGCCTGTTGTTATAGATCAAAGCGGCATTCACTTCAATGAGACCAGTGTTAGGATAGATGAGTATATTAGTATGAGCTGATGAGGGTAGCGAATGTCTATTGATATGATGGTGCGATAGTAGTGTATATATATATATATACATATATATGTATGTAATTATATATATTATACAATATAATAGTGCGATTAAGAGATCTCAGGGACAAAGGAAAGAAGAGTTGCAAATCACATGTCAGATCGCTTACTCAGGAGATTGTTAGCCAATCATAGCTTAAAAATCTTAATCTCCGGAGAAAACCAAACGACTCTTGTGTTCGCTTTACTCTATCTTGCATATCTACAAAGCGTGGAGAAAACAGTGCACATGTGCAAAATATCATGTAATAGATCCGGAGACAAGAAGCAGAAGGGGGCATGAGTGAGTCGCTTTGTCCTTCCTGCTTGCTCCGCTTTGCTTATCTCTTTATCTCTTCCTTTTTTTTTTTTTTTTTTTTTTTTTTTTCTTCTTCTTCTTCTTTCTCTTTCAAATTCCATTTTTTCATTGTTCATCCCCTCTTTGTCAAGTTCATTCTTCCATCGCCATCTCTTTCCTTTTTTATTTTTTGTCTATTTATTTGTTTAAATTTTACTCTCTAATCTTCTAATACTCACTAAAAGATAAAGCATGACTGATTGCTATTCTGCCTCTGGGCGAGCACCCCTGAACGCTCTGGCGAACCAACTGCTCGGTGAATCCAGCTTTGCACCCAAAAACTCCCTGTTTCAAACTGGTACCAGCAGTCAGCATCAGCACTCATTCCCTCATACTCATTCCCATATTCATCTATTACCACATTCTTCATCCCAGATACATCATAATCGTGGATTATTCCCTTCACAATCAAAACAACCCTCTTTAATTTCCTCATCAACATCGTCGTCTCAACCTTCCTTTCATAAACTAAAATCAATTGACTCGTTTGCAGATCCGTTTGAGCAGGCATGGTCAAGACATAGCTCAAAAAATAACCTCACTTTTGACTTTCATCATACAACAACGCATGATCATCATCTTCCTGATATGAATTTGATCCATGCCTGGGAGATGCACCACCAAGAACAACATGTTCCCGATCATCAAGTGCAAACAACCCTCTCTGGTATCTCTGCTGCCTCCCCACCTGATTTTAACGCCTCGGAATTTGAATCCTTTCAATATCTACCTACCATTGACGGTAGCTCTATACATGTGGAAAAACAAGAGAGTGTATGGGCTCAGGAATGGTCTCGTCACGAACAAGAGACCGCGGAAAGTGATGATGAAGATGAATTCAGAGAAGAATGGAGTAATGATCACTTTACTCAGGCTTATATCAATAGCCATCAATCTCAATTCCGTGCAATTGAGGAGCAAGACTGCTTGAAGGAAGCTCGTTTAGAGGAAGAGCGAGAAAGGCTAAGACAGGCTTCAGGTGGCCCACCTCGGTCGGCCTGGCTAATGGCCGGTGTTACTACTATATCTGAACAGAAAACGGCAGGAGGAGAAACAGGTTCAACTCTGCAGCCCCCGAGACGTTTGCCTGTACCTAGGTTGGATCCGCTCAAACAGGAGATAGCACAAGAGCACCAGCATTCAATGTTTAGTATAGACGAGTTCATGAGCTTCGACTACCACCATGACTATAACCAACCACAAACCACTCTACAGCCATCACTGCGACCATCAAACCCCGTACAGGCTAAAGACCGATTTATGACGCTCGTGAGCGACTTGCATCTTGCAGAACAAACCTTCTACCCTGGTGCTACTTCCGCCACTTCAAATGAAATGGATGACACAGCTGCTTTTACTTCTACTATGCATCCCCAAATACAAACTGGATGGTCACAAGAGTTCGAGGGAAACAACCAAGTAAAACACAGAGGTGCTGAATGGAACTGGGAAAAAACTTTTGGAAAGGACCCACGACGACAGATGAAGGCTACAGAAGCTCACTTGGTTATCAGTCGAGAGAAAAATGGAGATTTGGACGAAAGCGAACGACTCAAAGCAGTGGCATTAACACGTTTGCAGGCGCTGTTTGGACATCTGTCTTTCACACCTCCAACATCATAGACCTTTCCATACTGATGGCAGTTGTTTGAAGTGATTCAAGAGGGACGAGTTCCACAGTGAATCATGTGTACCATATATCTTTTAAATCTGTAATTAAATTCAATATTAAATATTCGGATGGATGGAAAGGCACGTGTCTATCTGAGAGAACAACTATCCCCCCTTTGCAGGGTTTCTTTGGCAAATCTCCCAAGTTAGAAAGTTATAAACGTGAACTCATTATTATTCAACAAAAACCTCTTTCATCAAACTACTTCACTTGAGGCGTCCTCTTCCATATCAATCTCATCTCCATCTACTACAACTGCTTCTGCTCCTTCTGCTGCCATTGCCTCTGCGCCGTCTTCGCTCTTTGTCTTTGGCGCAGGTGGGTCCGCAACTTTACGCCATCCAGATTCTTCATTGTCATCTCTAACCATCTCTGCCGTTGGCCTTGAAAAAATTGAGGAAAAGTGTATAAATGTTAGTGACCATTAACAATGCATAATAATGCAAAATGATCATCATAGTATGAAAACACATGTGCTCTAGACCTACCAATAATGCATGTTTGTCTTGACACTCAGTACTGTGGGAATCATATCGAAGCTCATAGTTTTGACGCGGACATACGAATTATCAGGACATTGTCTCACCGCCTTCAACAGAGCATCCAGATCAGGCGTTGGTGTGCCATTGATGTGTGTGATCCACATTGTAGGGACCATTCCATACATATAGGAGGGCGACCCCTTCGACCGCGCACTGACGTATACCCTACTAGGCAATGTTTTACTCTGTTGTAAAACAGCCTTGTGTGGCTCATGCATCATTGCACCTGCCCAGATGACTAGTCGACTTGTTCCATTGCCATCCACTTCTTCAGTCGGAACAGTGACTTTGACTTCTACCTTCTTTCGTAGTACCACCATTTCTAGTTCAGTAGCATCATACTGAACATCAAGCTCATACATTCTCGTGATGACTTTGCCATTAATACTCAAAATCAAATCCAGCTCCTGAAGAATCTTCGCTGATACCGACCCAGTTTCGGTGCGACGAACCATGAAGATGTGATGGCGGGAAGGATTGGCTTCTTCTACCTTCTTGACCCATTCGTCCGAGAGTCCCATATGACGTGCTTGAGCCATTTGAACCGTCACGACCTCAATGTTGAGACTACGTAATTTTGGATACAATCCTTGTTGCATGGGCTGGAGAACAGGCATGATTGTCGAGATATGAAGACCTAGATGGTACTCGTTGTCCCTACCAGAGTTATTACGCTCGCCAAGATAAGAAAGCCAGAGGCCTTGTACACGACCCTCGCTATCAGCTAACACTCCAGATGAGCATTGTTGAGCAAGAGGCGTGTCTAATGTAATCGCATCCAAGTTTATACCACGGAAGCGAGGTGTAGCGTTATGAGGGATTGTTACACTGGTGATATCTGTTACAATGGTTCTAAGGCAGATAGGACGCTGGTTGTGATTGAATGCTACCAAAGACACCTGGTGCCCTTGGACAAGGTTGATGGGCGAAATTTTGGCAGATTTGATAGGAGTGCCACCAATGTCCTTGGGGTTGTACGAGACAATTGCAAAATTGTGGGTTGGATGCAAATACATGACTTTACCAGGTACAATGATAGAATCTGCAATGGTAATGTTCAAGTCCCCCATAGCAAATGGAACAATATTGCGCGAAACAACAATAAGGCCACGTTCTGCATCCACCACCAAACCTGCGCCGTATTTCTATATAAATTATAAAAAAGTAAAAAAAAAAAAAAAAAAAAAAAAAAAAAGGAAGGAAAAGGCATCCGGTGACGAGCTTAGATAGAGCCCCACATTACACCAACAATCTCAGTTATGCGCGATCAAAGAGAAAACACGTACCCTGCTCTTTGGGAACCCATCAATGCGGCATGGCATATAATAACCGACCTTAACCATACTACTGAAAAGCTCCTTAGCTGGTCCTAAAGACTCGTCAAGTTCAAGGAACTTTACAGTAGAGGGAACAATGGGTTTTGGAGGTAAAGGTGTGCCCAGGCTTGTAAAGTCCCAGAGGCCAGTCTTGTCGTTTCTGACTGCTAACCGAAAACGACTCCAGTGGCGCTCTACTTGCACGACTGCAACACTGGTGGTATGGACATCTGCAATGGAATAATACACAACAGGGATCCTTTCTCTGTCCGGAATCTTCTGCATCACCTCTATAAAGTCATCCAAATTATGGATGGGCTGATTGTCAATAGAAGACAAGAGCCATCCCCTGTCAGGTCCTTCAAATCTGAACATTCCACTGGGCTCTGAAACATAGACGCCACTGACAGGAACACAGAAGCTACGCGCTAGTTGGTAACTTAGGTTGTTGAGTTTAGCGCCACCAATCTCGACATAGCGATCTGGCGTAATGCTATGCAGATCCTGGACCACAACTTTAAATGTCCTCTGCTCGCCTCCACGTTCAGCTATAATCTCAATCTCGTTGCCAACATTCCTGTCTAGACAATCCTCTAGTGGAACAAACTTTGTGATGAGTTCTCCGTTGATGGATACAAGGATATCACCCTCCTCCAGGCAGTCTGCCGCAGGTCCTTTGGGCAAAACAGTCTCTGCAACCAGCATGCCGATCTCCTCTGGAAATGTAGCTCTGATCAATGCTTCAGTTTTTTGACTCAATCCAAGACGCCGGGTCTCATCAAATGGTCTATACATAAACTGAGTCTGGATAGTACCACGAGGCACATGCTTGCCCTCCTGAATAAACGTTAATGCACGACGTACACGATCCAGAGGCAAGAAGAAGTCTGTTGCTGCCTTGAGACTACCTCCTGCTTGTAGTGCGACCGCATTTCCATTAATGTCAATTACAGGTGATCCACTGGAGCCTCCACTTGTGCTTGATGCGGCCTGAAGATAGAATGTGCTTTGAATGTCATATATAAATATATATTAATATAATAAAAAGAAAAAAGAAAAAAAAAATCAGTCTATCATCAGCTTGCAAAACTACGTCAACCCGGACATTAATAAAATAAGCAAAATAAGATGTAATAGACCGATTGATCAAGACTTACTTGAAATCATTATATGTGAGGTCTCCATATTCAGGAGCATTTCTGTCCAGTCGTGAGATTGAGCCAGACAAAATTGAGAGCTTTTCCCCAGCATCATTGCCGACAACACGGATGTCGATTCCGACTTTGGCCATCTCTGGTACCAATGGAATTGATGTCACCTCCATATATCTAATCTTGGACGGGTCAAACTTGAGAAAGCTATCATTGAAGACAATTAAGATACATGATGGTCAATAAACGTCAGTTTAGTGTCGGTTGTGGTTCAAGTCTTTTACTTCATCTTAGGCTCATACGATCTTCATTTAGCTCAATACTAGTGCAATGACATGGTTATGAACATACTACAACACATGCAAGACATCCTGATTCAAAACGAACATACCCAAAGTCATGGACCGGATCTCTGTATACAGGATAAACATCCACTTCCTCATGGTCATGGCAAACAGCCTCTCCAACAAATGGACCTGCACAAGCGACATGCCTATGTATTCACAAATAAGGTGGAGTCACCAAAAATACAAGAATGAGCGTACACCCTAGGCTCCGAGATACATTATATGGACAAGTCAGATTCCGATAGCTCACATACCGATTTGTCAATATCAATCCACGCTCGGCATCGACAATAAACCCAGATGCCTCTGACGTTTCAGGTCCTACCAGAATAATTTGTGAAAAAAGGAGGGTTGATAATTTGTTAAAGACTCTATGAGGTCAAAAGTCGGTATACAATGCGTACATTCAATGGTGCCATGCATGTACAAACATCAAACGATAGAGCTGATCTTCTTTGTTGATGGACATATGCAGTTTTCTGTTTGTGCGTTTCGGCAGCCGTGTGTCTCCTTTTGCCCCTTTTTCCTGGGTTGTCGCGCACGACCCTTGGGGTCAGTATTTTACCTCATTCACATTCATATTCATATTCATATTCATGTTTCTTTAAACCTTTCACGAAAAAGAAGCGCCCGAGCACTGATCATACAGCAAAAATCAAGAACAATAATGGAAGGGGAATATGCATGGATTGTAATTAAGGATGTGGTTCAAACAAATGTGCCTCATCATCGTATCAAATCAATAAAATATTGATCCACACTAAATCAACTTTCTTCAAAACATGAAGAAGCCTTTTTTAGTCAGTCCCGAGCTCTAAAAACACTTTTTGCTCAATATGAATATCGCTGATCAAATCCTTTTCCCATCTATTATTTCATTCTGCAATTTCCGGCAAAGCAGTGCTAATGTCGTACTGAAATAAAAAAAACCCAAATCCAATCCTTTTTGATTATGATACTTATTTTAGAATAGTGAAAAGCCCTTGATGACACAACACTGCCATTCCCATTCCTAGGTAGGGTTTTTGATGTTTGCTATGCTTTTTTTTTTTTTTTTTTTTTTTTTACCTTCAGTATCAAAAGCAGAGACTTGACTAAATCGGATAGATACAATGGCTTTTACTGCCTTTTCAATCACCTTTTGCCATTGAGGTGGTTCACTCAATGCGATGGTGCGCGCTAATTCTGGGCCTTTGGTATTCACATTAGGTATACCATTGGTATTCACTCCGGTCATCTCTGTCTCTTCACCCTCGGGATCTGTTCTACTGTTGTCTTCCCTGTCAGAAGCAGGGTCCTCTGTACGACGTCGTTTGTGCAGGTGCAACCCACCGTCTGTTGGAGTGGACACTGATGTTGCACTTGGAGAATCTGTCAAGTCAATTTCCATGCTAGCCACAAAAAAAAATAAAAATAAAAAAAACTGAACTGTGCTAGTGTAAGGAGAACACGCTCGCGCGAGGAAGGATGGAGTGACGAGGAGCTAAAGAGAGAAGGATGTAAGGATGAAGTGATGTCAAAAAGGAGAAAATGAAATAAAAAAAAATAATAATAACGTTGATATTCCTGAACAAAAAAAAAAAAAAAAAAAGAAATATACAAGTGTAAAAACAAAAATGAAAAGAACAAGAGGAAAGGAGAAGTGAAGACAAGTTATTGTGGAATGAGAGGAAGTGGTGCGTCAGGGTATTTTGCTTTTACGTGTTCAGCGGAGTACCAAGGCTTGTCAATTGTTAAATGTCATTTAGTGTAAATACTCTCTATTAGAAAGGGACTGCTTAAAAATAACTGAAAACAAAACAACAGATCAGATCTCTAGAACGATGTAAAAGCACAATCTGCATCATTACAATGCAATACAGCAATATATTTGAAATTAAGCATATTGAAGTGTAGCCTACCAAGGCTAGAAAGATGTTAAAAACCAAAGCAATGGTAAATGCCAAGTAATGTCAAGGCTCCACAATACTCTATGCATACAAGCCACATGGGCTCGATGCTCCTTTATTAAAACTTGGCAGATCTATCCTCTTTTTTAAAATTTAAAGACTTGATCAGGTAATTTAGAAACAGCATTGACTTTATCGTATCCGAGGTCCTGGGTAATCTTGGACATAGCTGTAACCATTGGAGGGGGACCACAAAGCAAGATCTTGATGTCTGCGGCGGGTGCAGGCATGTGTTCCTTAATCATATCTGCATTCACAAAGCCAACGCCACCGGTCCAGCCCTCTGGAGGTGTATTCAACACGTAATAGACCTTGAATTGAGGATGTTTCTTTGACAGCAAATCGAGCTCAGCTTTCAAAATAATATCCTCATGAGTGACATTAGCAAAGATGAGTCTAAGCTGAGTCTTGTCTGCGGGATTCTTAAGGACAGCGCGAATAATCTATGGATATCATTTGGATACATTAATGCATCGATACAAATAGAAGATTGTTTTGAACGCGAGAGCAAGTAACAGAGCATAGGAAGTAATGATAGCATCATTTTTAATAGCTCTTACCTGGAGCATGGGTGTTATACCTGTACCACCTGCAATCATTCCAATGGCTCGACACATATTAGGAGTATAGTTAAACTGTCCCTTAGGGCCACGAACATTGATAGTATCACCAATGGCGAGCTCACTAAACATCTTTGAGACGTTGCCCTGAGGATAGGACTGCCATAAAAAAAAAAGGATATAGTATTCTATAAGAAGTTACAAGAAGAATAGTATCGATAGCAAAAAACATGATAGTCCTCTCACCTTGATGCAAAGAACAAAGTGACCAATATCATCACTACCACTGGTGGGTGTGTAGCTACGCGAGATATCCTTTCCATTGATGTGGGCCATAACTGAGATATGTTGACCGATGGGCAGGTTTAGCTTATCGTTCTCATTGGGGAGAGCGAATTTGTACCTTTTTTTTAAAAAATAATCACCGTGTCAAAAAAAAAAAAAAAAAAAAAAAAAAAAGCTTGGGGTACATGTTGAATACAAAAAAAAAAAAGATCCGTTGGCTTACATGGCTGTATTAGGACTACAAATTACTTTGTCAACTAGCTTGAACTTGCGATATTCCTTTGGGTCCAATGGAGGAGCTATGTCATTCAGGAACAGGAACAATGACATGTTAAATCGATAGTTGATAGTCTACTGCTTTAACTGATTCATTTCCAAAGCATCTCCATTCTGCTAAAGTGAATTCCCATTGTAGTGAGGCAAAGAATAAATAGATCTCTTGGTCGTTCATTGCAAAGACATACTTCTTTCGGCTGGTTTCTTGAAGAAAACTCCTGCCCAAGTGACAGCCACACCTGCGGCAACAAAAGGCAGTGTTGTGGGGTCAATGAGGTATGAACCAGCGAGAATGATGCCTGAGGCAGCAATCATGACAGGGTTAGGGAGAGCCATTATGCAAAGAGAATGAATTTGCTGTCAAGCTGGGAAGGACACAGGGAGGAAAGGGGAGTAAAGACAGGTGGAAAGTAAAAAGAATTAAGAAAGAGAGAAAAAGAGACAAGAACGAAATAAAAAAAAATATTGCTATTCTTCTTCCAGCTTCTTCGGTCTGACTACATTCCATGGCGTTGAACAGGAACGAAAATCGAACCAACAACTTTTCACCACTTCACGGCACAAGAACCATATTTAGCATGACTAAATTCAAATCCGGTTGTGTGGTGCCACATGCCGGTGGATGCAGTTTCAGTACAGGGCATTGGACAGCGCAGACACAAGCATTAATTTAATGATGTATGGGAAACAGTTTAATCAACGTTTTTTTATTTTTTTATTTTGATGTATAGTTTCCTATCGGGACCTGACATGACTACTCATGATGCAAGAGTAAGCAAGTCCAGGCCTGAGGACTATAGAAATATCCCGACTATATGAAAAAGAGAGCTAATGAGAATGAGACAAGTACGTGCCTTTTTCGCAAGCCGACCTGAATGCGGTAGCAAAAAAATACTCGTGTTTTTTGTATGTAGGCGTTAAATTTGCCTCCGCCAATTGGCACAAGGGTCGGATTGGAAGGATCGCTTCCGTAGTTTTCATGAACACGAAGCTCAAAGAGGTCTAGTAGATCAATATATGCAAGGTCCATCTCTGACCTCTGTGCAGCGTTCCAAAACTACTGTACGATCGCTTCCTTCGACGTGTTACTGATGTAAAAGGCCCATAGTGGCTCCCGAAACATATATATTTTTGCGTAGCTTTTTGTCACGGCCGTTAGTTCTGATGCCAAGATCAAGCGTAACTCACGAAGAATAAACATGCTGGTTTCGATGTCTTCGACAGATTGGCTGGCATCTTCTGGTGCTGCCTGCTTCGGTTATTGCCATCAGCCGGATTTTAGTGTAGGTTAGTAAACACCCTTTGTCTTAACTCCCAAGTTGCAGTAAGTCTTGAGCACAGGCGCTTGATCGACAATGAGGACGATTCTAGTGACGCAGAGGCGGTGGTTGTTGAGAACTGAGCTGTGGCAGTAATGGGGGCTGTAGTAGGAGAGTGAACTGCAGGCGGGTGAGCTGACTTGTCCAACAGTAGCAGCAGGGTTAGAATAAATCCCAAGGGAATTGACACGTGTGCCATTCATGTAGCTTTACCCTAAATCCAGCCCAAGCGCCTTGATCTCCTCAGACTCGCATCCTCAGAGCAGTGAGGCACTTTCCTTTGTCTCCACACATTTCGCATTTTGTAAGAAATAGTTTGTGTCATCTTCAGTTGAAATGAAAAGTTGTAGCATCACTTCTTTCCGCAGTCTCCTAAAGCGTAAGCCAAGAGTTGTAGTCGAAATTGGTCTGTATTTCACAGCAAAGAACATACCCTTGCTGGCCGTATGTCGTGGCTTCGAAGTCTCGATACCTGCCCCTCTTAAGGCGGAGCTTTATGCTTTCTGAAGAGATGCTAATGAACCGTTGGCACCCCGCTGGGTTAATCTCCGCATTGCCTCTACCAAGTCCTCTGTGTCCCACGGCTGTAAGAAGGTTGACGATTAAGGTCCCCGGTTCCTGAGCCATCAGCCATCCGCTTATGTCTTCCAATGCCCACTGCTGGTATCTTGCAAGGCCTTTGATATGTACACGTAGTTTCTCGTCCGTCTAAAGCAGAGTTGGTAATTCCGCTCCTGAATAATAGATGAGTCCCTGTTGCACAGCGAGCATCTCCACTTAACCTGGTCAAAAGGATGGAGTTGACAATGGCTAACTTTGTATAGTCAACCTCGGCCACATGCCGAGTCAGCTCTCCCTTCTCGACCTTTTTCGCAAGCTGGTGTAGTAAAGGAAACAATCTTAATCAGATTATTGTTCCTCCTTGATACATTGAGAAACCAAAGATTGCAACGATCTCCTTATAGGACAACAGGGCAGCAACAACTGTATCTTGTCAAATATGTCAGTACAGCAGTTTTTGTAGTGAGTCCTGATATTGGGACCCCAACTGAGCCATTCCTGGAAATGCTTCTGGTTTTCTAGTTTGTGGGAGGGTATTTGCGCAGAAGCTCCTAAATGAGGCATCTGTTTCCTGTGTTGTATTTGCATACTCTCGTATGAATCCATCGGATGAGTAAGGACAAGAATCGGACTCGATCCATCTCCTTCAGATGACCATGGTACTCTTTTTCCTCAGGTTAGATGCCTGGCTTTTGATGGATGAGCAGATCACGTTCAGGATCTGATGCTTAGCCCTAGAGAGCATTTCATGTTCCAATTGCTCCTCCACGTACTGAATGAATACAAGTGATGTCTTCTGTTCTCTTTTTCAGCTAACAATAACGCCTCCTTTAATATCCTGATAACTGACTCAACAATCGTGATGTTACCAACAGCAGCTCTCGTTGTATTCGCCCTCACAGTACCAACATCAGGCGTCATCGCTAACTGTTGTTTGTCCATGGCATTGATAAGCTGCGCTTTCGACATGTCATCAAGCCAACTATGTTTGTTTGCTTGCCCTGGTTAATGTCTCTTTGATGATGACTGTGTAGACTGCTCACTGGGGCCCTGGGTCTTTGTGTGGACGCTTTTCATTGGTGCGTCTTCATTGCTTCAAGTAGGGAGCGCTGCATCCGTCATGGCCAGACTTTACGTGTGTATCTTGGTATAGGCGTCGCCGTCGCCTGATTGTTATGTTGACCGAGCGGTCCAACTATGGCCCGGTAACAGTTATATTTCTTGGAACCGCGCAGCAAACCAGGCTCCTTGTCTGTCAATCTATTACTATACCAGAATAAGAGGGCAATATTAAGCAATATATGACCATAAACAATGAATATCGATCGCGCTTAAAAGGGTGATGGTTACCTCGAAGCCCTTATCGCAACTGAGTCAAAGAGACCGTGTATATACCTTAAAGGATATGCGAGACTCGATGACAGACCCGAAGAATGATGTTCTTACTCTGAAAGATTAGAGTATTCAAGCCAACTACTTGCGTGGCGAGCCTCTTTATTTTGGGGCACTACTCTATTCATTTAAAGATGACACAATTAGAGGTTGCAAGCATGCATTTGTGCCGAAGTTCTTGAAAAAACAATCCAATTAAGGTAAACAATGTTTTTTTTCAATTTGATGTGTTCTATCACTCATTTTCCCCTTCTAAGCTCATTTCGAACTCATTCTGCCTTTCTTTCTTGAAATGGCATTCCAACCTCCCTCTGCTTATCTAGCCTACTTGGATTATCACACCACTGCGGCTGTGATCTCTCAAAATTTCATCCATGCCTCAGCTCGCTCAAAGCATAATCTTACTCAGATCGACTCTCTTCGCGCCAGCTATCCACTCATGTTACTCGCGCCTGCCAATATCACTTTCTTGAAACCTGAAAGAGTGACCAGCCCTCTTCACCTTCTCTCCGCAGCAGCAACAGCAACAGCAACAGCAAAGATGATGACAAAGACAATGATCATTCCTCAATATCTCCTTTTACTCTTAATTCTAGTTCACCACTGTCGTCTAACTTTTTTGTGCCAGTACCGCCTTCTTCTCGGACCGTCTGCGTGATTATTATATGGCGGTAGTCTCCTAGCTGACGATCATCCAGATCCTCAATTTGTCTTGCAACAGCATGCGAGGCTCCTTATCCTAGGTCAGGCCAATACCAAGATTTATTAATCTCCTAAACCTGACTATCCACCTGCATCTCGGACGCTACACAGTACAGTCGCACCAAGGGCTTGTTTCTTGTCCTTGGGGCCTGTACTGGTGGCCTGTGCAGATTTAAGTGTCTTCCTAATACACGAGATCTTGCTAAAAGCTCAGCGGCCCAGGGATCCACTAAAAATAAAACAAGGTCTAGGAATAGGATGGGATGAAGATGAACATTTTAGTTGTGTGTGGTTTTGAATCGAATCGCAGGAAGCCGTGGTGAAAATGAATGCTGGAAAGCAGGGAGATCTGAATAGCGATTGATTGTTCGTTAGGCAGAACTTGATCCATCCGCTATGACAAGTGTTCAGACCATAGGATTATCATCATCGAAATATCAGACGAACCAATTAAAAAGAGGTCAAAAGACGGCAGAAAAAGAAGAAAGCGATTACAATAGTGAATAAGACGAGTTTGTGAAGAAGATCCTTGAGAAATAACAGATTGGCTTACAGGCGGGCGCTATCATCTGCAGAGCGGATTTCTGATTAAGCACATCCCAACACTACCATCCAAAAAAGCCGCACCAATTGCAGCTTCATCATCAATACCCTCAATGATGCCATCTGGTTTGAAGCTAAAAATGCTATCCTATGCGCCTTCACTATATCCGAAATCTACGGTTGGTTCATTACTTTTTATAGATTCTTAAACAATACGACTTCATCGATCGATCCTAAAGCGGTTTGGGCAATCGACAATCTACTTAGTCAAAAGCCCGAATAGAGCACAGACCATCCAATCCTGTGGAGTGTGGCAGTCGTTCAAGTGCCGCGACTTCTTTATCCCAATCAAGGCAGCCCCAATTTCGACGACTATCCCCAGAAGGAAACATCTTATAGATACCATAGTGATCAAAATGGCTTCACAGTGGATTGAACAGATACAGGATTTCGACGTAATTGTTTGAAGCCGCGATGATGAAGATGGAACAAATCATCAAAAAGCACAGAGTGGGGGAACATCAGCGGCCAAGAAACCAGTACATCAAGAGAAATTACAAGCTGAAGATCAAAGCGTCATCGATGAGCTTTCTGGCGGACGAACTGGCTAGGAATGAGATTTCCGGTAGTATTTTTTAATGAAACCCCCCCAAAATGATATATCTCCATGATGCATATCATCTCCAGTATTATTGGGGTTTTATTTCCCTTTTCTTTTTGTATTTTTTTTTTCTTTTTCTTTTTTCCGAATGCTGCTTCAAGTAATGTGTCCGTAAATTTTTTTAAAAAAGCCGATTATGGTTATCCTTCTCTGAGCAATAGTTTGTATATATTTTATCTGCACAAATGAAAGAGGATGTAGGAGGTTATAGTACTATGGAAGAAAGGAAGAGGGAAGAGGATGTTAAACAAAAGGTGACAAAGACACAGACTAATGTTATTTAGTGAGCATCGTCGCGCTTGGAGATGTAATCAACAGCCTGGGCAGCAGACTTGATTTCATCAGCATCCTTATCGGGGATCTCGATCGAGAATTCCTCCTCGATGGCCATGACAACCTCGACAGTGTCCAAAGAATCCAACTTGAGATCGGAATTGAAGTGAGCCTGAAGAGAGATCTGTTATATGGACGCAAATAAAATAAATAATAAATCAAGAGAAATAGAAAAGGAAAGAATGCATTAAGTTAGTTATGCATGCACCACACGATTATAATTTTCTGTAGTGGTTGGACGGCTGTGGTTAATAATAAGAAAGCAGCCATTTTTGTTTGTATGACATTGTTTTGCGGGTGTTGGTATATAAGAATGTGATTGTGAATGGTATATTTCTTAAGCCGCACCAAAGTCCGCGTAAGTCTTTGGTCGCGAGATCAGGGCTTGCAACCAAAGAGCCGCGATTAGCCATAAGAGCGCTGTTGTCGCGAATCAGTCGATAGAATAGTGCCAAGTCCATCGGTTGGTTTGATTACTTTTCCTCTCCTCAGAGATGACTGACTAGCAATCCAGATCCTTTTTCCGAATCTTTTTAATTTTTTTTTTTCCGAACTTCTCGGAGTGTGGAGGATTAAAATATTTGGGAGCGTAAATTGCTGTTCCAGATCAGATCATAAACGAGGTATCGAGGTGATTATCCGTATTTTTCATTCTCCAATGATTCTTGACTTGAGAGATGAAATGCTTTTTTTTTTTTTTTACCTTGCTGGAATCAATCTTATTGAAACCACCCAAGATTTCCAAGACACGCTTCTCGATATCGGCGCGGGCAAGTCCGGCAGAGGCACCGTAGGCACGGGCAAAGTTCAAGGCCATGGCATTGCGGGAAACACTCTGAGAAGCAACGATAGCAGGGTTCTTGTACAGAACCGCAGAGCGATAAAGGGCAGCGGAGGGACGAAGAGCTCTGAACATGTTGAAAGGATATTTGGTGTCAATGAACAATGGGAGTTGAATTATGAGACGGAGTAAGAAGAAAAAATAAATAAATAAAAAACGGAATCCTGTTAGCAACAAGCTGAAATACGGCACAAGTCCCTCTCAAAATACGTAATAACTGTGACTGTGGAAGGCTGTTAATTCCAGTTGAAATTTCAGTGCGGAGCATTGGACAGCGCAGACACAGGCATTAATTTAATGAAGTGTGGGAAACATTTTAATCAACGTTTTTTTTATTTTTTTTTATTTTTTTTTGACGTATAGTTTCCTATCGGGGCCTGACATGACTACTCATGATGTAAGAGTAAGCAAGTCCAGGCCTGAGGACTATAGAAATATCCCGACTATATGAAAAAGAGAGCTAATGAGTAATGAGACAAGTACGTGCCTTTTTCGCAAGCCGACCTGAATGCGGTAGCAAAAAAATACTCGTGTTTTTTGTATGTAGGCGTTAAATTTGCCTCCGCCAATTGGCACAAGGGTCGGATTGGAAGGATCGCTTCCGTAGTTTTCATGAACACGAAGCTCAAAGAGGTCTAGTAGATCAATATATGCAAGGTCCATCTCTGACCTCTGTGCAGCGTTCCAAAACTACTGTACGATCGCTTCCTTCGACGTGTTACTGATGTAAAAGGCCCATAGTGGCTCCCGAAACACATATGGTTTGCGTAGCTTTTTGACAGAATTGTCAGCTCCAATACCAGGACCTGTAAGTATGATGTTCTGTCTTAACAGCATGTTCGAGACGAAAATCAGCCTGACCACTATCCTGCCGTCTGTCATCTTTAAACACTGTATTTCTTTTTTTAGCACCGTCTTACCCATAATTTCTGGAATCTCGCTATCCTTGGGCTGGAATGCTCTCTAATTAAAAACGATGGTGCTACCACACTAACCAGTAATTGGGGGCCGGGCCGGGGCAAAAGCCATACGCTTTTGAGAAGATAACTGCTGGCTGATTGCCTAGTAATGGCGAAGCAGTCTTTCGAGCCAATGTACATTTCGTGTTTGTTTTTCATCGATATTCTGAACTGGAATAGAACTAGCTTTTAATTTAGTGCGATGTAATTGGGCTTTTGTACTAAAGGAAAGGAAGTAATGATGTTTGGAGAATCAAACCTGATAAATTAATAATGAACTGAGATATAACGAGACAAGAATGAGGATCTTTATTTTCATAATAGAAAAGAGTATTTATACCTCTTTTCTATTATTGTATGTCACGGATATTAATATTAATGTAAATTAGCTATATAGAGTTTTAGGTGATTATGGCGCAATGTTCTTCAAGTCGGTATAGACGTTTGTGTGAAAGTCCTTTTCCAAGGAATATTCTTTTGCCCTTATATGGTAAGAAGGGCACTCTGCAGGCGATACTCAAGCTGTTGAGTAACGCACTCCAAGTATCTCATCTTGAGGCATATAGGCCACGATTACGCATTTGTTTGAGTGAACAGCCTTCAATAATCTGGCACATTTTTGGGACGTTCACGCAGTAATTATTTCTTGATATCGCAGTGAGAATGACAAGCTAATCCAAGACATATCAAATGACCTCAAGGCATCTTCCTTGTAACATACCCATAACCCTTGTCGATGTCTCGCAAGTGAGCTAACGGGTTGGGCGCAGCAATTTCGACTCTAATGTTGGCCTCAAACGAACACGTGCATACACTTCATCCAGCCCTTGCGAGCCGATACTGCTTACTTAGCCTTATGTGATGGTACTACTGTTCCATGCTTAAGTAGTTCAAGCTCCTTGGGCTTCTGTTACAGTACCTCGAGTGTATGGGGTCTAGAGCAGGTTTCGAGAAGGCGATGATTTACAGTTACGGTGACGTATTTAACGCGAATTCGAGCTGCTCATCACATCAACCAATCAACGACGTGCATCCACCACTTTCCTTTTTTTGGGATCATCCACTACTTTTCCAATTTTCAGGGAGGTGTGTACCAGACTTGGACTACATGAACCCCAATATTTAAGACTCTTTGGAAAACATCTGGGGCTCCTTCTTTCTTCTTTCTTTTGTATGCTTCTTGTTTTTGTATATTATATCCAGTCTTGTACACCATCACCTTCATTACACACTCTCCACAGTTCCTACTGAATTCTCTTGGCGCCACCTCAATATGACATCCTCCTACAGAGTAAGCTTCCGAAGACAAGCCCTATTGGGAACCAGGGCCGAGCGTATAGTACCTTTCATATCCGAATATCCAACCACAAGCTAAATCTATTTTCTTCTCTTTTTTTTTTAAAAAATAAAATAAAATAAAATAAATAGATCAACTATCAATTGCGTGCTCATGTAAGGCACAAATGAATGAATTTGTCATGAAGCTTCAATGACTTTACTCTTTTTTTTTTTTTTTTTTTTTTTTTGTAAGTATCCTTCTTTAAAATCTCACACTGATGTGTTCTATGTTTTAGAAACGCGATCCTCTTATCGAGTTTATCAAAGGCTTGCTTCTCACGCCTTTCGTTTTACATGCTAAACCTCGTAAGCCGGTCCTAACCCCATCTGACGCTAGGGGTGGTAGCCAACAGGGACCAGAAGCCGGTAATGGGGATGAAGATAATAATGATTATCAGGAGGAAGAAAAACCTATGGTTGATGCCAATCTTCAGCGCTACCTTGAGATAATGAAGTCGGTCGAGGCCATGATCGAAGAACATCGTCGGAAAGTCCGTAAAGGCGTGCCTGAGCACTCACGGTTGCACAGGATAGTACCGTCAGTCGCGTCTTTTTTCACACCATTGCCCCTGGAAGCCGCTTTTTTGAATGCGAATGCAAAACATTCCATTGCAGCTAGGCGGTTCGTTCCTCCAAGCTTTAACGATATCAGAAGGTGCGCATATGGATTCGGCCAGTATCGGATAATGAATCCTCATTGGCAAGCAATATACCATCGAATACGTTCTCTTATGATATCAAACATCTGACATGAGTTTTTCGTTTATTGCCTTCTAGGATCTTGAACACAGCTCAAGTCATGGCGATCGCACCTACCCTTAAATTGATCACCTTGTAAGTGATGAACCTTTTTGAGAGAACATTGTCTGCGAGGAAAGAATTCATGCGGCTGTGAATAACTAAAATTTAATTGGACACTCTCAATATTTTGCTCTTAAGTGATGGTGATATGACTTTGTACGATGATGGTACCTGTTTCACCGAAACCTCGTCTTTGATCCCACTTTTGATTACATTGATACGTGCTGGCCTCAATGTCGCTATTGTCACCGCAGCCGGCTATCCTGGTGATGCCAGTAAGTATGAAGAGCGTCTGGGAGGCCTTCTACGCAGTTTCCGCAACCATAAGTTGTCAGAGAAGCAACTGGAGAGATTCTACGTCCTTGGAGGCGAGTGTAACTACCTCTTCCGCTGTGGATGGAAAAAGGGTGGGGCTACTGAGGAAGGCGTCGTAGGACTCACTTACATCGTGCCAGAGTAAGCTTCCTGGAACTTTTTTTTTTTTTTTTTTTTTTTTGTAGTGAATGATATCAGTACCCCTTGGCTGTTGAAGTACAATACTTCTAACAAGTCATAATACTTTTTTTTTTTTTTTTTTTTTTTTTTTTTTCTTTTTCCTCAGAATGTATCAGCCAGCTGATATGCTTGCCTGGAAGTCTGAAGATATTCAAGAATTGTTGGATGTGGCTGAAGAGAACTTGAGGCGTTGCGTCTCTAACATGAACCTTAAGACTACCGTCCTACGTAAGCTGCGTGCTGTAGGTATTGTCCCTCTCGAGGGCGCCAAGATTGCGCGTGAACAACTGGATGAATGTGTGCTTTCGACCCAACAACGCCTATTGGAGTACCAACAAATGTCCGGCCCTTCCAAAGTCGCTATCCCCTTCTGTGTCTTTAATGGTGGAAGTGATGTCTTTGTTGATATGTAAGTTGGCTCACATACGTTGCATCATGCAGTCCTCAAGTTTGAATACAGGAAAAGATAAGTTAATGAGATCTAACCATGCCCATCATTCCTTCATATAATTGGTAACAGTGGTAATAAGTTAATTGGCGTTCAGGTACTCCAAAGTTATCTTGGGACTGCACCCGATGCCACTGTTCACGTTGGTGATCAGGTATGAATATTATGAACTATTGCTCAGGACCCATTACTGATAAGGTTTTGTTATCTAGTAATTTATATTCTAAAACATCTTAATGTTTGTGTTTTGGATGCTTTAGTTCTTGTCAACTGGAAATGATTTTGCTACACGTTCCAGCTGCTGTACCCTCTGGATTGTCAGTCCAGAGGAGACGGAAGGTGTCTTGAAGGAACTGACTCCTCTTTTGACCTTCCCTTCAGAGACCGAGTAAAAAAGCACTCTGGATAATTGTTCGCCTCTATTGTCTAATTATTTTCTAATTTGTTAATGTTGCCATCAGTCCTTGTCAATAAAAAGTAAAGACATATTGAAATTATGAAACACCTCATTCCTATTTTTTATGTATTTCACTCTTTCACTACATGCCACGGGATAAGTGATCACTGACAGACGCGTCTGTAGTAGTTCTAACAAAGATGATGGAGGCCTATTAACGGCATTAGTATCAGAAAAGCACGCCATTAAGGATTTATCAGAGCTAACGAGCCTTTTAAACGCAATATCACCATCAAATAAGATATTTATTCTTTAATTATTGTTCATCCCTATTCTATTATCAAAATGACACTTTTCTCAGAACAAAGAACCTTGATGTGTATATTCTGGTTAAATTTATTTTGAACTGTCCTTTGGGTTTCTGCAAAAGACTCGAGAGTAGAGAGAGACGATGGACAAGTACATGAGAGTTTTAGAGAGAGGGGAGAAAATGATATGATAGAATAGACGAGGTTCTAAACAGAAGACATCTTAGTGGTGATGCTCCTCCTCCTCTTCCTCGACCTCCTCCTCCTCAGCCTCCTCAACAGCCTCTTCAGAGACAGCATCAGCAATCTCGGCATTGGCGGTCTCCCAGGCAGCAAGATCGGCACTGGCATCAACGGCAGGGGCCTAAAAACACGGCGAGATGATTATGTTAGGGTACTTGCTGGGATAGAGTTGGATGACGCGATGCTAAAAAAAAAAAAAAAAAAAAAAAAAAGGAAAATTTACTTACAGCAGGAGTAGCAGGGGTCTTGAACTCCTTGACCTGGGAAGAGGCATCAGCACCCTTGGTCTATGAGAGATAAAAGGTAGCGCAAATTCAAAGGTCAATATTTCGCTAACCATTCTATACTCGTTAACTTGCCAGTTTTTATGGACCGGAAAAAAAAAAAAAAAAAAAAAAAAAAAAAAAAAAAAAAAAAAAAAAAAAAACAGATTATGAACATGTGTGAACGGACGCATACCTCGGGGGCAGGCTTATAACCCTTGAGCTCCTTGATGTACAAGTCCTTGAGGATATCTATAGCGAGACATGACGAGAAAGAAGTCAGCAAAGTCAGATCACCACTTGTTTCTTCACAGCAAAAAGACATCAGTATTATTATCAAGTGAGAAATATATATACCTTGCGAAGGGGCCGAAGGGGAGGTGAAGCTGCGAACGGCCATGAAAGCGGCAGGACGGGCAGCAACAGCACGCGAGACGGGGGCCTAATTATATGGGTCAAAAGGTATGTTCAAGACAAAAAAACGTTGAGCTCAGAGGTTTGTAATATAAAGAGACTATCTTAACAAAGAACTTTTCTTTTGTCCAGCTATTCGTGCTCTCAAGCAACATCGTTTGAGTTGGTGTGATGCATCTTTATACGAAGTGATGATTTGAGTAGTTTTCATCTCTCCTGAAATTTTTGTAACGAGATCTTTAAAGATCAAAGATTGCATATTTGCAAGAGATCATTGTGATGTTCCTCCAATCCATCCACAAAAATTACTTCCTGACCTTTCCTGATGGTTTCAAGACAAATCAATAAATCGCCATTATTTTATCCATGCATCGCGATAAAATATAAAAAATAGCTGAGATCATATAAATATTCATCATGATAAAAATAAAGATCCTGAATTATGTGAAAGTAGAATGGTGTGAAATCCTCAAAGCTTTTTTTTTTTTTTTTTCTGTATGAATGTTTGTTTGTTTGTTCGTTTGTTTGTTTGGTTCTTACAGCGAGACGAATGAAGCGAGATGCGATCATAGCGAATGTGTAAGGTATGATGTGGAGTGATGAGAAAAGAAGAAAAGAGAGGAAATGGATGCGGGAGTACTCGAAATCGCAGAATTGTTGATTCTCTGTGCTGTCCCGACGTCTCTCGCTGTGTTTGTTGTGGCGGGCGATCGTCAATAAGAGAAATTATCTAAGCCCTCTATTATTGCACATCGGCTCATTCACACTCCCCATCACGACACAAAAAGCGTTCTGTGCAAATATATTTTCTACTTTGTATAATATAGTTGCTATTCATATCTCTAATGACTTCCTCTTCAAACACACCATTCAGGGCATTCCTCAAAACAGCCTCTTCCTCTCCTTCATCCACATCCGATTCTAATAGCAATGTCAAAAAGATAAAAGAGTTCCGTATTAGACGTACTCCACCTGTCATAAAGGTCACAAAGCCAACAAAAAAAACTCCTGACCAGGACTCAGTTACTACTATAACCTATAGATTATCTTCCCCTCTTGCTGCCTTATTCCCATCTTCAACAGCTCCTCAAGAGCCGAGGCTATGCTCGGACCTGAATACCAATGCCAAAAGCCCAAAGCTACGAGGGCTGTTCAGCAAAAAGGATAAAGAATCACCTAAACACTCATGTACCATTCAGGGGCAGAACTCGAGCAACGGAGCAGGTTGGTCTTCAGCGCTCTGGACTGGATGGAAGAGTCGAGTGGGGAGGTCTGAACACGCCATGCTCAAGCAAGAGGGATGGGATTGTAGTAAATGCTGCAACGATGAATCAACTCTCAGCAAAACTTCAAGGATATGGATTTCAACTAAAGCCAACAAATCAGATACTGATGTTTCAATAATAGAGAAACGCCAGGCCAAGAGAGAAAAGTATTTTGGTATAAAGAGGAACAGTTTAGTGGTAACTAAGCAAGATCATGACAACTCCTTTTTTTCAGAATCTGACTCAGATGAGCATACAAGTGGTTGTGGTAGGGGTGAGATCATGCTACACCCGTCGCATAACCTCAGTGATCAATCCATAACATCACGCCCATACCATGAACAGCAGGGCCAACGAGCCAATGGACACCAGCAATGCCATTTAATCTCATCTCAGACTCAGGAGCATGCTTGCTATCTCCATAATTCACAATGTAACCAGCACTATCCACCTAGAGCGGGCATGACGTTGGCAATACATGATATCCTTGGGATAGGCAAAGTCACAGAGATGAGTCTGGCTCTATTCTTGGCGCATGATGCGTTCTTAAGTCGGAGGCCATTCTGGATGCAATGCGCTATCATGGCTTGGGAAGGCTTAGTGGTCTTGCTGATCCTCTGGTGTGTGCTTCGGGTGGTAGGGTTGGCAGAGGTTGTGGTCTGGGGTGCAGATGATCTTGCCCGGGGTACAGTGTCGCTGATCCAAGCCATCATGCAGTCACTGCGAATTATCCTAGTGTATTTTTACTGAGAGAGCGTCCGTCGTCATTGTTTTGTGCCACGAACTGGTAAATAAAATGTTATAAATATTTATGTATAAATATATGAATATGTGTAGAAATTGTGGATATAATAAAATACATCAATAGTATTAATATTAAAATAAAGAGCTGTATTTTAGTGATGGGCACTTGCAGGCAAAATGACCTCATTGTGGGATGTCCATGTGGGCGCAGAGGTGCACACGCACATTTTCAATGGATCATAGATATTCTCACTTCAACTCGCTCTCTCCTTTTCTACACTGACCCTTGTTAAAGCCCCTCTCCATGATCACAAATCGTCTTTTCTATTCGCTCTGTCTGTCCTGTCAGTCCACTGGCTGGTAATCAATACACGCGTATGATCTTCACATTTTTACTTGTTCTGTCAAACATTTACCCTTCCTATTTAACTTTTTAATCGCTTCTTTTTACTTCTCCTTCCTCCTCATCTATCCCTTCCCTCCTCCCTGTTCACTTTAAATCTTGTACATAAACATATTCTTTTATTCCCCTATTCTCTTTTCTCTTCTCATATTCTTGTATATATCCCGCGATGACTGAACAGCAAGACGAACAGTATGAACAACACGATCAGAATGTGTTGTCTTCAGTAGTCAGAATACATTATGAAGAAGATAATGATGAAATAGATCATTCCCGGAACCGAGTCTCTGAACAGTCACCTCTAATCACACCCACGCCAAGAGAAGATGCAGGAACAAAAGTTAGTCTACACCGTACTCAAGATGGTAGTGGTCACAGTATGCAGGCACTCCCACGAAAATCAACCCATTCGATATCAAGGCATACTAATGAGCAACAACAGAACGAGGTATTGACAACGACGTGGACTGAATGGACAATTAAAAATGGACTTCATCCTAGCACTTGGACAAAACATACATACTTTCGAGCACTATTGTTGACGACACTGATAACATTGGTGGTCTTGGCATTCACTGTCTTCAGGGTACAAGATCGTGTCAAAGAGATTTTGCAGTACGTGTTCCCTTTGTTTCAGGAAATGCTCTCATTCTTCCTCAGCTCCGCAGCAGTGCCGGGAAAACAATACAACCATATTGATTTTTTTTTTTATTCCTTTTTTTATTTCATATTTTGCTAGTTATGTTGATGACCATAAGAGCATGGGTGCTCTTCTGTTTATCTTGTTTTATACAATTGCGATATGGCTTTTTTTGCCAGGATCCCTCTTTACCATTGGAGCAGGCTTTTTGTTCAAGCCCATACCGTTTGCACTGGCTATTGTTCTTGTTGGAGATGCCTTTGGTGCAATGGGATCGTTTTTATTTGGCCGTTACATCTTTTATGATTGGGTCAAGGGCATGATGTCACAACATCCAAAATTCAATGCGTTGGACGAAGTGATCAAAGATGATGGTAAAATATTGGACATACTATTCAGGTTCTTCAGAAAAGGCAAGACCGATGTGAAGAGTAACTTAATGTTTATACCTCTCTTTATCATCTTTTTCCTAATAGGCTGGAAAATAGTCGTAATGTTGCGCCTGACACCAATCCCCTTCAACTTGATCAGCTACTTCTTTTCTATTACCTCAATTTCGCTTCACACTCTTGTCTGGGCAACCTTAGTCGGCGTGTTTCCAGGATCTTGTCTCGGTATTTGGATCGGTTCCTTGCTCAAGGGTCTCTCTGGAATCGATAACCCAGAGTTGGAGACCAAAAATATCGTCATTTTGATTATGAATGGCATTTTTATCGTGTGCTCCATCGTGACCCTGTCCATCTTTGGGAAGAGGTCTTTACGCAAGGCAATGCGGAAGCTCGACCGACACCATCACCATTATCGCCCCCAGCAGGATCATGAAAGCGAAATTGATGGAGAGACACAAGAGGAGGACGGAGGACAGCTTGCCCCCCCGTTAACAGATGCAATTGCATCTGAAGTCATTGATGCTGAGGCAAGGGTGGTCAAGGCTCAAACATCGATGGGGTTCACTCGTGGTGAAAAGTGGGTATTTGCTGGAATCGCAGCTGTAGCTGTCATCAATATTTGTGTTTGTATACCACTCTATTTCCACTATGCTAGCCAAGGAGAGTAGTATAATAAAAAGACTCAAAGGGTCATCATCATCATATTATTATTGTTATTATTCTGAAGAAATGGATCGCACAATGATTGTTCTAGTATGTCTACACAATCTGGTAGCGTCCCCCACCGCCGCGACCCAATCCTGCACCTCCTCGATTTGTGGCTTCGACCGCACGCATGGTTTCTTCCGTCAAGATACGCTTGATCTCGTTCTTGGCCTTGTCAATCACTAATTGAGAGTCACCCTCGACAAATAAGTACAGCTTGCGCTCGCCTGGGGGTGGTTGCTTACCTTCCTCCACAAACACGCCACGCGTCGTGATGGCAGCGCCCGAGTGTTCAGAAATTTGATTGATCATCATCTTCTGTGTCACCATCAGACGCGCCTTAGGAGGGAAATCATTGATCTCAATCTCCAGTGCAAAACCACTGTCTCGATGGCTTCCACCAGCTCCGCTGCCAGGAGCCCCACCACGTTCTGAAGAGGCACCAATCGCACCAGAATCTGCCCCTACGCCAGTCGCCCCGGGTCGATTGCGATTCAAATTATTAATGACTTCAAGGGCACGCTGTTTGGCATCACCCCCCAGCGACTGGCTTAGAGCTTCTGCAGCCTCTTTGGCCTTTCGAAGGGCTATATCCGAATGATATAAGGATAGAAATCAAGCCAAAACTTCATTAGTGCTATGCATGATACCACCCAGGTCGCATTTAATTAAGATGCATAAATTTCAAATAAATTACCTTCTGAAGGATCGCCTGGTACTGCTATCTTACCAGAGTTGTTCAGGGTTTTGCTTACGTTACCTGCTGCAGCCATAGCCGCATTATTGTTCTTATTAATCTCGCTTGAATCGCTTCCATTGATAACTTCGGCCGAAGCGGCTGCTTTTCCTGCTGTGATACCCGGCTGGACTTGTTTAATCTCCAATACGAGTTCTTTCTCTCCTCCTTCGCCGTCAGACCCATCTTCGTCATCATCAGCACCATACGTCTAAATTCCGATAAAGAAGTATAACCTTCATCAGCACTTAAAGTAATACATAAAAAGGCTATAAGCAATGGTGTTGCCAGTGGCGTTGAATCATCATTTCTAAATTACCTTCTTCTGAATGGCCAGAACCTTGTCGCGCTCTTTCTCAAACTTTTCAAGACCTTTGCCTCCAAATCCCGAGGCATTCTGTTTGGCATCTCCAGACTTGACCTTCTCATGGAATGAATCCACAAGCGCCTGCAGTTCTGCAGGCACTGGAGTGTTACTATTAGTCAGTGCTTTTGCGATATCGGGTGCGAATCTCTCCTGCTCTGGAGTAATGAAGGTATAGGCAATGCCTTTGTTGCCTGCGCGACCAGTACGGCCTACACGATGTACATAGTCTTCCATATGGTTGGGACATTCATAGTTAATCACAATGCCCAGTTTTTTTACATCTAAACCACGAGCAGCAACGGAAGTTGCGATTAAAATTGGACAATCCCCTGACTTAAAGTCTGCAATTGCACTATCACGATCCACTTGGTCCTATTTATAGCAAATTGTCAAAAATATAGATTGGTATTTTAGTTGCCTGCATATTATCTCCAAAAGTGTCAACCAAAGGCTTTTTTTTAATCTCTTACTTTGCCACCATGAATGGTCATGCTAACATATCCGCGCCGTATGAGACTACTCAGTAGATTGTCTGCTGCTTCCTGTCGGCTAACAAAGATCAACACTCTTGGTTCTGGGTTATCCACATAAGCTTGACCCAATATTTCAAGCAGGCGATTGAACCGTGTATCATCTTCGCGGACCTCCACGACTTGCGTTACATCCTCAGCAACAACCGAACGTGCGCCGACCGTGATTTCGAGAGGACGTTTCAGTAACTTGCGAGCAAGAGCCTCCATCTATCATATTTTAAAGAGGCAGACCATGAGTTTTCTGTAAGGAATATGCAGAAGACTTGAATCTTTTTCTACACACTCAACATTAAGTTGGATCACTTTCACCTACCTGCTTGGGGAATGTTGCTGAAAAAAGAACGACTTGTCTCTGTGGTCTAACGTTTTGAACAATTTTCATAACCTATGTGAAGCATGAATAATTATTGGAAAGTGGATTGGTCAAGAGTCAATACCTGATTCTTTCATTATTGAAAATTAAAAATTTACGATCGTTACCTGTGGCTCAAATCCCATATCGAACATCCGGTCTGCTTCATCAAGGACCAAGAAGGTTGTTCTTCTCAGATTAGTCACCCTGCCTGAATTAGCACACAATAGATCAATCAATCTTCCAGGCGTACAAACAACAATTTCGGCTCCGCGCTTAAGTTCAGCAATTTGATCCTTGATTGGTGAACCACCATACGCACAGACTGCACGCAAGTTCAATACCTTCAAAAAGTTTTTACACTCCTTGTGGATCTGAACTGCCAACTCACGAGTGGGCGTCATGATGATCGCAATAGGGCCTTCCATGTTTTCAAGAGGGCGTTGATCCTTGATGTGGCGGAGCATGGGTAAAATGAAGGCAATAGTCTTTCCAGATCCTGTTTTGGCTACTGCGATCACATCGCGTCCACTCATGATCGCTGGAATTGCCTGACACTGGATGGGTGTTGGCGCTGCATAGTTAAGCTTGTCCTTGATCACCTGCATGCTAGTTATGGAAAGTACAAGAGCGATGGGTTATAATTCTTGATGAAACGATAGAATCTAAAAAAAATAATAACAATAAAAAAATAAAAACGTTTGCGTTGTTCAAATGACTTACCATCCTGGAGGAAGTCCAGCTTGAGTCCATTTCCTAATGGGCTTTGGGCAATCCGCCCCACGGATTTTGATCCCATCAAGCTCCAATCTCAAACTATGGATTTCTTCTGGAGTCATGTCCGCCATCTCGGGAGGCTCGAGATAAAAGTCCTTCCTAAAATATTCATACTGTATCTTGGAATGATCCACTGCTGGGATATCTTTCTTCTTAATCCGCTTTGCAGCCATCGCAAGAATATCCTCTTCATCTGAAGACTCAGCAACATCCTCTTCATCATCGTCATCAGCAGTGGCCAGTTTTGGAGCCGAGCTTATTGCTGATTCGGAGTCACCAGGAGTCTTTTTAAGCTTAGCATCTCGTTTTTGCTCCTTCTTCTCCAGCTGCTGGACTTCCGCTGTGACATCGACCATGAAAGCATCTAATGGGTCAATCTCATCTTCTTCCATAGCAACGTCTTCTGCTTTTGTAGTCTCGCCTTCTTTTACATCCTCCATAATAACGTCTCCATTCTCGTCCGAACCCTTTGTTGTGGGTAATTTTGGCTCTTCTTCTTCATCATCATCATCCCAACTCCAGGGTTTTGTTGGAGCTAATGCTACTTCCGCTTGAGTTTCTATGACAGACTTTGTGGAGTCTAGATTACTTTCAGGAGCTTCAGCAAGTTTTTGTTCGGCAAGCTTCGCTTGTTCTTCTGCCTTCTTGGCGGCCTCGCGCTCCAATCTCCATTGCAATACGTTCTCACGACGTTTTCGAATAACGTCCGTATCACCAAATGCAGCGGAAATAGCGCGGGGTGCTGAAGAAGTAGAAGCATTAGATGGAAGCGAGAGCGATATAGGGGCCTTGACCTAATTAGACAGTGTTTCCCAACCATTTAAGATTCTAAAAGTCAACATCAAATGTTCGCACATTTGCATATAAGAAGAAAGATAAAAAAAATTACCATAGTTGCTTGAGGCGTCACGGCAATTGGTGTGAATGGAGCAGGCTGCATGGTCGAATTGGTAGTAACGATAGTGGCGGGGGACGTAGATGAGACTGTTGGAGCGTTTGCTATAGGAGTTGAAGATGTGCCTTCCTTTCCTGTTGTGGGTATAGTGCTCTTCTCCTGGTCATCCAGAGGTCCAGACAGAGATTGAGGCCTATCTGATTGTTCTGATCGCTCATAATGCTCCTGACTGCGACTTCTGCCTTGCTCATAGTCACGATCCTGGCCCTTGCGATCCCTATCTCTGCTTTCATGATGGTCCCTACTGCCGCGGCGATCCCTATTACTATGGCGGTCTCTGCTGTCGCGGCTATGCCTATCGTGATCGCGCTCATGTTCACGCGTCCGTCCATGATCCCTATCTCTAGATCTATCTCTCGATCTATCTTTGGAGCGCCTCTCTTTGTCACGATCTCGCTCCCGCTCCCTATCTCTTCCACTTTCTCTGTCACGACTACCGTCATCATGGTAATGACGGTCTCGATCACCCCTACGTTCCTTCTCTTTGTAGTGGTGGTCGCGATCAGAGGACTTAGTGTGGTCCCTGTCTCTATCTTTGTCCTTGTCCCTAGCCTTGCGGTCTCGCTCCTTCTCTCTTTCTTTCTCTCTGTCTCTGTCCCTATCTCTTTCCTTGTCTCTATCTCTGTCCCTATCCCTTTCCCTGCCTCTGTCTCTGTCTCTGTCTCTGTCTCTGTCTCTGTCTCTGTCTCTGTCTCTGTCTCTGTCTCTGTCTCTGTCTCTGTCTCTGTCTCGGTCCCTACTCTTATCCCCGACTCGACTTTCTCTGTCAATGTCCATGTCCATGGCGTCGGAACGTAATGTCCCGTGGTTACCTGAAAGTTTAGAAGCTGCAATGGAGGAGGGTGATCGGATCGAGGAAAGCCCAGTGGGTGAGCCATCTCCTGGTGAGGAAAGGCGAGAGCGTTTTGAAGAGGGAGAGCGATTGTCGCTCGAGTCTGGACTGCGTGGTCTTGCCATGGTAAATGTGTTAACAGCAATTAGAGAATAGAGATGATATTAAAAATTTAATATGGCGAAGTTCAGAATTATCCTTCATAGACCAACCTTGGTGGAATACAAAGATTTGTATCTGAAACTACGTCAGCGGCTTCTAGTCACGTGATTAAAGAGCTTCGTTAGGGTGGAAGTGCAGCACACCTAACCATCCTGCTTCGTTTCTCTCTGAAGCTGGTCTGCGGGTCAGAGCTTCTTCGCTTGCGTTTCTTTTGATCTGACTTCACCCAAGGGTATTATCCCTTCGCGTCAATAGGCTGGAGATACAGAGGCCTCTCTTGATTGAAGAGATATTCACGAACAACGTTGCGGGTGTTGTGGCCTGTCATAATGTCGCGATGGATGTATGCCTTGCAGTTGGAGCAGTAAAGCTGTCGGATCTCAATTGCCCAACAAAATCCTCGCATGTGGAGCACTTCTTGGAAGTTTAGTGCTCGTTGACATCGACAACAAGTATCCAAGGGACCGTGCCTAGGGATTTAATACAAATCTAGTTAGAGCGAGCTTTTCTTAATAAATAAACAAGATACAAAATAAAGAACCCAAAAAAATAACCATCTTACCTTGGAGATCAAGGTCCAAACCGACTTAACAAGTGAAAATCGATTTCACTAATTTCCTTATTATCACAATATTTCACTGATGGCGCCAGAAGCATGGACAAACCATGCTGAGGGCAGCTCTTCGAAAGCGATCTTTTAAAACAACACAGTTGACATATGATGCATAACATGACATTTGGACTAAATCTTTCTTTTCTTTATTTTTTTCTTTTCCCCGTTGTCATGATAACGAGAATATAATTGCAGCTTCATAACCAGCAATGAATATTTAGTTAATAAAATGTCTACTTGATTAGGCTTCATTTTCCGCCATTTATATCCATTTTGCATTCCTTTCAGCCACCGCCAAGGCATTGTGTCCGAAGGGAAGTAAAAAAAAGAGTGTATCGGATATCTTTGATGGTAAATCGCAAGTACAAAGATAATATATTGTACATATCACAGTGCCAGTGAGTCATCAAAAATGTTTATAATAATAATAATAAATCTGTATGTTCTTATGATGTCTATAATAAAAAGACATACTTTTTCATATTACATATTGTAGACGACTATCTTTTAGAGACCCTCCCCTTTTTGACGCCCTGTGCTGTACGCTTCCCAGACTTTGAGCCATCACCGCCAGTTTCTTTATTTCGGAAGCTTGATCCATATCGTGCGACGTTCGAAGCCGAAACCATCGCTGTCAATGATGAAGCTACACCGAATGCCGTGTTCCCCTTTCTTGGGGACTGTTCCCGTTCCTGATCCTGATCCTGGTCCTGTGACAATCGTTTGCGCTGCTGCTCTGCAAGCAGGTCCCAGTGACTAAGCGTAGAATTGTCTTGGTCCTCGTCACTACCACTATCCTCGGTATCAGACCCTTGTTTAGCACGTTTGCTATTTATGATATGCTCATCATTGTTATTCTCTGTATTTGTGGATGTCGCCTTGGATGCTAATGGGGCTTTGGTTATAGCCGCATGGTTTCGCTTACGCTCTGCCAGTTTAACATTCACATTTTTGGATTGAAGTTGGCGTTTAGCAGCAACAACCGCCTCAGGAACCTTAGTTTGTGTGCTCCTTATGCCCTTGCTCCGGCTAGTCCTTCGCTTTTTCTTCTCCAATTCATCCACAAAGCCCTCTTCATCATCATCGACATTGTCCTCGTCGCACATATTGTTGTTTGCCACTTGTTTGGTGACTTCTGAGTCATTGACCACATCCTCACTGTTAGTACTAGCAGGAGACTTGTCCTTTTCGGAAGTTGTAGACTTTCGCTTAGTCGAAGGTTTCTTAATCGGTTTGTTATCACCTTTCCCTTCATTTTGTAGGTCATGCCCCGTTAATCGATCAACAACTTTCTTCAAGCGCGTGCTCTTGTGCACAATTTTCCTGGCAGGTGATTGAAAGCCGCCGGTTCCGACAGACGCATCGAAGAAGCTATCCAATGAGGTTTGAGTTTGGTGTTGTTTACTTGACATTTGCCGAATTATGGGTAACAGGACTCGATCAACCTCACTGCGGTCCCATCCTAATGATTTACGAAGAAAATCACGTAAGCCATCCAAATCTGGGATCCCCCATTGAAACTTGGCTGGGTCATCATCTACTAATGGATGAATATAGGCCTCTGCGACATGAGGATCTGGAAATGTCGGTGGTATATGGATCTTTCTACATTGTTTCGCCTATGATATGCAAAGTATAGTATGAAAGAGAAAATGATTTAAAACTGTTGAATTTCATACTAGTCAATTAATTGAGAGTACAAAAAAGTCCTTACGAGTTTCTCAAGGGCTACTTCATCGATTGAATCTAGTTCCATCTCTGTCAATCCGCCATCACTATCGCCCTTGTTAGCGTCGCCAACCCCTTCCATTTTATATTGCTCGCCTCTCCACCATCGTGCAAAGTTTTCCAGCTTTGGGAACAGTCGAATGATCTCCATTGCGGTAATTAGGCCAATGCCTTTGATGCCTGCCGTGTAGTCGCTTCCAAGGAGATAAGCTAATGCCACCAATCGGTCTCTTCCGACACCAAGGTCACGTTCGATGTCACTCATCAAATAGCACTCCACAAACTTCTCTTCTCGGAACATATTCTTGAAAACGCGAGCTCCCCCAAAGAGGAAGACATCGCTATCCTCCGTCAAGATACCATCAACAACACCTCGTAGTTGGAGATCAGCACATTGAGCCTCTGCTTCCATGGGAGCAACAAGGTATGGAATACCAAAAAGCCGTAAGAGCATTTGAGTCTCGGCTACCATACCTTCTGTTAGATCGTCTGCATCTCGTTGGTGTTTTCGATGTTGATCCCGTAAAACCTTGATTTCACTTTCCAATCGCCTCGTTTCTTCAAACATCTTTTTCGCTTCTTGCTGATCCAATGCCTCCTTCTCTTCCACACTAAGTGTTAATTGCGAGGATTCAACAGCTGACGCGATTGGTGATGCCTCCCTGGGATTTACTACACCCGGTAAATTGGCCATGTCAGGGAATAATTTAGTGAAATTTTGCTCCTCGTCCTCCAAGTTCATCTCATGAGCTTCATCTTCGTCCTTGTCCTCCTCTTCCTCGTTGTCAAGCTCTCCTGCCAAAACCAAATTGGAACTGATTTCTTCAACTTCCTTGTCCGGCAGAGGCGATGTTTCTCGGCGTTCAACCAGAGTATCCTCAGCCAGTTTATTGTCCATTTCATCGCTCACAGGCTCAGAGTGCACCTCAATGGTCGATTTGTTTTCGCTCTCCAATGCAGAACTACTAGTGGAGGCTTCGATTACAGGGCCCATTGTGGTCTCTTCTTCAACCGAAGCTTCCTTTACTGAATCCTCTAGCGGCTCAAAATATACTTCAGAAGCTGGCTTTACTATGGAATCCTCAGCACACGTCCCTATTTCAACCTCGTCTGAGATGATGCTGGGGACACGGCGCTTCAAAATCGATGAGCTGAAATCAAGAATAGGGCGCTGAGAAATTGTTGGCAGCTCGAGGGGCACTTTTTGTTCAGTGGATAGTATCATTGTCTCCGGATTTTCCTGGTTTGCAATTAATGAAAGTGACGACTCATTGGCGATTGTTGGAGTTAATATGCTGCCTACATCTGCAGGGCTGATGGGTGTTGCAGACTTCTGGCGCCGCATAGGCTCATCTTCCGCACTCACTCTCTTTAAATTATCTATATTATTTCCGTCATCATCATCATCTTCCAGTAAGATCGTCCGTGAAAGTCGGCTCTTACGCTCGATTGTTAAGCCAGTTGAAGAATTCACAGGTACGTTTTGGGCGATGTGGACACGCCTTGCCTGCAGTCGATGAAGCAAAGACTCCAAAAATGCCTTCCAAAATTTAAGAGCTTCAACACCAACGGTATCATTGACGCTTGATTTTTCGAGTTTTCTCGTTGCAGAGTGAACCTCTACACGGATAGTTTCCTCGTTCCACTCATAAATAGAGCTTCTGATCTTGGATTCGTAATCTTCGTGTTTGATCTTAAAGCAGTCGGGCGTATACCCTGTCCAGTAGCCGTGAAATGCCTGATTGTCGAGCTCTGCCTCCTCCGTAATAGGAAGCGCCCTTCTGCCTGGCTCATACGCCCCACCTTGGCGTCTTGTATTATATACCTTCCTGGTCACGATATCACCTGTTTGCTCGTCCTCAATCATTTCTGCCGTGTCGTCATAGTCCGCAGCATTGTCTGAGTACTGCGCATCCAAGGAGTGTACTGTATCCATAGATTCAATCTCTTCGGTTCCAGTGAGCGCCTCGGACCAATGGTGGTCCTTTTTCAACCTTAAGTCTCTTCCCACCAAATGACGGCTTGTTGCATCCTGAATTTGGACGGTATCCTTTTCGCCGACCAATTGCTGCCCGCTTTCTTCATCCAAACTTCCAGGGAACCCATCTCCAGGACGTGTTGGTATAGGGTCTGCAGATAACTTCCTAGCAGCTTCGTTTTCGACTTCTGCAAACTTGGCCATAACCTTCTCAATCGACTCATCTTCATCCACATACGCTTCCAGATGATTTATAAGTAAGTTACTGTCATTAATGTCGACAGTTTTCTTGGGGGCTATTGCATTTATAGGCTCTTCTGACTTTATGGTGGGCTCCACTCGAGAGATTTTGACCTCCTCAAATTCGACATCATTGTCCTCTTCACTTTCGCTCTCCCAACCATCTTCATCTTTGATTTCGATATTGTCTTTGTCCTCGTCTTCATCAGAATCTAGTTGTACGGGCTTATCGGCAGTCGCTCCTGTTGTTGGCTTCCTGCCACCCAAGACCCATCCTCCATCCTCATTTTTGATCAAGACATACTGTCGATTCCGTTGCGAAGCAATTCTACCAGGCTTTGCAACTTCATCCATCTTATTAACAGCCTGATTTACTGTGAGCAGCTTATGTGTTACATTATTGCGACGAATGACCCCTTGAATCTGTAGCTTTGAAAAGTCCATAGGCGTATTTGATGACCGAACCATGTCTTGCACACGCTCATAAGACGTTACTCTAGAGCGCAGGCGAATATCATGCAAAATTTCGTACTGCATTTCTGATGGAAGAGCTTTGAAAACATCCGAGTCAATATTAGCGACGCCATCTTCCTTCTTGAATTCATTCAGGAATCGACTCACATCATCATCAATATCATAGCCAAAACGCTCATCGTTGCTTCGAATCTTGGAGAGCGTATCAAAATCGACCTCCATAGGGGGGAGCAGGTATTTATCTTTATTCCTTTTCGCCTGGCTCCCGCTGGTCACCGCTGCATCGATCCCTGGTTTGATGGCACTAATCATAACTGCTCTCTCTTCAGGACTTAAATCTCCATTCTGTAGCTCCTGCAAGTACATTGGATCCTTGTCAGAATCATGTATGGCCTCATCCTGCTTGCTTTCTTTGTCCCTTGTCTTTTTCTTCCTGCACATATACCATGGTAGTTAATTAAACCAAGTAGATCAGCAATAAAGCATTTACATAAAGACTTGCACAGCCAAGGACAGTCAAGGAAACAATATAACAAAAATAAACAAAAAACATTACTCGTACCGTGTTGCCTTGCGTTGTTCTAGTGCACGTAACCGAAGCTGTGCCGCCAAAAGTTTCTCAGCCGTACGTTTCACCATATTTGCATCATGCTTCTTACGTCTGCGCCTCTCTTGCTGGCAATGTATAAATGTTACCATATAAGATTAACTTTGGTATAAAGGTGATGGATAGATACCAAAAAAAAAAAAAAAAAAAAAAAAAAAAAGCCCGCTCTTACGATTGTGAGGCGCTTCAATGCAGGCGTGCCGCCATCAAAGATAAAGATGGGCTTGATATCGTAGTACAAAAGCTTACATATCCTGCGGAAGAACCCAATGATGTGTGCGTTCCCCATAACCTGCCCTTCTTTGTCGCGCATACCCCGAAGAAACTGATGTAACCAGATGCTGGCATCAATAGCCAAATACTTGTTGGATAGATTTTCTAGTTTGATGGGGCGTGCAACTGGATGCAGCAGCTCCCAAAGGCCCTTCACACCCATAATTAATGTCCCACTGTCGGATGATGATGGATGAAACTATGGACTACAAAGATAACTCAGTTGAGTTGGATAAACATAAATAATTTGTGCCATAGCCTATGAACTCCAAATAGACACTCACCGAGAAGACTGAGGAAAGTGTAATGAAGACTATAGCATGCTCTGAAGAAAACAGTTGAGTTGAGGTGTTGAGGTAAGATGGTGGACAATGTAGAGGTGGCGGAATTAAAAAAAAAAAAAAAAAAAAAAAAAAGCAGAAGAATATGTTCGATGATTAAAAATGGTGGCGGTGGCTTAACTACGGGTGTCGGCGCCATCTGTGCCATTGCCATGGATCACTTAATCTCTATGATTCAGAGATCCTAAATCGGATTCAACATGGATGTAATTCCGCTACTACTGCAACTTGATAAGGAATGCACTGTCTGGGCACAACAGCATGCCCATTCTTGCAATCTATTCGCTTCGCTTGTTAACATTAATCGGCAAAGAGAACAAACATTCATACAATGGCAGACTCAGCAGAAGCAGAAGCAAAAGCAAAAGCAGCATATCATCTGTTCGGTTTCATCATCAAGCAAGGAGAAAGCGTTTTTAGCCTCTCCTTCATTACAGCTACTCATCCATAAACAAACGTTGGAGATCGAAGCTGTTATCACTCAGCTATATGAGGCTATTCAAGCCTTCAGGAACGTTGTGCAAGCCATGATCAAGCTGGAACAACAAATGGAGGCTGCGGTTCAAACAATGGATACGGAAAAACTCCTAAGTAGTGTCAATTACATTGATAGCGCAATCATGTCCACAACAGCTGTAACTTCAAACAATCGCTATGCGTCCATGCCATCTCTAATGGATACAGTTGAGATCTCACCTCTGGAGACTTTAGATTGGGTGTCAAGAGTCCGAGCAATGTATGCTCAGGAACTTAGCGTGAAGCAGTCTCAAATCCATCCTTCCATGACCTTTCCCGATCAATCCGGGGATTTGATTGATCTTCAGCGAGACTGGGGTCTTCAAGAGAGGATTGATTTCGGTTTAGAACAAGAAATTATGGAGCGGATAAAAACCTATCGGCGTGTGCGCGAGTTCTCTTCCAGGATTTGATACATCTTGATTAATTAAATTAAGATCGTTATAAGCCTATTTTATGGTTAAATGCAGAAAAGGCAATTCATTAGACATTAATAACCTTACTGTTGACTCAAAACGTTGCAGGTAACCACTACTTTATGGGTGCGTCTGACGACTTGCATGGCTTATAGCAGGGTACTCTGATAGAGAGTCCGCTCTTTGCCTGGACGAAATGTAGTCCGTGGTGCTGTACAATTATCTGCGCTGGAAGTCCCATAAGCCATAATTTTTTGTTACACCAATTAAAAATATACATTGTTTTTATTGTCTTTTAATGGTTTAATGATTCCCTCATCAACGACGTCCACTGTTGTTCGATGCACCATTCTGAGACCGAGGCAGTTCGTGTGCCACGCTCTCCCGCACATCCTCATTCTCATCATCGCTGCTATCGTTGTTCTGGAGCAATCTTCCTTCTCTGAGCCGTCGTCTTGTAGAAGGTCTTCCGTTGCTAAGAGACCAACCTAAGGATCCCAAGCTGAAGCTGCTAACTCGCTCATTTTGCACCAGCGACAGCAAAACGGGTAGTAGCATAAGACCATGTAGAGCGCCAATTACGACAATTGCCAGATACATTCGGAAATAATAGACCTCAAAGATCTTAGAGCGCGTAAAGGCTAGTACAAATATACCCAGGAATTTTGTTAATGTGATACCAGAGAAGACCTATCGCAATAGAAATAATCAGAAAAGAGTTTGATAAGTCTGTAATATTGATATAGAAACTGTAACTTTAGTTTGAATCTAAGCTGGCAGTCGACCAAAAAGAGTGGCTGATTAGATTACTTACGGAGCTACCCACTTCAACAAGGGCTCCAAAGACCCTTTCATCAGGACTTCCTTCTGCTTCAACAGTAGCCCGTGCAATGTGTGAACAGAATTCGACACTGATACCGACGCAGATAACAAGGTTAACGAGCGAAATGGCATTCAATGATACGCCCATCAGGACCATGGCTCCCACAACATCGACCATAATCATCCCAACAACACCGACAACGACAAGCGCCACTTTGGCAGTGCCTAGCACACCAGCTGTCACCAGTCCAACAGAAACCATGGCTACGATCAAGAGTCTCATTGTCAACGGGATGATATCCATGTATTGCTCGAAAAATATGTAAAATACAGAGTATGGGAAGACATTGGCGCCTGTCTGCTTCGAGACTTCCTCTGAGATCCTGTGTGCGCTTTTATATCCTGCAATAAAATCATGTTGATTCCGCATAGGTGTATGATAGGTCCTGAAGTGCGACATTTTAACACAATCGCCGGCCGCGTTTAGTTTGATGGCATCTCCATATGCAGCTTTTCCAGCCAAGGGGCAGTATTCATCAGGACTTGCCTTGAGCCATTCACTAAGGTACCTCATGAATTCTTGACCTTCAGGTAGACCGTTCATGGAGATGTTCCATCCTGGCTCCTTGCCTGCGTAACAAACATCGCACTCATCCTCATCATCCCATGGTCCACAGAGTTTTGTTGGATCTCGTTTACGAAATCGACAGCATGTCTCAATCGCGGGATTTAACCAGTGCAAGAAGTCATCAATCCAGACTGAAGCTGGTTGCTCAATATATGAAACATGAGGTCGCTTACGCTCCTGTTCTAGAACATTGGCGATGGATGAATCAGAACAGGTTGAAAAACGAGCACAGATTTGTTGCTGTCCATGACGTGTCGTTGCATCTACATCCTGCACAACAAAGTAAACAGGGGGTCCTACACGGAAGTAGTTGTCCAGGTCATTGAAAAATTGAACCATGTAAGAGTCATTTGGCAAGGCCAGACGTTGGTCTATTATATAAGTGTCATATTACAATATCAGTATCGTTATAGAAATGAATAATTTTAAACAGAGACGGTGCTTCTGACTACATGAGAGCTTACCAAGACCAATCTCGAGGCTTGGCATGAGGCATAGCCCAATTGTCAACAAGCCTAGGAATGCTGCGATAACGATCTTTTTCACCGAGCTGTTTAAGATTAAAGGTCCGTAATACTTGCGTACCCATGCCGGCAACGCACCCTCAGTCTCAATACCTTGAGGTGCTTGAATCTGGAGGCATGGCACACAGTCGATCCGATCTTCCTCGGCTCTCTGGGCATCGAGAGCAATGCAGGACACAAAAGCGGTTACCTGAAGTAAAAAGTCGACCCAGACTGCCATAGCGGCATACATAGCAAAAACACTAACAGCAGGCATCGTGACCATGCCTCCAAGTGCAAATGCAATTGTTTCACTGAGGGCGCTCAAGAGGATGCTAGGCCCCATCCTACTTAGTGTTCGTCCTGCACACTCTTCAATACTCTCCTCAGGATGGTTCATCTTGCGCCTTTCAAACTCGTGGCAGAGAATAAAAATATTATCGACACCTACGGCCAAGACTAAGAAAGGAATCACTTCGGCAATAATCAAGGTGATCTTGTATCCGAGGAAAGAAAAGATACCCACAGAAGTTGAGATAGAGGCTAGCACAATAAAAATTCCACTCATACCCAATGTAAACTTTGAATCGATGACCATTCTTCTAAGCGAAGAAACCTGAAAACGTCCCAAGGCCAATGAAGCATAAAGGAACATTGCTAGGTAAGACAGAATCACAGTTCGGACATCTGTATTGCTGGATTTGTTAAGTTCGATCTCCAAAGACGCCTCGGAGGAATATGAAATCCTCAAATCTTCAGTCCTGATGCCTTCGATACGGTTGTTAACAAGGTCATTCATGAACTGTAGGTAACGAAGTTCCCATTCATGTGCTCGTTGTGTGATCTCTTGATCAACCGAGTTCTGGATTACGTAGGTAATGATAAAAGCTTTTGCACTTAAGTAATTCTGGTCATCAAATCCTCCTAAAATAATATCTGGCTTGAGTGGTTGCTGAAATTCTGGTAGGCAACTCGCGGGATCGTTAGTACATCCTTCGAATTCATCCTTCCATGCATCCGAGAATCTGCTAATGTCATCCTGCCAGTACCCTGTTGGGGATTGGATAACACACTCATCTCCTGTTGGGTGCAGGCAAATATTCGCCAATGTCACGCCTTGCTCAGTCTGAAGAGCCTTGATACGATCATTTATCATGAAGAGACGCTTGAAAGATTGCTCATCCACAATTGGTGCATTGCCATCCTTGTAAGAAACAATGACCTGAGCGGTGCGATAGAATGGTCCAAAGTTTTGATCAAAGATGGCTTTATGCATTGCGCTAGTTGAATCAGGTGCGACCCAAAGTTTGACTGGGTCCGTTTCAACACCGAAACGCGACCATCCAAGCGAAAAAAAGGCAACTAATCCAAAACAGATGCCGATGGTCCTCCATGCGTGCTTAGCGCAGAGATATCCTTGATGATAAAACCACTCCTGGAGCAGCGCACTGACAACATATCGACCAGTATACTGATCAGGATCCAAAAGATGCTGACTGTCCTCGTCATCTTCGTCATTCCGCGTCACTGGCTCGAACCCAATCAAGTCTTTTGAACCATTGATCCTCCTGCGGAGCACCAGCATTCCGATAGCTGCAGCAAGTGTTACTGTGTAAATGAATGTCCATGAGAAGCTCCAACAAGAAATACCGAAAACTTTGCAAGGCGGTTGTTCATCTGGCGTTGGTGGAAGAATTGGGCACACAGGCAGGCAGTCAACACATGAACATCGGTACTGCACATCCGTATCATTGCAACGTCGAGTGATCCCTTCAAAAGGTGTAAGAGTTCCTGTTGGGTCTTCAATTGGGAAATCAATCTGAAAAGGGGATCCAAGACTTTCGCGCTCCTGTCCCATGTAAGCTACCATATCCCTCCAGTTCTTAGCACCACCTCCGATAAGATCCATAGCAAAGCCATTGGTAGCAGCAAATTTAACATCCTTACAGGAGTCGTAGAATCCTGAACCATATTGATCTGACACCAAGAAATCCAGCTTTGTAACAACAGGCTTCTTGTCCGTAGACAATCCTGTGCCTGTAACATTCAAAAACATAGACTGGTTGGGTGAACAGGTGAATGTACAAAAGAAGTTTAGAAAGTTGGCCCAACAGGCAGGGCAGGCTGAAATCATTGGTGAAGCTTGTTTAGTAGAGGAAACAAGGTTTTCAAGTTGATCTTGACTGCAGCAAGTTTTGGAATGCTCATAAGCAGGACCACAAGTTGACACAAGCAGTTTGCGCAGTTCGACGCTAGGCTATATAGTTTTTTTGCAACCCGCAAGTTAATAGCGGGTCATTGAATACAATGGTTAGTACTGTATAGGGTAAATAAGAGCGACGTTTTGGATACATCATTACTCCATATCTGGACCTCCTTTCAGAGTCGAAAGCCTGCATTGCCTTTGGGATATTATGATCATGTTTGTCTATTTACCTCGTTAGCGGGACCATTGTCGGGACATGGTAGCTGTTTACCAAAGAAACTCTTCTTGCCACAGTTGTCACGCATGACACAATAGCCCTCCTTATGGACCTCGCTGGCATATGCAGGTGCGAGCAATACCAAGCTGAGGAAGAGACATGCTGCCATAATGCTCAGCAACGGTAGCAGCGGGCTACGCGTCGATCGCTGCATGAGTGATAAAATTCTACAGTATGTCAATGTGAAGGATAGAATTAAAACTAATGCAAGAGAAGATTATTGAAGGTAATTCAATGAGGATTTGTAGAATGAATGAAAGTGTCATTTCTCCATTATATTCCCCCTGCTGACCATATGAGCGAAACCTTAAATTACCCAAAATGAAAAGCAATACGTAAGTTGCAACAAATAAAGCTGGAAATAGAGGAAAGAATCATGCGAATTAAATGGCTTCGCAGTTCACCCACTTTTCTTTAAGCTCAGTGAACAGTGTCAGCTGGCAGAGATCTTGTCAGTGTTGAATCCTAAGCTCACTGGCATTCTCTGCCGAGAAGCTCCAACTAGGCACTAAGCAGGTTCAATGGAAGATCTTCTCAGCAATAGAGCTGAAGGAGGCAGCGACAGAAGCGGTGTTATGCCATCATACAGTGCCAGTTCGTTTATTGGAGTCCCCTTGCCTTTGGCCTTTCTTGCACAGATGCTGAGGATTCAATGGTATCTGGCTTACATCTGTTTAATGAAGCAGTTTACCTGTGTGGGCAATCTTTAACCATTCGCATTGGGGGTGAAATGTGATAGGTCTGTACTAAAAAAAAAAGACAGTTGTTGGTCATGTCCATGCATTTCTGTTGTCAAAGTGCACATGTTTTTATAATACACTCTTTCTTGATTTCACTTTTCTTTATTCCTTACTCCTCATTCTCCATTAACCTTCATTCTCGTTTGAATTTCTATCCTCTCTTTTAGTGTAACCACCCCTTTGCTTGTCCTCTCTTACAGAAGCTTATATATACCACTCTCTAGAAGCATAAGCGTAATACATACATGGTCCTTTTTGCCAAAGAAGCATCCATTATTACTTAGCCCTTTTTGCAAACAGTCGCCTGAGTTTGAAAGCTTATTATCTATTTCTATCGCTCTCATGGACATCAACAGTTCATTCGACAACAGAGCATCCCCATTTGGCCACACAGGACCCGACACTGGATTCGAATATCATCATCTCACATCTGGAAGCGACAGAATACTCGAACCATGCACAACAGTGGAGGCACAATCGTCATTTATGATAAGAGAGGAGCAAGATGAAGCTGGGCATATATCCTATGATAATTCTGATTCTCCAGCTATTCCTTCACGTCCAGGATCCCCTGTCAGCTCACTCAATTCACCTTCTTCCTCAGAAGTCATGAAAGCATTTATTAGCACACCACCACCATTACCAGCTTTTACAGACCCCCCTTCACCACCACGACGAGGCTCTTCAAAAAGAAGAGAGTGGCCCTTATCATGGGATTGCTTATCAGAAGGCATAGGAGCGGAGAATAGACCATCCCACTTTGGTTGTACATGTCAAGATCGTTCAATCTACCCTTCTCAGCCCCATCTTTCTTATTCAACTTCTCTTTCACAAACCCATCATCATCACATTTTTGAATTTGAGCAACAACCAAGGAAGCCTCTAACATCTATAACAGGGTTCAATCGATGCTTATGGCCACCTAATTCCACTTTCCTGACTATGTCTAATGCTACTCTTGATGAGCAAGGGTTATTTCCACAACTAAGGACAAAGGAGCAGCAGTGGCCAAGGGCTGATACCAATGAACCGCAGGGTTCATTTACAAGGCTAGCTACAAGCCCACTAGAGAGCAATATGTGGCATGAAAGCTTGGGAATGGGCATCAAAGGGTCGAAGGAAGGTTTTACGGAGAATATGCAGGAGTTACAGCCATGCAGAAAGTCAAGGCGTATGGTAGATGGACCATACCATAACGAGCGGAATAATCGCATGGTAGTAGCTCATGTTCGTAGGCTGATTCAGGAGGCGGTAGAGGATGGTGTCGGAGAGCTTGATCTAAGGTATAATTTTTGAGCGCAAATACACACATGAATGAAAAGTATGTCATCTTGTCCCTTGTTGTTGGCCATGAGTAGGCTGAATATTACTATCTTACCTTTTTACTACAGCAATCTTGAGCTTACAGATTTACCTTCCGAGATTCGTGATCTCAATTTCGCTATCGTATACAATGAACGTGGGTCGTTTTCGCTTTCCACAAATCGTCTGAAGCTCTTCTTGAGCTCGAATCTATTTACGACTATACCAATGGATGTATTTGCGCTCCACAATCTGTCTGTGTTATCCATAAGTAGGTTTTGATGTATTGGGAGGGAGAATAAACGCCTTCTTGGACAGCATGTATGTTTGTAGGCAACTATGACGACTAACAAAGCAACGTTATTTGCGCCCCTTCGTTTTTCTTCCTGGCCTTTGTTCGCTAGGAAATAACAGTATTGAATCTATTCCTCCAGAAATTGGATTGCTTCATAATTTGGTAGAGCTATCAATCGGCGGCAATCTCTTAGTGAGTCATGACTCCTATCAATGTAATCACTGTGCAGGTAAAGAGCGCCAAGACTGACTTTTTTTTTTTTTTTTTTTTTTTTTAATAGAAAAAAATTCCCTCCCAAATTGCCCTGTTGCCAAAGCTACTCATCCTTACAGTCCACCCCAATCCTTTCTTAATTCCTCCAGCGCCCAAGACAGACAACAATCACACAGATACTTCACAATTTCATGATAATCAAGTGAATTTGGCTGCTCTGAGGCCTCCACATCAGATGCTTTTAGCTGAGCGATGGATACCGACATCACCATTAGGATCACCAACAATGGATCAATCAGGGGATATTAACATGTTGCCTATGATGCCAGAACAGCTGACCCTCACGCCCAATTCCCTATCACCTGTGATCACAGATTCGGAAATGGAGGGGACGCTCGCAACTACTGAAGTTTCGATACAAGGCACAGGCTCGGCATCGATGGTAACATCAGAAACTAGACTTAACGGCGAACGATTAGATGACTCTACTGCCTCAAGAGGAATCAAGCAGCTCCCTCCGCACATAGTCACTCGTTCGCGCTTCCCAACCTTGCTCACGTTGGCAGGAAATGCACTGTTGGATTATCTTGACTCACATGATTCAAGGGATATTGCTTCAAGGAACGAGAATACCGTGGATAGGCCACGAAAGGACAGCAAAATGTCATTGGATGAGGATGAGCAAGATAGGAAATGCAATGTTCCAGACGAAGAGCTGTCGAAATTAAATAGAGCAGGGTCAGAACCCTCTTATGGAGAGAAGAAAAGATATGTCGTTAAGGATGAAGTCATCAAATCATACCTGACGCTCTATCTCTTTGAGCACTTCAAGCGAGCACGGAGTAATAACCGGTGCGCGGGGTGTCAAAGAAAGTTCTGGAAACCTTGCAGGATCATGGTTGTTTGGCAAGAGCTTCTGGGGCAGACCCAGGTTCCAATAGAGTGGAAAGGATGCGGTATCGGAAGATGTCTCGGCGTACCGATGAGTGTATGGACGATTATTGGTCAGACTCGTCCTTCAACAGAAGTAGAAGCAGCAGTAGTAACAGAACCTCCCCCACCCACGTAAGGCGTGGATTCCCAATAAAATTTAAGGAATTCTTGCAATAGTGTGACTGCTGGTCGTGGGTGAATTTTTTTTTTTTTAAGCTTTCAGGAATACTTTTTCCATGCAGCATCTTGACTGACACAAAAGGTTAGAATGGCGTCGACATTCTTTCGGTCCATTCCTGCTGCCATTGTCGTCAAGGAGCCATATGAGGAAGTTTTTTCACTGTTCACTACCGAAACAACTGATGCACCTTGGGCGCATAACCGCTCAGTGTCACAACAGTCGACCCGCCTAGAGGTTGAGCTCGACTTTACACCTGCCCCATCACCAGTTATCAGCCAGCCAGGGTCAAGGCCGGATTCAGGATCGGGATCATATTCCTCTGCAACCACCACTTTTGGCGACACTCTGCCGGGGGCATCGTCACTTGAAATAGCACATGGTACTAAGGCGGATTTTGAGGAAGAATTAGGACAGCTTGATCAACCCAGCTCACCGCAGCGCGCGGTCGTTTCCTTGCCAAAAGCGAAGAGCCCAGCTGCACGAGCAATAATAGGGAACCGTAGAGCACCAAGCCGTACAGTAATGCAACAGCAGCAGCCTAATAAGAAACCCTTTGTGATCCATCAATCGCTCTCAACACTCTCGCAACCCGGTCAGACAGGAACAGTTGTATGGGACAGTAGTATTCTGATGGCCAAGTTTCTATTGTCGATTCGGGGGCTGACGCTAGGATGCTATCGGACCCAGCAAGGGATGGAAAGGCGGGTTGTGCAGCAGGCTCAGGAAGTCCAGGAGCAGTATTTGAGGCGAGCGCAGCAAGAGCAGATTCGAAAGCTGGAAGAACAAGCAGAACACTTGACTGTCTCTGCAGGAGGAGATCTGGAAGTAATGGTAGCAGAAGAAGAGGGAGGAAGGAAGAAATGGAATGGGAAGGGCTCCATTGAGGGCAACTATGCCTTTTGCAATGGTCGCGGTGATCTAAAGAGAGATGGTGATACTGATAGCGACGTTGATGATGATGACGATGACGATGACGATGATAGTGATAGTGATGGTAGTGATGAGGGAAGGAGAGGACAAGCGGAAGAGGAACTACAGGAACAGGATAGGATGTTGGTATTTGACCCAGCAGAAACTACAGTTTTGGAGCTGGGGTCTGGATGTGGACTCCTTGGGATTGTAATGGCAGAACTTTGTCAAGATTTGTTACTGACGGACCAAAAGCCTGTCTTGCCTTTGCTTGTCAAAAATCTGCGCAAGAATCTAGATAGGAAATATTTTGACCAGGATTTGTCAGATTTTTCTGCAACGACTTTGGGAGCGGTATCATCATCCGGATCAATTAGTACGAGGAGAGGAAGCAAAAAGGAAAGCCGCCCCCATCATAATACTAGTGAAAACCATAATGAGGGCCCATACGGTGATTGTATCAAGCCCTGCAATATCCAAGTCCAGGAGCTTGTTTGGGGTCAGGATCTAGATCAAAATCTGAAGCGTGGATTCGGACTTGACTATGTGGTGGCGACCGATGTTGTATACAACGAATCCGTGGTCCCAAAACTAGTTCATACTCTAAAGGAGCTTTGTGAGATTCGAGAACGAGTCTATGAAGCATGCAAGCGAGGTTATGGAGAGCAATTCGATCGATTTGAGGATGCACTTTATCAGAAGTGTTCAATGAAAAAGGAAAAGGAGGATAACGAAGCATTTCGAAGACGGCTATCACAGATTAGGAAGAGGAAAATGAGCAGAACGGTGGTCCTACTGGGACAAGAATTGCGAGCAGATTATGTACACCTTACATTCTTGGAGAAACTGGAGCAAGCTGGGTTCAGAATAGTGAGAATGCCCAAGAGTATGATGGATCCAGAGTATCAAAGCGGCTATGTGATATACGCTTTTTATTTACGTCGAAAAAAGTGAAGGCGCTCCCTTTACCTCGAGCAATTACGAATGTACACCCCCTCCCAATGACTTTCTAAGTAGGATTTTCTATTCTATTTTGATTCAATCGCGATCACAAGCTTAATATTTCCATCTGATTCGAAATGAAACGAGAAATATACGATTCTGAATTTTGTTAGAGAGGTTTTTTTAAATCGCCATCGTGTCTCAATCATATTCTAAAAAATGGGGGAGTGCAGATGTTTGATTGCTTGTAAGATGTATATTGAGACAGCCATGTTTACTCGGAAGAAACATCTAGTGTGTATCACCATTGTTGTTGCAATGATGAATATGAGGGTCTAGAGTCTTTTTTAACATGTTTGTTGGGTTACACAAACAAACAACAACAGCGGGGTATTTTTTTTTTTTTTTTTTCAGATGTTCAGTAGTGATTCATTCCGCTGTAACGCTTTTTTGTTCTTTTTGTTCCTCTTTTTTCACTTAGATGTAATACATGAATGAATGCGAAAGCCAAGAAAACACCATGTGTGAACACAAGGTCTTTATTTCAAATAAAGATACGATTTGCTTTCCCATACCCTGAAAGGATGAAGAAATTACAAAGCATGGCATGAATGTGTGCATTTCAATCGTGTCCCCTTTGGGTTCCATCTGGTGCATTAAAATAAGATTAACCTAAAATGTAAATTATGGCAGTCCAACAGGCGTAACCGTTACAAATAAACAAATCCTTCTAGAACAAGGAGCAAATGTCATAAAAGGACAGACACTCCCTCCAAAAAAAAAAAGTTTTCTGCCATCTTTCTCTCGTCTTTTCCTCTCTTCTCTCACTCCACCATGTCTTTTGTCTCTGTCGCCTATGGGCTGTCGGTGGCCACCATTGTCGCATTTGGAGTTGGCGCTCTCTTTCTCGCTCGTCGTCGTCAACGTTTCAAGAAGGATGATACCGAGTTCTTTCTAACGGCTCGTCACTCCGTGCCTGAGAAGACCATTGCTTGGTCATTTTATGCATCTGGTGTTGGTGCTTGGTGAGTATTTTTTTTTTTTTTTTTTTTTTTTTCGTTTTGCATGAATCAACATTATTTTCATTTAAATTAATCAAGGCTAATGTCAAAAAAAAAAAAAAGGGTTATATTCTCTATGCCTGCTTATGTTGTCTCTGCTGGAATTATCGGATTAATCGCCTATTCAGTTTCGTGTGGTCTACCAATCCTGATTGTCGCTCGTGTTGGAGCTGTTCTCCATCGCAAGTACCCCGGTGTTCTCTCGCTTGGTGATTTTGTCCAGTGGCGCTTCGGTACCATTCCAACTATCATTGTCACCTTGATCATGCTTCTAAACATGTCTATTGCCCTTTGCGCCGAGTATACATCGATTGGAAACCTAATGGAGTTGGTGGTTGGCGGATCACGCTTACCCATTGTACTCATTGTTGCTATCGTTACATCGATCTACACTGCCGCAGGAGGTCTTTATGTCAGTATCTTGACTGATGTTGCTCAGGGAATCTTTGGAATTGGCCTATTGATTATTATGGCCATTTATGTTGCAGTCACCTATCGCCCCTCGAATCTCCCGACTCCTCTTCCTGAAGAAATCGGACCCAACTACTGGGGCTTTGCTGCCATCGGTGCTATGCCTATTTCCATGATTTGCTCTACTCTCTTTTCTGAAGCGCCTTGGCAACGTATTTGGGCGTCAGCAGACGAGAGAGCGCTTAAGCGTGGTTCTCTCTGGGGTGCCATGGGCCTGGTTGTTGTTTGCTTCCTCTATGGATTTGGAGGCTTTCTTTCTCTCTGGGCTGGATACCCTCGGTCATCCCCAGATGGATCGACCGCCTTTTTTGATCTCCTTGGTGCTGGTCAAGCTACTGCGCCCGCCTGGATTACCATCCTTGCGGTTCTCTCAACCGTCACTATGAACGAGGGCAATGTCGATTCTCTTCAGAATGGTATCGTCGATACTCTCGCCTCTCGCTTCTTCCGTGGAAAGAACGTTTGGTATCCCCGCGTTCTTGTCTTCTTGATTAACATCCCTGTTGTGTTTGTATCTCTTAAGGGTTACAACATTATCATGCTATTCTTGATTGGCAACTTGATCTGCACTATTTGTGCTGTTCCACTGTTGCTGGGATTAATCACACGACTGGAAGGTTATGTTACAGCTTGGTCAATGGTCTCTGGTATCATCACAGGATTTTTCTCGCTTGTTGCCTTTGGATATCTCAAGATCGGCAATGTGTCAGATGGGATGCATTATGTGTTCATGGAGGCTTACGATTGGCCTTCATTTATCCTGCCCCCGATCTTTTCTTGCATTGGAGTCCTCCTGGCAGCTGCAATTGAGGGCGTCGTCCGCAAGACTTTTGGTCTGACTTATCCTGTGCCTTTAAGTTTCCCTCCCCAAGCCCGCACAGAGGACCATGAGAATGGAAGCATCAGTTTCGATGATGCAGAGTCTGGAACTAACAGCTCGAAAGCACATCATGGGATCAATACCTCCTCCGACAAGTAAATGGAGCTAACCTTACGCAGCATGCAAAAGATAAACTGCTCTGTGGTTTAATCCAGAAGATCATGGCGACCAGATGAATCACAAATCTTATACAGCGAAAGCCAGTAGTAGGAGTAGCTACAGAAGCTTTCGTCAGGTAACTTTCACCTGATTCTTTTTCCTTTTTCTTTTTTTTTTTTTTTTATTTTTATTTTTATTTTTATTTTTATTTTTATTTTTATTTTTATTTTTATTTTTATTTTTATTTTTATTTTTTCCCTTCTTCCATAACATACTCTCTTTCCATTTCGATTGTTTTTTATTTTTATTTTTATTTTTTTTTTTATGTTTACTTTTATCTTTGATTTGCCTTTGAGACTCTGCATATCAGTTGCCTCATGAATAGCATAAGGGGTGCCCAGGTGTCGTTCTCTCTTTTCTTTCTTTCTTTTCTTCTTTATTTCCTTTTTGAGAACGCACACCTGAGCTGAGATTATACCCTAACTACCAGATCAGGATAATGCCTGCGATGGGAAATACTGTGCTATTCGTTTACCGACTGCATTACGCGTTTTATTTTATTTTATTTTATTTTAATTCTTTATTTCATTATTTTTATAATGTTCAATGCCTTCGCTATTTTCTTATTCCGAATTCCATGCTTGAATATCAGAAGAACCCCATGGCCTTGACCTGTGACATGTGCATGAAAATGCAAGGACAGCAAACAGTGGAAACAACATTCAGGATTGGCACAATTTTCGACTACGAAGATTCAACATCAATCAGCTTGGAATCATGGAAATAAAAGGTCATGTTTTATTCTATTTTACTTTGACAGAGTATGTTTATTATTTGTAAACATGTTTCTCCCTTTAGGGATGAGTTGAAAGAGGGTCATGATAATGCAGCCGAGCCAAAACAATCGGAAACGCGATTCCTGCCAAATTATATTTTAGCTTTTAAGAAGTGGAATGAAAGAATGAAAAGAAAGGACGAATTTGGCCCGCAACAAGGGGCTAGCTGCATTAAGTTTAGACAAAATTTCCTTTCCTGGCGAAGCAGACGCATGACTGATGGGTCTTGAAAGAATACAGTGGCGAATGTTCATTCTATTCAATGCTATGCTCAGCAAAAATAGAAAAATAAAAGTCCAGTCCATTCCATTCCATTTCTTTTTTCTTTTTTCTTTTCCGCTTGTCCCGCTCTACTCTTCACTTTATCTCCACTCTACTTTACTTCTTTTGCTTTATACTCATCACCCCCTCGCCACCGCATCTACTTCATTGCATTCATTTTATTTTTTTTTGTAGGCCATGAGCAAGGCCTTTGACCCGCTTCGGCGGCTGGTGGTCCAGTTTAATGCTCGACTCGCCCATCTTAGGGCCTTTCCGACCACTAACGTACCTCCACCGGCCCCACCCCATCTTCATGCCCCGGCCCCTTCTGCGGCCCATCACCCCGTTCAGTTTACAAAGCCTCCACCAATCTTTGGCCAGTTCCAGGTCAAGGTCGCTTATCCATCCCATAAGGATGGACCCGTACTACTAGCACATCTTAACAATAACTTCAACAGCCTTGTACGACAGTTACTCGTTCCTGAGCCATTGAGAGTAGCTGCTGTGGATTATGCCTGTCGATCAGCAGGTCGTCCTCAAATTGCCTCGTTACTGTCTAATACTTCACAGCGTATGATGCATCATCAACCATTGTCCTTCGCGACTGCTACTGTGAATGTGCCCCATGGCTTTGTCAAGAATGTCGGTTTCTTCTCCACTCGTGGTTTCAGCTCAGGTGTCTCTGCATTTCACCCGGCTATGAATGGACCCGTCAAGATGATGGCCCAGATGTATGCCAAGCCTCTCGGCTCCTTACCTGCCAATGCCAAGAAATTGGCCGAAAAAGACAATTCTCATTATAACAAGTACCAGCCCGATGCTAAGAAGAAGTTGCAGCGTAACAAGTCTCATCGTGGTGGTGAAGTCAAGAAGCGCGCCAACAATGTCAGTCGTATCTCTCCTTTGAACATCAGAGCTTTTATGAACCGCGCCGCCACTGTTGAGCAGCAGCAGCAAATCTTGGCTGTCTGTAATGTTAACGAAGCCATCACAGAGTCCACTGCTATTTCTATGGCCAAGACCGCTGGAAAGACTGTCTCGGACCTTGAAGAGCTTCCCAAGTTAATCACCTCAGATTCGTGCCCCACAAATGTTGACATGATTTTCTTGTTAGATGCCTCTCCGTTGTGGCACTTGGATACTATGGTTGCTGCCTTGCACACGGACACTCTAAGAGCACCTAAGGAGCTCAACATGAGCTTCATTCGGGACCTGCTCGAGGTGACCAATGCACAGTATCAACATTTCATGGAAGTTTCTGCGATACTTCGAAAATTAGTTCAGTGTCCAGAGACTAGAGAGATCACATTGGAAGGATATGAGCTTCGCGTCCATTTTGTCGGCACTACATTGTTTGATATGTCAAAGTTTTTGCAGGAGCTAACGATTGATCCTAAGAGTCCACACTTTGACTTGGAGGAGGTCTTTGTGGACCCAGCTATGACTCGCGAGCAGTACTATCCTCAAGCATCCGTAAATAACTTTTACGCGTCATCGCTCACCGACAACCAAACCTGGGATGACTGTAGTAGTCTTCATAGCTCAATGATGTTGTGTGCAGATTCGGAAAGGTGCTCCAGTGTTGTAAGCTTTGCTACCATGGAATCTCTGCCAGAGCATCAGAGTCCTTGGGAAGAGGTCGCTACTACGAGTGTTGCAGCGTCTGGTCAAACTAGTGAGTGTACATCAAGCCAAGAGGTTCTCTATCAAGAACAGAAGGAGGAGAAGGAACATGCGGAATTCATTCAAGATCAAGTAGAAGCTGTGAATGTCGCTATTGCTGCTCCTAGTCTGATCACCGAGGGATTGTATCCTGACGAGGAAGCTGTTAGTCCATGGAGGAACACTGAGCCCATAAAGACATCACAATTATCGTCGTCGGCAGCAATGATGAACCTTGACAGAATGTCAAGTCAGATCTTAAACTCGACTGTGGTCAGTGAGGAATACTTTGACAACATTCGAGGATTTTTAGATAGTATTGAAGCTGTGCACCGTCATTCTGAGAAGCTTTTCGGTAATCAATAGCCTAAGCTTTTGCGAGATTATCTTCTTTTTTTCCTTTTTTTGAAGTAAAGAAATAAAGAAATTCTTTTTTTTATGATCATTAATCTTGACATAATCATGTTTCATCAATAAAGACTTGTGGAATTTGAGATAAAACAGCACTTTTTTTTTTTTTTTTTTAATTCTAGAAATAGTTGTCTATTGATGATAAGCGTATTACTGGTTTTGATCTTTTGCAACGCTTTTATCTTTAAGCCTTTCCAGCATGGTTTCTGTCACCATCATCATCATCATGGTCGACATCCTGCTGAGTCATGGGAATATAAGTTGGTTTGGCGTTGGCCTGCATCTCCTTATCCTTGGCCCAGGTATATAAAGCACCTCCGCTCAGAATTAATACAATGCCCATCAAACGACCCGAGGTGATGATATCGCCGAAAGCAAAGTATCCCAATAGTGTTTGCAATCTAAAAAAAAAAAAAAAAAAAAATTGATAAGAGATGTTAGGGGCTCATCCAATAAAACAAATTAAAACGAAAAACATAAAATTATATGAATTCTATAAAAAAATAAAAAAAATAAAATAAAAAAAAAAGAGAAAAAGAAAAACTTACACTCCACGAACGGCGCCTGAGATCATATGTGTGGTGGGCGAGGTTTTTGAAATTTGCATGAATCCAGCCAAGTTGACCAAGAAACCAAAGATACCGGTGACCAAGGCAGCAGCCAAGAAGCTGTGGAAAGCCTGGAAGCCCGCATCCTCTAATCGCTCAAGTACCAGGGTAACCTCACCACTCAAGAAGACGATTGGGGTGGTCACCAAGAGTGACAAGAAGTTGTTGTAGTAGACCAGATCGATTGAAGAGTTGTTGACAGCGCCCAAGGATTTTTTGATGACGATTGCATGCAAGGAAGTGGTGATAGAGGAAACAATACCAAAGAAGACGCCCAACTGAGATACATTGAGCTCCGTGGTTACTCCAGTGTAGAATCCACAGAAGACGATGAAGCAAGAACCCAAAACCATCTTGGATGATGGCTGACCCAAGAGAATGTACGCAAAAATCACAGTGAAGGGTAAAACCAGCCCACGAGCAATCTATCAATAGAACAAAAAAAAAAAAAAAAAAAAAGTTTAATAAAAAATAAACAAACACAAACCACTCATAAATCTTTGTGCTCCCCTGTCATTTGTCCTTTTGTTTCTTTACCTGATAAAATGAAGTATCGACATAAACCAAGCAGAGGGTATTTACGCCCAATCCGAGAACATTGATGGAGATCAAAGGAATCAATGCTTTGGAGACATCTGTCCTGATATGGGGCATCTTTAACATCCCTGCAGCATCTGTGGCCTTGAGCAACAAGACAGCGATCAACATCTGGCACCACAATAGCAACCATGGCAATTGGAGTGTATTCAATGCCCACTAATTCAATGAAACAAAAGATAAAAAGTAAAGGAACATTAACTCAAGCTCACTTCAATTCAGTATTTTTTTTTTTTTTTTTTTTTTTGCTTTATGAGAAAGATTCAAAAAGAAAGAACAAAAGAAAGAAAGCTTATCATACCTTGTTACAACTGACCATGATCAAAGCTGTGACCATGCTAAAATTTGTAAAAAAAAAAAAAATTAGGAACCAACGATCGATCAGTTGTCAGTAACAATGACCAGATCATGAGCATTATCAAAATCAGCACAGACAAACTGAGTAGTTAAATGAGATGAATGATCCTTACTAAAAAGAGACGGTGAGGATGACCGCCTGGCGCTCCGTGAGGCCAAGACTACTTGCGGTAGGCATGATGCAGATATTATTAGAAGTATAATATAAATGAATTCGTTAGGAATGAAGAGATGATGCTAATGAATGATGAACAGATGATGCAAGAGGGTAGATGAAGAGATGAGAAAGATGAAGAAAAAAAAAAAAAAAAAAGGGAAGGAAGAAAAAGAGAAAAGGATGAGATGAACAAAGAGAGGAAACGAGGGGTCAGATGGACTTGAGCCAACGAACAGACCAGTCGCAGGCTTTTCTGTATTTTCAAAGACTAAAATGCTATTGATCTGGATCTGATGTGAAGAGTGACTCGCAAAGACCCCTGGAGACTTCCCATCTTTTTAAATCAAAAATCAAATTAATTATAAAAATAGAGAGAGCACCTATCCCATTTAGTTCCCTATTCCTCCAGCTCAGAGGTCCACAGCCCATTTGTTTTACTTTTTACTTTTATGTTTTACTCTTTACTAAATATTATATTATGCACTACCATATATTTAACTACCCCTGTCTCATTCATCTCCACTCCATTTTCACCTCCAGCATTCAACTCGTCGACGGACCACAGCTTTGGCCTCCGCTATTTCCAAAGACATCACTCCAATCTCCTCAAGCTTGCCCTTTATCGTCTCCTTTTCTAGATCGTCATCAAATAACACCGCCATCATTTGAGCGAGTGTCCTCTTCGCATACACCGGGTCATTCACACTGGAGCCGGGGCTGGAGCTGATCGCATGATCAAATGGCATCGTTGGCGTTGGTAATGGTAGGGGAGAATTAGCCTTAGCACTATGTAGTGACAACAGTATGGCTGCATCTCTCAATTTGCGGTGATAGTTCTCTGGTCGTTTAATACCGCATTTTCGACCCGCTCCAAACAATCCGATACGGATATCTCGTGCAAACTGCTGGCCCCCTAGCTCGGAAAAAGAGTTCTTCATGATAATCTTTTGCCAAATAAAATCCTGTATTTCGAGCGAAGTTTGTTTGTACAACAATGTGAAATACTTTGCTGGTAATGTGGAGTAAAGAAATTCAAATCCATGCGTAAGAAGCGTAATCGGCTGATACAGTTCAGGAGATACATCGTCGTTTTCAAGACGTTGCTGTTGTTGTTGCTGTTGTTGTTGTAAAGGATTTTGTTCCATTGGGGATTGGGCAGAAAACTCAATTTGTGGCCAAGAACGTCTTCAAAGAGCAAGTAGAGTATATAAAATATATAAAATAGTTAGTTTCTACACGTGGCAAATGTGAGCAATTGGCGAGCCTTTGGCGCACAAACACAGATTTCTTCTCTTTGGGTTTAGACAAATATGCAACGTGAGCAAAAAGAGGCAAAAAGAAGTAAAATATAGTTAGTAATTCACTTACAATGAAACGTAAGGCTTCATGCTTCCAAACACGTCCTTGGTGATATTTCTGATAATAAGCTCTTGAATCTTCTTCGATAACCTCTCACAACCCTGAACAGTGTCGTCAAAAATGGCCCCATCCTTGTCTAACTTCTTCTTCCAAACCCCCGTATCCTCCTCCTCCGAATCTTCATTTTCAGAGTGCAATGGGTTTGAAATCCTCTGTGTTCTCTCCAAGATTTCCTTGTATAGCTCCAGAAAGAGCTACATTCAAGATGCAAAGTGAAGTAAAGAAAATAGCAATGACACTGAGTCGGTTAATGGTTTCTTTTCTTATAAAAAAGCTATGAGATCAGGGATTGATAAATGCAAAGAAAGAAAAAAAAAAAAAAAAAAAAAAAAAAAGATTTCATACCACATCTTCACCCCAGTCTTTCAAGGTGGAGCTAATGTACTCAACACTTGAAAGCCACTGACACAGCTTGCGCAGACCCTCAATGCCCATTGTATTGAGCTCATCCGCAGAGGCGGCTCCAGGCATCACACGTACAAAGGAATACGTCAATGATTCATATTGATCTACGAGTCCTAGGATATGTCGGAGATATACTTTCAACAGATCCAACTGAATGTCCAACAAGAATGTCCTATGCTCCAGTACCGGCAAAGGCCTATATCGATCTTATAAATAAAAAGACGTTGAGGAGCACAAAGTCAACATGGATAAATAATTATTACTAATGATGTTATAAACATTTACTTAAAAAAACTTACCTGTAATGATCTCTAGAAGATCCATTATTTTTTCTGCCGATTTTGTAGGAATAATATAATCTTTCTCGCCCATGCCCTCATAAGCTGGCTGCCATGCATCAGCATCTTCTATAATTTGTGTATATCTCGCCACCGCGACTAATCCATTGAAGATTAGAAAGAATAGATGAATCGGCCTAAATTAGCCATTACGTTAAATAGCAAAAGCTTGCAGAAGAACTCATTATCCATTTAACATCGCTCGACAACATACATTCTTTTTCAGCCCTTAACCATGCCTTCAGCCAGTCTCTGTTCCCGAAATAAATTTGAACAACCCCCTGCCATTCTGATTTTTGTCCTGGTGGTAAGTAATACTCATTCTCACGTAGGGTCTTGTCAAAACGAAGAGTCTCATAAATGGCATGCGACAGGAGCTCAGGGCTGGATAGCATGAGATGTACCGATTGCCGGATCTTTCTCTCGACTGCTTGAAGGAGGAGACGGATAAAATCATTCTGTTGAGATTAAATAAGAAACGTTTAATTTTTTTTTTTTTTTTTTTTTTTAGTCGAGAGCGTATTGTATTTATTGGCTATATTCACATGCGCATTAAGGTGAAATGTGTGCCAATGAACGATCCATACTCTCACATCGTATTCCTTGAATTGTGTATTTTGTAAAACCGTCTGGACAAAATCTTGCAGGAATGATGTATGCTCTTTAATGAGCTCCAAAACATGGCTTAGATACCATTCGGGCTATGAGTTAAGTAATAGTCATAAAAATATTTGATGTAAAAATATATACCGAGGCTAGAATATACCACACAGCTAAACATCTAAAATCAGATAGGCATACCTTGTCAAGTCTGTTAGTAGATCGTTTTCCTTCAAAGTGGTATCGGAAACGCAAGATCAATGGCGCAACCATGAGCTCTGTGGTGAGAAGTGGTGGATACGGCTGATCCCCTGATCGATCTAGTGTCCCATACGTTCTATTATAATAGCCTTAGCGATATTAGTGTCATCCCCGATGAGATGTAAAAAAATAAAAATAAAAATAAAAATAAAAAAATCATCGGATGCAATTTTTGTTATTAAGACTTACGGTTCCTGCAGGAGCAAAAGATCTTTGAAAGAGTCTTCAAATGCATCTAACTTGTCATTTGAAATGGTAGACGGCTCGGGAATGGGTGTAGGCCAGCCAATAGCATCCAATGACGCTTGGAATTTTCTATAAAGATATGTGGATTCAATACAGGCGTTTGAGTAAATGCTGAAGGTCAAGGTTTTATTCCTCTTTGAAATCCCATCATGATTAGTATCATAGGCCGTACTTTGCAAGATGCACCTTGAACTCCTGGAGAAGGCCTGCAGCGCAGGATGTTAAATAGTTTTCCAATTTGGTATTATGTCCGCCAAGGGTCTCTTTGACACTGCTAGACAATTGGACAAGCGAGGAATAGGGTACCAATGCCTGTTCTACAGATGACTCTAACAATGTCCTGGACTCTGATCTAATTCGATTCACATTGTATTCGAAAGCATATAGGAATTAGAATATCAACTGCTGCTTCAAAAAAAAAAAAAAAAAAAAAAAAACAATGATAATAACAATGTTAAGAGAACTCATATGGGCATAGAGGGTGATCGAAACGATGATACATACATCAGCTGCTGTGTCCGAGTGACGATCAAGATGTAATGTTTAGCATCTTCTAATGCCTGTGCTCTCTTCTGAAGATCACTTAGCTCTTCGATGAGAGACCTTTGATCACGCCTGTTTTTTCCCGACGCAAAGGCTTCGGATTCTTCCATTTGTCCTTCCAGGTCTAGCGCGGAGGATTCTAGTTTCTTTAAATCTCCCAGAGCCACTTTTGAAGCCATTTGAGCTTGTTCCAGGACCTTGGACGTCCTGTTCTTGCTCTCTTCAAGCTTTTAGCAGTTTTTGTTCAATAATGGGTAGGTTGAATATAAGATATTGAAACCGCGATTAATGTGTTTATACGATGACATGAATGTAAATCATGGATACGACACAGATCTTTGCTCCAGCAGGCAACACAAGAAACCTTTTGTTGTAGTTCATTCTTGATTTGGATTTGTTGCTGCAATGCAGGCTTAATCTTGACTAGGTCCTGTTGCGAAGAGAAACGCGCATTGAAATAGTCTGTCACGTCTTCATTCACGTCAATGGCCTGGTCAAACACCACGACGTTGCTGTGGTGAAGTGCAGGACCTGTTGAGTCATGCATGGTGGAGATATCCCCGAAAGGCATTTAATACAATGTATTGTTTTTATTTCCAGTGTGTTATTGAGTTGGTGATGAGAACAAATGAACATTTCAATGAGTATGAAACCTTGTGTTCATGAGGGATTCTTCTCGCACTCACGCATTAACGATGACTGTCTTTCCAATGCACATTCCCCATTCTCCTCACCATGCCAAGTGAAGTTATCACAGAAGAAAAAAAGTTCTTCCTCCACAGCGAGTTCCACCCGTAGCTCCCTAGTTTCTTTTTTGAGTGCATTAATGGAATATCAGTCTAGGACCCAACGTGCGATTTTTTTTTTTTTTTGTTTTTGAGCCATACAAGTTCAATGGTCACTTGTCCCGTTGCTCTTAATCTCCCGTGGTTTCACATCTTTTTTTTCTTTCTTCCTCTTCTTCTCTCAACTTCTTTTCCTTTTTTACACTCTTTGCTTTCATCCACCCTTCATTTATCATCTCATTCATACCTCTTTCTTTCTTTTTGTAAAGCTGTTCTAGTGCATAGACACTTTTTATCACTGTCGATTACGACCGTGTACTCTTTCTACCTTCAAGAATTCAAGTTGCACAAAGAAATCAATCTGTCACCTTTTCTCATCCAGTTGTACCCTTTTTTATTTTATTTCTATTCCAATAAAGCTCTCCATTTATTCATTATAATGGCCTCAACAGCTGCAGGGTCCTTGGCCCACGACATGCTTCTGGCATTCCGAGATCAGCAACTATCTGATATATCTGTCATTGCTTTTGGACAGACTTTTCATCTGCACCGCCTTATCCTGCTTCGGTCTGGGTATTTTCGTTCACTAATCCTCGGTCAGGGTGATTGGATCGAAAAATCACGGCAAAGTGTGACTATCCGCTTTGATGACCCTTATATTACACTCCAAGCCTTTCAAAGGATCATCCATTGGCTTTATGGAATTGATTTTCATTACACAGAAGGTTCAGCCCCACTAGCCTTTCAAGGAACAGGCAATTCGACGGCAGCAGGAAGAGGCGGCAAAGGGTTGGAAGAACACTTCGAAGTGCTTTCACTCGGGCGACACGGGCTCGGATTACGTCAAGGGCAAGGGGCGATGGAGAGATCCGTTAGTGCGACATCGATTCCGACAGGGGCAAAGGCAACAGCTTCAATAAGTGGGACAGTCTCGGTCCATCATTATGACAGTATTATGCTTGATCCTTCTGAGAAGGTTGATGAACTTCTCATTTCTATGTACGCAGCCGCATCATACCTCAACATTACAGCACTCACAGACGAGATCTGCAGTGATATAGCGCGCCGTATCCGGGATAATAGAGGCTTGATCCACTACATGGAGTATGCCTGGAAGTTGAACAACGGTAGAGCTTGGGATATCATCTTGGCACATTGTTTTTATCAATTCTTTTGGTACAGTTACAAGTCAATCGTTCTGCAAGAAATGCTTGTATCTCCTGAAATGCCCATTGCAGGGCTGATCAAGACTCTGGTCTCAGAGTCACTCTGGATCCCAAATGAGTATGAGCGGTATCAATTTGTCAAAGGGATCATGTTGAGACGTTTAAATTTAACGACAGACAAGCTTATGAATTGGGTTTATGATTACCATGAGAACGACTGGTTTATGGTTCTGAAGGATCTGGATGACAACGGAGCATACTCACATGAACTTTCTTCTGACACCTTCTTGAATAACCTGCAAGACTGGGAGTCGACATCAACGGCAGAGTATGAGGATGCAGTCGACACAGACCACGAATGGATTACGACAACCAAAGAGTTACGGCGAAGGAGCTCACAAGCCAGCATGACAGGAAATCAGATGACGATGACCAAGCTTTCAGATAGTGTCGACAGGACAGCTACGCCGACAGCAGATACAGTCATAGTCAGCCAGGGCTCAGGTCGCACTCAAGGCACCCTCGGTACAGATGGTAGTGTAAATAATGGGAATATTGCTACTGAGGATGGGCTGCAACAACCACATCATCAACAGTCACAAACAACTACTTCAACTTCGAACATTGACATAAAGACGGGGCCGCGGTCGCCAACTCTTAGGACACCAATTTCTTCGCCTGGGCTCTCCTCGCTATCCATCACCTCAGAGGCATTACCACGCCATCAAGTTCGCGACTTGTTAATCTTAATGTATCTTCTCCATCATAGTATCCATTATACTCACATTTCATTTGACAACCTTAACCAAATCCTCAATGATGGGCTAGTCCTGCCAGAAAGGATCAAGGATGCCTTTTGGAGACAACATTTATTGCGTCGATTCGCAGTTAGCACTTCAGCATCATTGCCATTTTCCACAACGCCCTCCACCTCGTTTCATGGGAGATATCACGGCCCAGAGCCAACACATCGCGAACGGCGTGGACCGTGGGCCCCTGCAACTCCTCCAAAAAATAAAACATTAGGCTCTCCATCTGCTCCGCTCACTACCAGTGCTTCACCCACAAACTCACTTGGTTTGCTTCCGATTCGGTTCAGTACATCATTGTACATCAGCCGTCGGGACCTCATGACTGATGGGAAACACTTTACGAGCTCCACGTTCTATGCAGGCAGTTGGTGGAGTATTCAAGTTGGTAACAATTTGAACAGCACGAAACCGGAAGATAGACAAGTAGGTGTCTTTTTAAGCTCAGCACCTGTGCCACGAGTTGTTCCAGGTGGCGGAGGGAGACTAAGCAACAGTAGCTCCAGGTCATCTCGTTCTGGGCTCCTGGCAGCCCTGCGAGGAGATGCACTGTCACTATCTACGAATTCAACCACTTCTCAGCGACGTCACCATGGTGTATCCAGCAACAGTTCTGTTCAACAGGGCAATGGGTCTGAAAATGGTGGCGCAAATAGTGATTGCTCTAGTGTCTATAGCCGTCAGCGGGAACTAACGTGCAATTACCGGATTTACATGACGACCAACGTGGTCGAACCTCCTCAATACTTTGCTGCAGCTGCAGCTAATCGTCTAGAAGAGATCCGAGGAAGTGAATACCCACAGCATCCTAATGCAAGCGCCAGTAATGCCTCCCGTCCGCATTTCGGCGCAACAGGGGGTGCTTCGGACTCTGCGATCCCCTTTTCGACATCACTACCATCAACGCCTGAGATGGGACATGCTTCAGGATTCGGATCATTTTCGCGTTCATTTCCATCATCAGGCATCGCCACATCTTTGTCTCTCTCCCAAAAGATTGCGGCTGAAGATGAGATGATTGGTGAGGACACTTTTAAGCTGAATGAGGGATGGGGATATCGCCATCGACAATATCTGACCCGTGTAGCTAGGCAAGTGCGCGATCGCCCACCACGATCAAATCAGGACTCATCTGGCCTACACTCACATGAGAATGCGTCTCCCGGCACAATGCAGCAAGGCGGCCATCTTGGAGCTCCTTTGCATCATCTCCAGCAACAACAGCAACAACAACAGCAGCAGCAACAGCAGCAGCAAGCGGGTCAGCAAAACCAGCAACAGCAAGCACATCAGGGACAGCATGGTCAGGCTGGAGCGTTTAATCAACAAGGGCATCCTGTAGCGCCTCCTCATCAACCATTGCTCCAGAACTCACTACAACTACTGCAACAGCAGCAGCAGCAGCAGCAGCAACAGCAACAGCAGCAGCAGCAGCAGCAGCAGCAACAGCAACAACAACCACTAAATCAACAACAACAACAGCAGGGTCAATCTAACCCACAAACACCACATGTGAATGCAAACGCAAACGCAAATGTTGCTGCGCAGGGTAATGGTGTACAATCGCAGCATGGACTTCAGAATCAGACATCTCCATTATCGTCATCAACGTCATCATCCGCGCTGCTATCCCAGAGTGAGATGCATGATGAATTGGAGGATGACGGTCTATGGATTCATTTTGTGGTGAAGGTTGGATGGTCAGATCGTAAGCGGGATGACAAGGCGACCAACTAAAAAAAAAAAAAAAAAAAAAAAAAAAGCCCTAAGCTGTGAGAGTGTATCATAATCTATATCATATATACGGAACGGATATTTAAGGATTAAAACTATGTATATAATATATATACAAATCTACTATTTTTTTCCTACCAAGACGGCACTAATGGTTTTAACTTTTTTTTTGTTTTGATAAATGCAACACAACATGATATCGTCATTTTCAATTACAGATTTTGGGCGAAGTCAAGTGACTAAATTAAGTGTAACAAATGAACAAATGAACAAATGGCCCGTGTGTTTCTAAATCTTTAATAGAGTATAAAAAACAAAGCTACTATTTCTTTCTTCTTCTTCTTCTTTTAATTTTCTTTTCCCGTTTCCCACACTCTTTTTTCTATTTTCCCAATCATGAACACTGATCATCCAAACAAATCTTTCTCTCAGGAGACAGGCTCTACGCAGCAACCAGGACGGAATCAATATCAGGATCCACAGAATGATGCTGGCAAACAGTTCCGTCCCGTTGCTGTAGTTCATTCTACACATTCACACCTCGAGACCTTTGATCAAGCTACTCGTGAGCAGAACAACAATACTGCAACATCCAATAATAATAACAAAAACGAGAATAGTTTGAATCAGACGCTTAGAAGATCATCCTCATCATCAGAGCAGAATATCAACTCTGCTCTTCAACTGGATCGAGATCTTCAACAGAGTCGTCGTGTTGCAGATGATGACCGACAAAAGGTTAGTAGTCCTCCTTTTGAAGGGAAAAAAAAAAAAAAAAAAAAAAAAAAAAAAAAAAACAATCAATGACAAAACTTAGTTTAGCTTGGCATGATTTATTTAGTTTTAGTTTTAGTTTTTTTTTTTTTTAAACATATTCACGCTAATGAGTAATGACTTAATATCGAACGTGATCTGTACTAAATTTTTTTTATTTTTTTTTTTATTTTGATTTTTATTCTTCAAGGCTTCTGGAAACACTCGTGGTTCTTGGTCTGGCACCCAAGGAGAATTACCCTATGTGGAATAAAAAAATGAAAAAAAAAAAAGAAAAGAAAAAAAAAAAAAAAAAAAAGCTGGATCCCATTTTGGTCGCTATTGGCTATATATGAATTTAAAATAATCTCAAATTGAATTGATAGCCAATTAAGCTTATGCAAAGAAAAAAATAAAAAAATAATAATAATAATAATAAAAAAAAAGAATGCCGCTTTTGGTACATTCATATATATGTATATGACAAGAGATGAGAAGATGTGAAGAAAGAAGAAGGGGGTTTTTTTTTGTTTAAAAAAAAAAAAAAAAAAAAAATTTATCTTTAAACACGATACTCCACTAAACTCCTTTCGTCATCTTCATTATTCATATCTGCGTCTAACAGGGTCTGGACCGCTTCGGCTTCAGATTCCAATGTCCTTTTGGCCAAGAGGTCATTCCTGGCCTTACATTTCCTAACCTCCGCTGGCCAGTTGGTCTTAAAGATCACCCATAGTTCACCCAGGCCTACCATCCATAATGCCACACACAGTGCAGACCAGAGACCCTTCAATCCCCACTGCAGCTTGAACGCGAAGAAGTAGCCCAGAGGGAAGGCTACGAGGTAATAGGCGACCAAGTTCAAGTATGCACCCAAATGTTGTAATCCAACGCCTCGAAGGACACCACCTCCGACACCGGCCAATCCGTCACTGATCTGATACAAAGCCACCAAAGGCAACACCATCGCGACCGTCTGGATCACTTCTGCATCCTCGCTAAACAACCTTCCCCATCGTTCTTTAAAGAGGATCAGCATCAGGGAGTTGGTCATGCCGAAGATGATCGCCAGTGCTATAGATACTCTCGATGCCACCTTTGCAGATCGTGCATCGCCCATGCCGATCAAGTTACCGACTCGGTTACTGGCAGCGATTGAAATTCCAAAGGGGATCGTGTATAACAATCCGGAGGTCTGGACCACTACTGACTGAGCTGCCAAAGCGATTGTGCCAAGATACGAAGCGGCCAAAGACATGACCTCAAAGGCCCACCATTCTGTGCAGACCATCATCACGCCTGGCAAGGCCAGTTTCAAGAATTCTCGCCAGCCAGTTAAACATTCACGGGTCCATCCGCCCCATCCTTGGTATCCATCCACGAATCGAATGTAAAGTATCAAGAGGATCAGCATGTTCCAATAAGAGATGCTGGTCGCAATGGGGGCTCCGATGTATCCCATACCGATGTAAGGGTTCCAGACCAAGACATAGTTCAAGACGACGTTGATGGGAGACGCAATCAAAAGAACATAGGTGCTGGCATGCATATTTCCCTGTGCCTGCAAAAACTTCTTTGCACATTCAAAGATCAAGAAGGCTGGAGCACCTGGTAAGAGTCCACGTAAGAAGATGGCCGCATGTTCTGCCAGGGCTGGTTCCTGACCCAACAATGCAAAGATCTGTTCTGAAGATAACCAGATGGCGGCAATGGGGACGAACAAGAGCATGAGAATTAGGATGGCGCGTTGGAGGTGTAGGCCCAAGGTGTGTGGGTGATGAGAGGTATAGGATTGAGAACAAAGGGTATCCAGTGCTGTTGCAGTACCCAATGATACAGACCAACAGGTCACAGCAGCAAACATGGATGCTAATGAAGACGCCGCCAATTCTATTTAAAAAAAAAAAAAAAAAAAAAAAAAAAGATTAGAACAAAGCCATAGATAGATAGATAGATGGATAGTTATATAATATATAAAAATATATAATAGAACCTATTAACATGAGTCTGAAAATATGTCTCTTAATAACAAACTCTACACCCAGACGTTAAAGATTGTTCAGGAGAATCAAGACAGACCAGAGCCAGTGTTTCCCAGAATTACAAACAAAGTCCGCCCCCGCCCTTTCGATCGCGATTTTTTTTTTTTAATGATTCTGAGATCCGTGCACGGGCATTGGTCCAAATTCAATAGTTTGTTTCCGGTCAATGTTCCCTCCTCTCCTTTTTCTCTTCACATGAATCGTCTTCACAACCTTGAATGAAATCCACACACACATCTGAAAGGAGTTTTTTTTTTTTTTTTTTTTTTTTTTTTTTGAATTGAATTGAATTGAATTGAGCAATTATATATCTTTAACTGCTCCAACCTTTTGCTTATCTCTTTTAACTCTCCGCAGAAGTGAGAGCTGATTTCATGAAAAAAAAAAAAAAAAAAAAAAAAAAAATAACAACAACAATAACAACAACAATAACAATGTACAATGTATAAACATTAAAAATGGCGAGAAATGACGAAAAAGAAAAAGAAAAAACCTCCATTTCTTTGTCTTAATCATTCATGGCGATATATATACATAAATATATACATTCTCCCATCAGCAGAAATAACATTATTGTTTGTAACATGCTTGTATGTATTTATGTACAGGGGAAATGCATAACGATGAAAAGGGGAGGGCATTGTGGAGGTGGCTGGACTCTTGTTTATCCAGTTTTTTTTTTTTTTATATATAAACCATTGGTCACACCTTGAGCATTGACGATAATTATAGTGTGTACATAAAAAAAAAAAAAAAAAAAATCCTTACCGATAGATCCAAGGTGACCCAACGAGACTAAACTTGCCAACTGTAACGAGTTTTGAAGGATATACGTCAGCACCACAGGACCTGAATACCGCAGCAAGATCTTGAATTCTCGTCTTGTCAAGTCTTGAATAGACATATATTTTCCACATTCCTCCTCCTCTTCTTCTCCTTCATCTCCATCTCCATCTCCATCTCCATCATCATTGGAGTTGGTCATATTAGCGTCAAAAAGTGTCTCTGTAGAAGATCCTCTGTTGTCCCTGTGCCTGTCCCGGCCCCTGCCCCTGTCCCTGTCTCTAAGCTTGTGCTTATCCTGGTCATCTTCATCATTGAAATCATACGATGGCGGACGGACAGTTGAATAATCAGGAAGAGTGGGTGCAGTAGCAGCTGCAACCGCAGCAATGTCAACAGGTAGATCTGTAGCAGTGTTATGGGTATTATGGTTGTTGTTGGTAGTGTTGTATGCTGTACTTAGGGGTGCCTTTGTGATGAGGCGCGATCGCTCGGACGGTCTGGCTGGGGTAGAAGACTGATGATGGGAAGATGGGAATGCATGGTCATAACTCTGTTCATAAGAGTGTTTTGGAAAGGAAGACATGATTATAATGAATTCGTCAATAAAAAAAAAAAAAAAAAAAAAAAAAAAAGGAGAAAGATATAATATATTGTCCTTTCTCCAGCGGTGACTGTGGCTGTGCCGTGTACTCGATATGTTTAAAGAAAGAGATAACGATAAGCGACAACAGTACTTTAATTAGGAATGAATAAGAAAAAGGAAGGAGAAAAAAAAAAAGAAAGAAAAGGTTAAGAAGAAGAAGAAGAAGAGAAGGAGGAGGAGAAGGAGAAGGAAGAAAAAGAAAGAGGAACCGTTCCTTAAACATGCGCCACAATCATTGCGGACAAAATTTCAACTTTGACATGAACTCTAAAACGAGGCGGGTGTTGAATGAAATCCACAAAAATATAAATATATATTTCGATCTACTTGTGTGTGTGTGTGTGTCTGTGTGTGTTTTTTCAATTCCAGAACATTTAGACAATACGATTCATGCATCATTGGGATGGGAAAAAGATGTGTCCTTCCTCTTTTCTGTTCTTCGGGACAAAATAAAGTAGGCTGACGACATCTGAACAGGATGGATGGCGACAGATCAGATCAACCAAGGACAGGGGAGGGGATGTAACACATCGTATACAATAAACATCAAATATTATTGTATAATATGTATGTTTGTATGATATGTTTGTATACAAATATCTTGATGTTCAATGAAGAAAAGCATGTAAAGAACTGTTTGTTTCGATTGCTTTCCATGGTAATACACACCATAATGCGATTGCACATCTACAGCACACACGCAGCATGGATGTACTTTTGGATAATACGTATAAATAAATAAAATAAATAAACTTAAATAAACGATCAAGGGTGCATGCATCTGTGGCAAAAACACCAATCATAAATCATAAAAATCATAAAAAATCATAAAGCAAGCCAGAGATTAATCAAACAACATACAAGCACTTTGGCGACGATTTTTTTTTTTAAAAAAAAAAAAAAAAACATGCGATGCATAAATGGCAACTAACAACAGGCTATCGATCTCGACTGTTTATTTATTTCGATTCTCTTTATTGATAATGATGTAACTTTATGCAAATAGAAAAAAAAAAAAAAAAAAAAAAAAGTGAAAAGAAAAAAAAAACTAATTACTAGAAAAACTTGGCAAGAAAAAAGATTACAGAGGCAGTAAACCTACCATTAACGATATTAGCGGATATAAAAAAGAAAAAAGAAGAAAGAAAGAAAAATATATATTCATGATAACAGATAAAAAAAAAAGTGATGGGTCAGAAAGAAAGATTTAAAAAAAAAGGAGCTCTTTATGCACTCGCCAAGAGCCCTGTCTCTTGAACGTGGTCATGCGTCCTATCCACCAAATCCATATTCACATCCTCATCATGGCCATGATGATGACTGTTATTGCTATTACTGGTATGCACGTATCCAATAACAGGGTTCCTTATATGGGCAGTATGATTCTCCATTGATTGTCGACTCTGACTTTCCTCTTCCACCTCTTCTTCATCGTCCTCTTGATCATGGTCCACGTCTTCTTCGTCCTCCTCCTCATCATCTTCTTCATCATCGTGCTCGCGACCTTCATCCGAAGCTCCATCTTCCAACATTCTGTTATCATCTTCATCATGAGATGTCATCATATCCTCGCCCTCAGTATCGCCGTTAATCATAGCATTGATCTCCATCTTCTTGGCCGCGCTATGTCCATTGCTGTTGTCAATGCTGCTGCTGCTGTTGTTGCTGTGCATCACATTAGTACCATTGTGGCCATTGCTATTATCGTTGCCATTGCTGTTGCTATTTTCATTGCCATTGATATTGATGACATTATTGACACTGGTATTGATATTGTTTTCCTTTGGATATTTAGATGGTCGTCCGACCTTGCCTGGCGTCTTTTTACGCTGCTTCTGAGAAGAACCATTTTGTGTAGCCTAAATGTAAGGAGGAAAAGAAAGAAGGAAAAAAAAAAAAAAAAAAAAAAAAAAAACCAAGTCGAATTGAATTTAGTAAAAAGCTGACAAGGGTTAAATCATTTCTAAGCTCAAGCATGGTTCGGGATTATAAAACTTACACTTCCAAATCCATGTTCGTGTTCATACAACATCATTTCCTCTAGGTATCGCTGACGATCTTGCACAGCTAGTTCAGAGTAAATCTATTCATTACAAGGATATACGAACCATCAGTTAGTAACTGCATCTCTAGTGAACAATAAACAAGCAAGGTGAAGAAGAGCACGTGGAAGAATTAAATAAAAAGCCAAAAAAAAAAAAAAAAAATCCATGTTTAATCCGCTGTTTCAACGCCACTTTTTTTTTTTTTTTTTTTTTTTTCCGGATGAATAAAGTTGGAGGTCGAGTCGCGCCAAAGACTAACTGCGGAATCTTCCGAATGTTGTTCAAAAACTATTGGTGTCGAGAAAAGTCGCAGGTCTTACTGCGAGTCAGTCAGCCTAGTTCTGTTTCTGCGCTGATTCCTAGCCATCTATTTTCGCCTATTATCATTATCATTATTATTATTATTATTTTATTATTGTTGTTGTTGTTGTTGTTGTTGTTGTTGTTATCGTTGTTGTTGTTGTTATCGTTGTTGTTATTGTTACTGTTACTATTATTATTATCATTACTGTTATTATTCCCTAGTCCTTTTTCATTTTCTGTCCATGTTTCTCGTAAATGTAAATGGTTGGATAAGCAAACATAAGCGTTGTGCGTGTGATTGCGCCTATTTTAGCTAAAGTTTGTGTACACCTGTTTTGCTTTGCTTTGCTCTGGTTTGCTCTGGGTTTGCTTTGCTTATACCTTTTTTTCGGTGGATGGCATCGATTTCCATTGTTGTCCTAGGAATTTGGTGAGCTCGCTCTGGTTGCCTTCCTTCTTTTCCTCCCGTGCCTGCTGTCGATGTTGTTGTGAAAAGATAAAAAAGGCATTCGAGGGTCGCTTGGGGGCTAAGGGGTCCTTACGTCTTTTCTTTGTCGCTCGTTTCCCAGCTGCGGTACCAGTTGTGGCTGCAGTGGCCGCTGCGGTCGTAGCATTTGTTGGGCTTGTGACTGTACCACCGATGGTCGATGACGAGGGCGAAAGCGAGGCTGAGGCGGGCTCGTTTGTGCCTTGAGCATGATGGGCTACTATAGACGAGCCTCTGGAGGGAGGGGTCTTGGAACGAGCATGCCTTTGACCATAGGTGGAATGGGATGAGGAAGGGTGGTGATGTAAAGACGAGTACGAGTGGCGGAATCGCTTGAGCCTGTCTAGTCCATGGCTGTGGCGATGACCTCTACGTCCTTTGGATAGACCATCACCGGCCCTGTCATTAGTTCTCTCTTCGTCCGTGTCCGAGTCAGAAGTGGAGGAAGAGGAAGTAGAGGGATGTGTAGCCTGTTCGGATTGATCCAGTCGATCGAACAGGAAGCTAAAAAGAGATGCAAGCTTTTCTTTGTTAGTAAATTTTTTTTTTTTTTTTTTTTTTTTTTTCAGCAGACAATGAATTGGTCACGACAATGTCACGGGTAGATGGTAAAGAAAAGAAGTTATTAATTATTATTAAGTATAGTAAATAATAAGGATAATAACAAGGATAATAACAAGGATAATAATAAGGATAAGGATAAGGATAAGAATAAGAATAACAATGTGATGGCACGCGTGTAACAGTGAGTTGGGTAAAAGACAGGAAGAGTGAGAATTGACCATTGCCATGGGCATGGATGGTGTTTGGCATAGACAGGAAAAAGAGACCCAATGAATGTTTACCTTCTTTCGACGCGTAGACGATGGATGTTTTTTCGAGCGCGGCTCAATTTAATATTGAGGATGTCATTGTCCTACCAAGCAAAAAATAAATAAATAATAAATAAACAAAGAGAAAAATGAGAACATTATACATGTACAGATGGTAAAATAAAACAAATAACAAATAACAAATAACAAATAGCAAATAACAAAGAAAGGGGTAGAAAAAACAAAAAGAGTTGATAGAAAGAGTAGAAAAGAGAGAGAGAGAGAGAGAGAGAGTAAGGAAACAAACGGTGTTGGGGTGTGTACAAGTGAAGTGTGGTGTATCTTTGGTACAGACCAGGGCATGCCCCAATACAAATTCATCTCATTCGACACAAAGTATTCCATTCACCACCGTGACAATCTTTTTTTTTTTCTTAATCTTCTTTGATTTCAAAAAGGCTCCCAAATTGACGTATCCGCAATCAACTGCCCACGAACACAGCAAAAAAAAAAAAAAAACAACAACAACAATAATAATAATAATAATAATAATACTGATAATAATAACAATGATAAATAAATAAATTAATAAAGTAAAATAAAAAAAAAAAGAGCCAGTCTGGTTCTAATTCAACATCTTATTTTCCGCTCTCTTTTTTTTTTTTTTTCACAAGAAATACTGGATCAAGTAGTGACGACATGGAACAGTCGAGACGATGAATGAAACGTAAAAAATAAAAATTAAAAAGTGAACTAAAAAAAAAAAAAAAAAAGGTTTTTTGTTTTCATGTGGGATCTGTCCCATCCATTCTTACTTCTTCAATGTCCCTTATCCTCTTCTTGAGATCTTTATATTTGCGTTTATACTTGATGTCTAATAATCAAACAATAGATTAGATAGACAGGAAAGTTAAAAAAATAAAAAATAAAAAAAGGAGATATCACAATTTTTTTTAATTGTCTGTTCTCGTTCTTCTTGTTCTTGAACACACTTGATTGAGAGATAGAGATGACATGAATTGTTTTGTTCCTAATAAAACGTCTCATTGGGATAATAAAAAAATAAATTAAAAAAAAAAAAAAAAAAAGAAAAACTTACCATCTGCGGAAGCGGAGGAAGCTGCGGGATTGCTTTTCGTATTCTCGGAACCAGATTGAGTAGTATTGATGCTTGCACCATTGGTGGATGATTGAGAAGGGCCAGGGGCAGAGGCCTGCTTGCCCTGTATTAAATGTGTGAAGAAGTATTAAATGTATTAAATGATGGGAAAATGAAGATGATAATGGTGTTTATGTGTTTTATTTGTTTTCAGTAAATACAAAAAGAGTAGATTCAGCAATAGAGTAAAGAGAAAAAAGACAAGATTTTAGGGTTAGAAAACCATAATGGAAATTCGTAACGCATTGCAAACTCTTTTTTTTTTTTTTTTTTTGAAGAAAAGAAAAAAAAAAAAGATGCAATATGAGAGAATTTTGTTGAGAGCCATCATCCCAGTTGAGATTCGATATGTTGTCCAACACAATGCAATTAAAAAAGGGGGAATGGAGTGAGGGGAAAGAAAGAGCATAAAAAAAATAAAATAAAATAAAAAAAAAAAGTACCTTGGGAGAAGAAGTATTGTTGACGATGGAAGCAATAGCAGACATGGTTGAACGTGTTTATGTAATTAGTTATTTGTGTGCACTAAAAGTGTTGAGGTGTGAAAGTGTCAAAGTGTGCAAGTGTGAAAGTGTGAAAGCCCGAAAGTGTGAAATTGAAGTGTGAAGGGGAGACAAGTACACAAACACTTCAATGCTTGCGTGCGCTTCAGCCAAGGGGAGAAGAAAAAAAAAAAAAAAAAAAAAAAACTGCAACGGTTCAGGGCACAGGGGTAAGGGAAGAAGGAAGGAATTCAATGGAAGGAATATGCAATGCAATAATTGAATGAACGTAACATGAATGAATGTAAATGTAAGTGCGAATGTGTGTAAATGAATGAATGAATGAATGAAATGTGTTCCTGGAATAGAGCAGTCGAGTAGTTTTTTTTTTGGTAGTAATAGTATTAACAGAAAAAGAATATTAAAAAAAAATGGGGAGAATGAAGGAGCGGAGAGAGCGTTGAAATAAAGAATAAGAAGGAAAGAAAAGGAAAAGGAAAAGGAAAGGGAAAAGGAAAAGGAAAAGGAAAAGGAAAAGAAAAAGAAAAAAGAAAAAAAGAAAGAGGAAAGAAATAGAGAAAAAGAAAAGGAAACAAAGACAAACAAGAACAACAAAGCATCATTCATGTCTCTCTCTCTCTCTCTGTCTTTCTTTCTCTCTCCCCTTTTCGCTTTTTTTTTTTATTTATTTTCCATCACTTCACCGTCCCAAATGTTGTGCCATGACATGTTTGCATTGTAAAAAAAAAAAAAAAAAAAAAAAAAATATCAAAGAGAAGGAGAAAAAGAGGTTTTTGATTTCCTTTTTCAATTTATTTGCCGTATCTCCTTTTGCCCACGACCATTTCCTTCATGGGTCATGTTTTTTGTATTCAAAGGTATTTTAAAAGTAAAATAAGTAAAAGATAATAGATAAATAAATAGATTATAATAAATAGATAAATAAATATTGTAAGATTAACATTGTATCTATATATTTTTGATTAATAAAGATTGAACAAAGGCATCATCATCCGCATCAACGTTAACTTCATCATTATTTTTGTCATTTTTTTTTATTATTTCTGTGATGGGCATTGAATGTTTCCTGTCTTTCCGTCCGTTTTTTTCTTTTTTTTTTTTTTTTTGGGTCCAACGGGGACAACATATTGCATTTTATTCAAAAAGGACGGAGAAGGGGAAAAATCATTGTCCACAAAAGAAAAGGCGAAGGAAAAGGGAAAAGGGAGAGAAGAAGGGGAAAAGGAAATATAAAAACCACCAACGAATACATACACTCTCACTACAACGATAATCTCCTCCATCCCCCCCCCCTCTCCCCTCTCTACCCCATGCAAATAACTCACCACATTATATTTCCTTCCCTTTCCTTTCCTTTCCTTTCCTTTCCTTACAAAAGGAACAATAGGCGCTTTTCTAAATGACAATTGCATTATGTATATGTATCATTGTTATATATACATTCCCTTTTCTTTTCCTTTTTTAGCAAACGGACATGACAATGGCATCATTTGGTCCGATACGTGCCTTTCTCCTGGGGGGTTTTTTTTTATTTGTCATGACCATGTATTTATCAATGTGCTTTTTTCTTTTTTCTTTTTTTCTCAAATGCATTAGAAAATCAACGACATCAACAATAACCCCCTTTTTGCCACACACATATACACAAAAAAAGTAAAAAAGACTTTTTTTTTTTTTTTTTTTTTACACATTCTGCACCGCACGTACTCGACATGAGGCTTGTGCGCGTACGAGGTATTTTGGCATTAGATTTGCATATTCAATTATACCGTTTTCCCGGCACAGTGTTTTTTTTTTTTTTTTTTTTTTTTTTTTACAAAGATCAGCTCCAAATAGAAAAGTAAAGAAAAGAAAAAGTAAAGGAAAGGGGAGGGGGAGAAAAGAAGAAGCGCGCGACTCGTTAGATTGATGATCTATCTGATCGCGCCACCCATTCATTGTGATAGGGAATCCTAAAAGGGGGAACATGAGGTCACTTTGCTTCATGATCATGATCCACCTTCTTTAGATTCTTGCTGTACACCGCCATCCACCTTTTTTTTTTTTTTTTTTTTTTTTTTTTTTTTTTTTTTTTTTTTAACAAAACTATCTTTGCTTTGCTTTCTTTCTCTCTCTTTCTTTCTTTTTTTTACTGCCCAACCTACTTTTCTCACTTTTTCCCTGTTCCGTGATCAAGCATCTTTTCTTTGTGTGATCATCTGCAACGATTCTTTTTAATTCTGATGCTCAGAAAACTAACATGGTCAATTGTCAATTGTCAATCATACATCCGTTATACAAATATAATATCACTGTGTTATAAACTCACATCTTTATCCTTCCCTGTGACATACGAAAAACAGGAGGCAAAACGTGGAAACAATAAAAGAAACCTTTTATGCATGCACTAACTGTCCATTGAACTTTTTTTTTTTTTTTTTTTTCTTTTTTTTCTTTCCCGTTGGGAAAAGAATAATAATAAACGACTCGTCATCTCGCCATGAGAGAAACTGATCAGCAAAAAAAAAAAAAAAAAAAAAAAAATAAAGATTATTACATCTTGAGTAGACGGAAAACCTTTTTTAACAACTCTACACCTTGCGCCTTTCTCTCATTCTCAAACTATTCCGTAAAAGTAGATACAGATATAGATATATTAATGTATACATTGTATACATGTATATACCGCTGATGTTTGAACGGCATCTTCCTTCCTTCCTATCTATCTATACGCTATCCCATTCTCTTAGGCTTTTTAAACCCCTCGGGACAAAGTCCAAAGTGGCCATCATGACTTGCTATAAAATAAAAAATTCACTTGTAGACAAGCCTAATTCATCAAAAATAGTCATCTCAGTCAACAATCAATACAATGTTACATAGAATAAGGGAAATATAGTATAAATATATATTATATATCATGTAATTATTGAACCGTAGATGATCTTTTTTTTTTTTTTTTTTTTTTTTTTTTTTTTTCCTTCAAGGCTTTCCAAAAAAGCTCTTTTTAAACGATCCTTTCAATGGCGTGGATGCAGTGGCTGGTGGACTCAACTGTGCGTTGGCTGGCGAATAGCCTGCCGATGCTGATCCATCTCCCATGCTAGAGCTCTGTGCAATCTGCTGTTGTTGGCGACGCTCTTCTCTCTCAATCTCATCCGCTACCCACAAGGCACATCCTACAATGTTGGTCCACATGAACAGCAGATTGGCAATAGGAATCATTTCCAGTGCTACAGCCAATGAGCCAAATCTAGAGAAAAAAAAAAAAAAAAAAAAAAAAAAAATTGGTTGGTTAGCATGGTTCTTCTTGCTACAATCACAAGAGTCTCCGCCAAGAAGATTCTTGTTCCCATCTTTTTTTTTTTTTTTTTTTTTTTTTTTTTTTTTTTTTTTTTTCATCCTTACCCCGTGTACTCGGCCCTGCGTTTCCAAGCCTCTTGTCTAGATTGCTTGACAGAAATGTTTCGAATCTCGGCATCATAATGGAATCGAATACCGAACGTCAAGATCCATCCGTTAATGCCTGCATAAAGGATCTGACCAAGGACCGGAATCAAATTGAGTGGCAATGTCAAAATGAGTACTATAATCTACATTCAAATAAAAAAAAATAAAAAAAAAAAAAAAAAAAAGATTAGCAGACGATAGAAAGAGTAGAAGAAAGGATGGCTAGATACCCATTCATCTTCATCTATCCAGATGTCCCTATTTATGCGCGAGGGATAAAAAGAAAAGAAAAAGAGGCGAGGGGGAGGATTCCTTCATAAACTATATTCAGCTTACGTCCAGAAACAATCAAATATCAAGCAAGTGAAACACAAAAAGTAAAATGAAAAAGTGAGAGCAAGAGCATGGAAAACGTCGTTGCTCGGCATTCACGAAAAGGGATGTTGAAACCGCCGAAAATATAAATAATAAGAGTAACAATAAAAAGATAATAACAATAATAATAATTATAATAATAATAATAATAATAATAACAATTATAATAATAATAATAATAATAATAAAGAGGGCTTTGTATGCCTGCATACTTGCATGCTCTGAAAGTACGCGCTCACAGGAACAAGTCATGAACAAATTGGAAAACTAGGAATTTTAAATGCAATAATAACGCGTCCCATTTACGCCAAGGCAGAAAGATAGTCTACTAGACAATAACCGAGACGAGACATACAACCAAACTCGTACTAAAGCAGAAATCATGCTCTTGGAGAATATGAAGACAATAATAGCATTGATGATAAACTTGCCTGACAGAATACGATGAAAAGACCACCGTTGACACCACGCATGCACTTGATCATGTCGTTACCCTGGCTTCTCTCAAGGACATGTCGTAGTCCCCTGAGTTTGAGAACCCTATCAAACAGACCGTCTTGATAGATAGGGAGGATGATCAGGTAGAAGAGCAGGATCATTACCGCAATCTCCAGCAACACAAAGATGACACTCACAAACCTTGTTGTCGGAAACGTACGTGCCCATCACCCAAGAGAAGGAAGGGAAAAAAAGAAAAAAAAAAAAAAATACAGACGATGAGCTTAAAAACATAAAGATTTGATACTGCCCATGTGCACAGACATCGATAAAAAAAAAAAAAAAAAAAAAAAAAAGAAAAGACTCGTGATGATGTTTTCCCTCCATACCATGCGACACCTGCAGGACAATTAGCCTCGATGAGGGCATGGGCCTGTAGCTTTAAGAGATATGCAAATCCGAAGGCAACAGCAGCAATGGCCCAGAGGAGAGTAAGCAGAATAGGACAGAGAAGACTGGTGATTAACTGAGGATGTCCGAGGAAGAATATGATTCCTTGAGCTACACAAAGACATTATAGGGAAGAAGAGCCTTTGTTAGACAACATGAACAATGTGTTTACACGTATTAATTAGTAATAATGACAATAAAAAAAGAAAGAAAGAAAGAAAGAAAGACGCACCAGGATAACTCGAAGGAACGATCATGTTGTCTTAGTGTGTGAATAAGCTTTGGGGGATGTATGAAAGGGATGGAAAGAGAGGGAAAACAAGGTATTGAGTATACGTGAGTGGATGAGTGAAAGGATATGCTTTGGCGAGTAAAAAGTGAAGTGGCGTGCTGAAGAGAAGGATGAATGAAGAATTGAATGATGAATTGAATGATGAATTGAATGATGAAATTGAACAAAAGCGTGGGAGAGAGAGAAAGAGAGGGAGAGAGAATGGGTTTAAACGCTTAAATAGGGTGACCGATGTAACAATGCTTATGAAACCCTCCCTCTTTCTTTTGTGCAACATTTTATTTTTCCAATGAACAAGCTTTTTTTTTTTTTTTTTTTTTTTTTTTTGCATAGCCAGGCAGGTACAAAGGCGACTGTTCGATGCTTGTTGGTTTTCCAAATCTGCTTTGATTGCACCATAATTTAGCGGAACTGATTAGCATCCCCTGAATAGCTGCCATCCAAAGGGACTAACTTCGAATGGACAGGATTTACTGTGTTGTTCAAAACAATAAAACTTGACTGAAAGTCTGCTAATCCTCAAACTATGAGGCAAATAATGCCTCTGAACGCTTCAATAGGATTATGGCGAGCTTTTGGGGTGCAGAAAAGACAAGATTGTTACTTTTGAGCAATGAAGGATATAGGATTTGTTCCTTGGAGGCACACCTTTCTGAAACCACGCTTGTTGCTAGTAAAAACACAAATGGTCCCCGTTTTCCGCATAATTTCAGCGCTTCCACAATCCAAGGGCTGTGATATAGCCATTAATTGCTACATGTTTGTCGAAGTATTGACACATCCCTTGCAAAAGTTCAGATGTATGCTAAGAATATTGTTTAAGGGACGTAGAGTAGTCAATAGCATGTGGCAGTATTCAGGTGTTTATACAGTATCAGATGGAGTCCGAACAGTCGCCATATTCGGATGGATTGTAAATTGAAGTGAATATTTGAATAGGTAGGATGAAAATAAAGTGAACACATGGAATAATATAGAGGAGTTGTAATAAAGCGCTTTATATCCAATAGCTTGCAAAGAGTATATCTGTATGAGCGCTGTTTCTGAGGAATATGTACGCCTTGTTGAGGCTCAGTGGAGGTTCATGCAAGAGGAGTGGCCAGCTATAAAGAAAGCCAAGTTTCATCGCACAGAGATGAAAGAGATATCTGACGTAACACACGTCAAGTCAATGGTGCTTGACCGTCTAGGATTCATCCCTTCGTTCTTTTTTCTGACACAAGTATTTGGAGTGCGTGACTATGGTAGCCCATATCGTAATGTCGAAAAGGGTCTTCTGCTCCTGTATGCACTAATCACAGGAGATTCATTGTCTACAATGTCAAGGTTCATACCAAAGACGTCCTTTTACGACTTGCACAGGGAATTTTATCTTCGGGACCCTGTGAAACTACATGATGACATAACCTCAATGATGAGAGATATGTGCTCGAGTTTGAAGCTACGATTGCTACTTGCCAAGAACAACCCTGATCCATTCAAGCATGTGACATTGAGTCTAGACGGACATGACACAAGAGTCAGCTACATCGGTGCTGACAAGCCAAGTCTCTACTCTTATAAACTCAAGAAGTCGGGTTTTCGTATTCAAGTGTGTTCAGACATGAACAATATCATATTGTTTGCATCCAAGCCAGCTCCTTGTCGAGATTTCAATGATGGGACTATGCTTGTGAAGATGAACATTGCATCGCATATACACAAGCTAGACTGTGTTGCTCTTGACGGTGGCTACAGTGGGTTCGTTAGACAAATTGTCGAACCATCAGATGCACTGTCCTACGAAAATTTCTCTTATCCTGTGCGCAAGACTAGGGGGATCGCCATGACAGACCAAGAGTTACATTACAATAAAGCGTTTGGTGGGTTTCGGTCAAGCATCGAAGGGTGCTTTGGAGACATGCAATCCACCTTCTCCAAGTTCACACACGACGCTCCCATCCGTTTCTCAGACGCAAAGACGTTTGATCTCCAATTCAAGCTTTGTTGCCTGCTTATGAATATCAAGAGAGTCGTGTCAATCCATAATATCCCCACTCAGACGCACCACACATTCTGGATGCAAGATGCGTTTGACTTTCCAGACAATAATGAGTATCAGGTTGCTTATGAGAAGCTTCCCAGCATCAAAGTCAAACTAAATCATGGTCGAAGTCTTTTAGAACTACAAGAAGCGTTCCTATCTGTAGCTAGTTCGCAGCCTAACACACTAGACACTGCAGATGAGACTATGGCAGAGACAGCGCAGGAGGGATACGAGGTTGCTAGGATTTTAGACCATCGCGGAGAAGGTGAGGACATGGAGTTTCTGGTTCAATGGGAAGGCTTCGATATCTCTGAGGCAACATGGGTGGCTCTACAGCATTCCAACTACAAACAGTGCATCCAAGACTATTGGAGAACCAAAATCAGCTTCTAGAGACCGATTGCACGTACTTTCAAAAACCACCATGACGCGCACAGACCATGGGGGCGACTTTCCAAATTCTTTTATAGAGATGAAATCCAAAGTCGCCCCCGGTTAAATATTAATCCATGACTTTTCAAAAAGAATACAATATCGTAATCTGCTCAAGCCCTCCGTTATATTCATTTAGTTCCATCATTGAAGAAACCTTCCCAATTCTTCCCTACTTCCCTCATGTATTTTATATGATAGCTTGTGGCTTTCTTGTTAGTTCCAACTATATGAATACCAAAAACCTCATTCAAGACAGAGTTGACAAAGTTCTGCCGGTTTCTGAAGTTCCAGTTGCTATGAGATGGGTACGGGATTAGAAGTTGTGTGCAAATATTCCGCATGTTTGACGATAGCGATTCCCATTGCTCATCCAGGCTTGATTTGAGAGCAGTGGATGCTCTACATTTGGGATCAAATGGGGAGTCATAACCACAGGCAAAGAGGATGTCTTTTGCATACTTTAGTTTGGTATACTTTGATTGATGTAGTCTATGTAGTATGGCGCCAGTGTCCCTCCTTTCTTGATCTTTCCCCAGAGGATACGAGTCGCTCTGCTTTGTCATCTTCAACTCTGGGTCGTTCTTCAAGGCTCGCAGATTCTGAAAGACCTTCATCTCTTTTGGGTTACTGTAGGTCTTCACCCATTCAGGCGTAAGGATAGATGGGTCCTCAATGCCGTAGGCGTCCATAATCCTGAATTTTTGTACTGCGTAATACTCTTCAGTAGAAAGGTCTGACCTTGTCTCCAGTCGTAGTAATTCTTTGTAATCAATTACCTTGGCCTCCGATATCCCTGTATACTTGGCTTGAAGTAGGGCGGCTGTCCTCTGTTTCAGAGATTCAGAAACCTTAAGGTCCTTGGGCTGATTAGATAGCCCAACAACTCTGCAGCCAGCCTGAACCATTTGAGCAATGAAACGCTGAAGAAAATCATTCATTGATAGATGCTTCTTTATCAGTGCATTGATGAATATTGTGTAGTAAATATCGCCAACATCATGCTTCACTCCAGGACCTTGCCCTACCCTCAGATCAAACGGAAAGCCATTCGTATCCATAGCGCATCCCTTGATTTGAACCTCTTGGCTGCAAAGATACCTGACTATTTCGTTGTGTGTTGTTGGAAGATTGTTTATTGAATTGCTGATATAGACAAGGTATTCTTTTTGCTGGACGTGCCGTACTCTTCTGAGCATTTGCCTACATGTCTCTACATTGACTTTACTTTGTGACATGAAAAATCCTGCAACATAATCAAAGTGTTGCATGTTACAATCAAGCCCAACTGTGATGGTTGGAGTATGAATAAAATAGTCGAGAGTTGGTGCGATTTCATTAATATTCTGTGCAAATGCTCTCTTCTCCAACTCCAGGGAATTCGCAGTGATGCACATCCCAATGAACCCCATATCCTTCAATTCACTATGTAAACTTTCAGCATCTTCAGCCTTCTGTGTGCTACATATCCACACTTTCTTTCCAGACTTGACTAAGTTAATAACCTTTAACTTCAGAGAAGCCTCATTCTCATAAAGAGAGACGAGATCTCCTTGCTGTGGCTTGAATGTATTATGGATAACGTGGACATCATCTCGAAGCTCCTTGATACCTGAACGTCTCGGTCTGTTAGATCAGCATCCAGGCAATCACCTTCCTGGATACCTTAATGAAGTCTCGTAATATATCATTATTGGCCTTGTGGAAGCCCCTCATGGTGGCGACACTTGTCATCTGATCAAAGATAGATGACACTTCATCCAGAACCAGAACAACATCCATGGTGTAGTATGCAAGATCCAGTTTATGTAAAGATTCGGCTTGTATGACAATCTTCTGACCTTTGATATAAGTGGAGGGAAAATCCAAATAGCTTTTAAACCCGAGTCTCTTCTCTAGACTGGAGGCTAGTGTCTGTCTTGGAGATATTGCAAGATACGTCAACTTTGGGTTCATTTGAATAAACTGCTCCAAGAATGTCGTTTTTCCAGTGCCAGTCTCGCTCCTTATCAAGAGACTCATCGGTGATTTGTGGTATTTGATGTAGGGTGACGCATACACTTCGCCTGGATGCAAGTGCTGATCTGTGTCCAACGTAGCAAGATGTTGTCTCAGGACAATCTTTTCGCCGAAATCCAATTCCCCGACGAGGATATTGCGGGATAAACCCTCGGCAATAGCTCTGTAGCAATACAGCGTCACTCTTCCATTTCGACTCACTTGAAGATAGCCATTCTCGTTGTCATGTCTTCTCTTGCATACATCGCATTGACCAGATTGAACTCGTTGCAGCTTATAGATCCCACCTTGGCCATCATACTGTATTCTGTATAGGTTTGCATGCTTGTATTGTGCAAATATTCTATGTACAGCATCAGAGACGACAGATACGGACAACTGGTGTGGTAATGTCATATCTCTAGATGCATCTCCAAGTGCTGCTGAAATTGACGGTATCTGGTTACGCTGGCGCCTTGAGAACCTGTCGGCAGCTGGAGATTTTTCCACTTTGATACTATTGGGCTGAACATTGGTGATGAAAAATTCTGCATCCAATGCATGCATAGATGGCTGATGCCATGGGGTACGGATGAAACGTCTGGTTATGTCTCTACGTTTCGAGCTTCCGAGACATCGGATGCTTCTGCTTCTTGAGTATACACCTGAATCAATGTACTTGAGCAGATTACCTTCATTCTGATCCTGGTCAGCTTTGATATCCTTGAAAAAATCAAGCAGGAATGTCCGAAGGTGTCTGTGATTGTTCTCGAATGTGTACGTTGGTATCATGACATGCAATGATATCTTTTTATGAGTGGATGAAGTCAAGATTCGGCATTGATTCTCGGTGATGGGATATTTCGGTGCATATTGGTTGCGAGCAGCAAGAAACTCACCAAACACTCGTCTTTCAAGTTGCGCAATAGCATCGATGCCCTCGCTAGGGACGAGTGGACTAGCGCCGTCTTCGAGTGAAGGAGGATCGGTGTTTCCCTTGGAGGTCGTAGTAAGTTTCCAGTCAATGTCGTAGTACTCACAACAGGGATTTCCTTCTCGGATTTGCTCGAAAAAGCATCTGTAAGGGTTCGGGAGTTTGTTATATATATCCAAAAATGTAGGTAGATCCTTGTAGCTTGCAAACTCATAAGACGACTTCTTGCCATCCGGAGAAAGGCCACTTTCGTACATCACAAAGAAAGTATTACTGTTCGCATCAGCCCATTCGTGAGCCCTTGCTTGTGGACCCAAGGTTTGCTTCTTGTCAGCAGCAAAGTAAACTGATTCAAATTTTTTGTAAGTCCGGTTTGTATTTTCAGACATAGTAGGTAATATGTTGATAGTTTATAGTATATGAGTAGCAATTTCATTTTATTTTGTTATCGAGTGAACAATAGACTATCATGGGAATGATTCTTATTTTTCCTGAGTATGAGTGTTAAAGACCTTTTGAACATAAACGATCATCTCCTCCTCAGTCTTGCTATCCTTGAGAACGAAGTTGCGGCGGCTGAAGTCGATTGGTGCAACGTCATCTTTCATCTGTAGGTAAACGTTTTCGCCTCTTGGAGAACGATCAGATCGCAACTCTGCAATCTCAACGGGGTCGAGGTCAGGATTGTCAGCAATGAACTGGTCCAAGGTACGATCGACAGCCTTGCGCTGCAGCGCAAAGAGACGATAGCCTCCAATAGGCAATGGCTGAGGCTGCTGGAACTTCAAAATAGCAAAGACCTCCTGCTTTCCATAAGGGCGACTCAACACTCGGTCACGGTTGGCCTCCAGGCGTGCACGCTCGCTATTGGCAAGAGCATCCTTAGTGTTCTTCAGCTCAAGTTGAGTTTCAGAAAGACAGGATAGGGTGCCCTCAAGTTGTGCCTGTGATATTTCAAGATCGTCCTTTGCATCTGCGAGTTCAAGCGAAATAGCAGCAAGCCGCTTGCGCAGTATCTCGATGGTAGTGGGTTCTTCGCGCACTGTTTATGAATTGGAGAGTATTAGTTTAAGAGCAAGCTTCATTGGTGCGCGCAGAAAGCATGTACGTACTGGTTGTCTTGGTTTATAGCGACCTGGTGGAGGAATTCAGGGAGCGAAGGGAAAGGGATGGAGGAAGGAAAGGAATAAAATGGATGTTTCTCATGGCGATGAAAGTGTTTTAACATTTTGTGATGTGATAAGGAAAAGAGATGAGATGGCATGATTTCATTGGATGGAAAATAAATCGCATGACCCTTTGACCTTATGCTCTTTATTTAAAAAAAAGCCACACCGCCCCATCTGCAGGACTTTATCAGATGTGGTGACACGGCGGCGCAGATGGGGTCTGTGCACGGACCATGGGGGCGACTTTTCAAATTCTTTTATAGAGATGAAATCCAAAGTCGCCCCCGGCTAAACATTCTACCGCGGCATGGCTCTGGTGGTCGCTCACCAGAACGACAATATAAAGAAAAAATATTCCTCAGTCCTGGCTTAAAAGGAACAATTGTCACTCCTTTCCTTCGTCACGCAAACAACTTTTTTTTTCCTCCCTCAACTTCATCTTCACAGCCTACATTGTCACAATTTTGAAGCATCCTGCTACTGAATTAACATCCTTTAACATTTTTATCAAACTTTTCCTATTTTCTGCCTTCTGTCCATTTCATCCTTGTTTTTAAAAAGGTTTGAAATCACAATGAGAAAGACCGGAACATCATCTCGAAACGTATCACCTCGATCTAATCTGTATGAAGAGGGTTCAAGCACCAGTGGGCCTAAAATCCCTGAGCGAACTGAACTAAAGATTTTTTGCATTGTTGAGGGAGAAGCAACGCCTTTTCCTGTAAAGATTCCTTCCAATTGTTCGGTCGGCGAACTCCAGCAAGCCATCAAGGCACGGAAATCCAATGCATTTAAGGATATCGACGCTGACCAGCTCACTCTCAAGCTCATCCCCGGCGGCACAACGAAGAAAGGATTGGAAACATTATCCGAAGAATCGCTTGTAGCGCTCGATGAACTTGAAGAACTCAGCACTTATTTTCCAAACGGTGCAGCAAAAGGTCATATTCACATCATTGTCAAGCTGCCGCCGCAAGGTATGTATTTAGCTCTTGATGGACTGATATTTTCAAATTGATGAAGCTTATTTTCTTTCATGACGTCATTGATTTGACTTCTGAAAGATAACCCTTTATGTTTGGGATGTATCTTAATTAATCAACTAGTTCCTGCTCCATTACCTGTTGTTCAACCTAGATACCCAACACCCCGAGATTGCAGCTTTGCGTAAACAGCTGTCGGACCTCGAGGCATTGACGAAGAATACCTCCATATGTAAGTGTGGATAGATGTGGATAGAATGAATTAGCAATTTTTTTTATCGTTACAGCTTGGAAAGACGGAATTATAACCACTTTTTATGTCTTTTTTATTTTTATTTTTATTTTTTGCATTCTATTGCGTTGCAGCATTGAGAATCATCGACAAAAGAGGAGGAAAGAAGATTGTTTGCACCTTCGTGACGGATACCAAGACGGCAACTCTCGCTGAATTTCATCTTTTCCTTGAGAAGTACTTTGACCAGTTTGCTGAGGACAAGGACCTCAAGATATTCTTGCATCTGCCGGGTAGCTCAATACCGACAATGCTCATTAGCGATCCCCAACTTCGGTCTATTTTGGCGATTGCAAAGGAGAGTAGCTGGAAAAACCTTGTCATATCCCTGGACAATCCTGGAAAGAGTTTTTCGAAATTCACTTGGAAAGAAGTGATGGAAGAATACAACGTCGGTAAAGGCCCTGAGTTTCTCCCACTGTTTGATATTGAACCAAGGGCGATGACTGACGATGAGAAGCTGATGTTGGAGGAAATAATCAAAGAATGCAGCCGGAAAAACGAGGCCTACATTTTTGGTCCTAGCTCTAGCGAGTTCACAAGGAACTCGATCGTCGACTCTTTCATGGTTGGAGCCATGCAGTTCTACAAAGCGGATATGTATCTTGAGCAACAAGAACTGATAACCGGCCTACGGGGACATGGACCGGTGGATTTTGCTGTGTTGGATCGTATCCACCAGTCGCAAGTTCTTGGAGTCACGGAGGTGAAAAAGGACGATCATGTGAAAGGTATGGCTCAAAATATAGTACAGCTCGACGTCGCACTTCAACAAAAAAAACGAAAGCGGACTGAGGCGGATGACGATGGACAAGAGAGGCCCGCCACACGCATCAAGTCATTCGGCATTGTAACCGACGCATTCAAATGGACTTTCGTAGAGTGCACGATGGAGGAAGACGACTCATTGATGTACAAAGCCAAGGAGGTTTTGAGAGATCTAAGACTCAAGGAGGAGGAGACGCTAAGAGAGGATGCAGAAACTCTCTTTTGTTATGTTCTTTCTCTGTACGATCGCATGAAAGATGAGATTGTAAATAGATTCAGCTATAATAGCCCTGTAGTCTCACGTTCATCTTCAGCATCAGCTTCAGCATCAGCTTCAGCGAACAAGAGGCGTGCCTCAGGAACTCAATCGTAGTACTCGATCATTATGAAAAATACACCAACGTATTTTGCTCAAATAAAACAGTTCTTCATGATAAAACCCACATAATCACATTGTTTGAATTAAGCTCTTCATAGTCTGGAGGGACATTACAAGTTCTGTTTTCGAGTCATTTATTATGGATAAAGACTGTTTAAAAATACCTATCAATATTTCCGATCATAGAGCGCTTGATAGCCTTGATAGTTTCGGGAAGAGTCGCATCGTTGTTGTCTCTCGTCGTATTGATGAGGCTCGGCGCATTGGACACATCATTGGAACAATGTTTAAAAAAATAAAAATAAAAAATGCTTTATGAAGCCAAATAGGCTTTATTACGTTATATTTACACTTCAGGGACGACTTTGAATTTCTTATAAAAAGAATTTGAAAAGTTGCCCCCATGGCCCGTGCGTATGCTCTGACCTTCACTGTCCTCTCGTGAGGCTTTTTGCTAAGTTTATTTCGGTTCCCCTATCGCATACAGGTACTTTTATCAAGGCCTATCTAACTATCCTCTTGTTGTTTTTTGCGTGGATTTTAAACAGCCCCAAGAAGTCCAAAAAGGAACCTAGAAGACACAGAAGACGAAAAAGGTGAGTTCATCCCACTCATAGTTTTGATGATTCTTGAGGAAGTTTGTTTATTTCATACTCACGTCAGTCTCGCTATTCTTATATGCTCAAAGAGCACCTTGCAAAGCGCTGTCGTTCCTGGAAGCGACATATTGCAGCCGATGGCGAACCCGTAGATTTACCCCTCCATATACTGGATTTGATCGAGAATAACAAGTACGCACCAGAACCCCGCACCAAGTTCCAATTGCTTTTGACGGTGAAGGGTGGAGATCGAATTACTTCAATGGATCTTGGTCAGAGCCCAAAATTCTTTGCGAAAGGCTACCAAGGTCGCGAGTTTTTTGTGACCGAACAGATGATGAAGCTATGGAATGAGCTCGAGAACAGTGAGTGGTCTGTCCAGAAGTGTTTATCGGGTCCAACGGGCGTCGGTAAATCATACATTTCATGGTTCCTTGTGGCCAAGGCATACGCACATGGTTGGCCAGTGCTTTATATTGCCGATGCTAGTAAGCTTAGCAATTGTGACACTAAAACTGCCGCATCAAAGCTGATCTGTCAAATCTTCTTATCCATCAACAAAGATATTTTGACAGCCTCAGAGCTCAAAGAAATGGTCGCAATTGAAACATCGAAGGATCCTTATGTGAATAGCGCCACCTGTATCTTTGCTGAACTACTCCAGTCAAGAAGTCAAAAGGCATTATTTGTCGTGGATGAGCATGGTGCACTATTTCCAGAAAGTAGTAAGTCTGCGCCCGAAAGGTTCCCATTTTTAGGGCCTCTACAGACTTTCAACTCCTGGAACAACTCAAATAATGCGAGAGTAGTGTTTAGCAGTACGGTAAGATTTGCAAAGCTCATTCTCAGAGACGCACCACACTATGTCGAGTATGTTGGTCCACTGTCGCCTGATATTTTCAATAAGCTACTGGATGTGATCATAAATAAGGTCCACCCAACAGCCCGCCAACAATTGAATGAGCTACGAGGCGAGATTCAAAAAGCCACCGGATGTGTGCCACGGGAATTCAATATTTTTTTTTTGGCGAAGACATTGAAGGCATTGAGCTCGCGGCTAATGGGATTAAGCAACGACTAAAGGATTATGAGGAGGATCGCAAAGAACAATTCTTGGAGACTTTGAAGAACTGTTATAGTAAAATTGAACCGATATTCCAACCAATTACTCGTCAAGCTCTAGGAAATAAAATCGGCAAAGGCACTGTTAAGGATCTTCTTCGCTCTCAACAGGGATATCTTGACGGCATCTGATCTGGAAAGTCTCCTCGACGCTTCTGAAGTTATAGATTGCTCAATTGCGGCTGGTCGCGCATTATTCGACCTATTCAAACAGAAGGAACGCAAAACACTATTCATTATCGACGAACATGGAAAGTTATTCCAAAAAGAGCCGTACGTGCCAGATAAATACCTGTTCTTGAACCATCTAAAGGATCTCACTCGATGGGAAGCTGAATCCAAAGGATCTAGAGCGATATTTACAGGAACAGCCCATGCCAAATATGAATTGGAGATTATGCCAGGCAGTCTTCGAAATACCTTATTGTACTTTGTTGGCCCACTATCCGAGACAGTGTTTTCAAAATGGTTGGAGGTCCACCTGAACCAACCCGATATTGTCCAGGATATAATGAGGATTACAAACCGTGTGCCACGAGAGTTTATGTTCCTCATCCGGTCAATTGAGGAAAGACCACTCACAAGAAATAGCATTGATTCGTATGTAACTGAGAGAACAGGCGAGTTTCACACTGTAGTTTGGACGTACTACAGATCTTGCAGCGATGAATCGAAGAAGAAGTTCGCTAAAAGCCTTGCAACAGTCTTCCTTGGCAACAACTCGCAGAGTAGTGATTTTGAATGGGATTTCCGTGACCTAGGGCTTATCTATCGTCTCAACAAGAACCGCGGAGCCATAAACTATGTCTTGTGCCTCCCAGCGCAGAAAGCACTCTTTCAGGCGTTTACAAATATGCCTCATCATGAGCATATCCTGAGGGGAGTTATTCTTGGAGAGATGAGTGGAGATGATTTCGAGTTGGCACTGCTAGTCCGGCTTTTGACTTTAACCGACGAGCTCAAAGAGAAACTTTTTAAAAATATCCCAACTTAGAATTTTCGTCACAGTATACAGTAATACATATATAGTTCTTAATCCTATAAAAAGGCTTGTCATAGAAATTTAATAACACGCTAAAATATTAACTGGGGCGACTTTGGATTTCATCTCTATAAAAGAATTTGAAAAGTCGCCCCCATGGTCCGTGCGCGTCACAGAGAGGTCACTCGCTTGTTAAGGCGACTGTTCGATGCTTGTTGGTTTTCCAAATCTGCTTTGATTGCACCATAATTTAGCGGAACTGATTAGCATCCCCTGAATAGCTGCCATCCAAAGGGACTAACTTCGAATGGACAGGATTTACTGTGTTGTTCAAAACAATAAAACTTGACTGAAAGTCTGCTAATCCTCAAACTATGAGGCAAATAATGCCTCTGAACGCTTCAATAGGATTATGGCGAGCTTTTGGGGTGCAGAAAAGACAAGATTGTTACTTTTGAGCAATGAAGGATATAGGATTTGTTCCTTGGAGGCACACCTTTCTGAAACCACGCTTGTTGCTAGTAAAAACACAAATGGTCCCCGTTTTCCGCATAATTTCAGCGCTTCCACAATCCAAGGGCTGTGATATAGCCATTAATTGCTACATGTTTGTCGAAGTATTGACACATCCCTTGCAAAAGTTCAGATGTATGCTAAGAATATTGTTTAAGGGACGTAGAGTAGTCAATAGCATGTGGCAGTATTCAGGTGTTTATACAGTATCAGATGGAGTCCGAACAGTCGCCAAAGTCTGTAAAATATAAAAAATATAAAAGCATAAAGAGGATAGGAAATGCGTCCTACCCATTGACGCACTGGAGCCCATTTTCATGTCGACATGTTATTTTCGATACGCAGTCTGCAACGATTATTATTATTATTATTATAACTATAATTATTAATATTATTATTACTACTATTACCATCATCATCAATAATGCTTTTATCACCATCACAAAGTGCATGCGCCCCTACAGATCCATTTCTTACAGGTTCTCATCTTGCTCAATAGCTTTGTTATCGAAGTATATATATCCTTCTCGTCCTCATTTAGCTCTTTATCCAGTATCAAGTCCATGCAACCCTTCAGACATCTGATGCTCGGCCAATTGTTCAAAATCCACGTCGCTTCCCCGAGCTCGATTTGCTGGTGATGGTCATCTCTGAATGCTAACGTATGCAGACTCTTCAGATTAGCTAGTTCATCCAGGCCTGCCCTTAGTCTTAGGTCCAGCGTCCGTCTTTCCCCGCCTTCTAGGGGCCATACTGTCAGGTCAAGACAACGTAGCTGAGTCAATTTACCTAGTTGTTTAAACGCAATACGTGCCTTCGCCATCCCTTCTGCTGTCTCTTGATCAACATCTGCCACAAGATTAATTTCCAGATGAGTCAGCCCAGTGCTAACCCATTGTACCCCATTCACAATCTCTGCTATCGTAATTCTAGACCCTGCCAAGCGCTTCAGCCGTGGGCAATTTGTTAAAATAGCTTGAGCAATACCATCACTCCTTATGTTTGGTATATTGATCCCCAATACCTCAATAGTATCGCAGAGCCTCTGATCCCTTCTTTTTCGTACTATTTGCCCATCCTCCAGTACCTCTTGTTCCTCCGCTAGTAATTCTCGCATAGAGAGTGGACCGAACGCACAAAACTGGACATCTAACCGTTTTAACCCAGTGACCCGTCTGAGAAGTATCGCCATATCCTCATCTGTTACGATCATGGAAAAGAAAGACAGCTCCGTCAAATTATTCAGAGTCCAAGGGTGCTGAAGGAACGCTCCCCTGTAGAAATGCTCATGGGCTGATTGCTCAAATTCGCTTTTTAGGTCGTATCCACCATACTCAAGTGCACATAATCCCGGACATTTCCTCACCAACATGCCGACGCAATACGATGATGTGTACGGATCCGGAGGACTGATTATATCGACATCCTCAATACGCAGCGTGTGTATACTTGGGAGAACATATTCGCTGCCCTCACTACTTAGGAAGTTGATAGGAAGCTGCTTTATCGATACACGAGCCAGGTTCAAATGCTTAACTTTTTTGCAGACTTGAAAAAATATATCGACTCCATCCCCATTTATATATGTGAAAGAAAGCCCCAAATGATTGAGATGGACGCATTCTAGCAGCGTCTTCCAGGGCCAATATGAAGATAGAACATTTTCCAGGCAAACCCTGGTGATGGTGGAGCTGTGGGCCCAAATCATACTCAAAAAGCAAATTGGTTCGTCCCACGAATAATTCCCTTCATAGTTGATGGTTTGGAGACGATCGCAACCTTGCAACGCTCCATACTCCTCTGGGATGTTGTTTGCCTCAAAGTTAATCTCCTCAATGTACTGCTTGTGGTTCTGCAGTGTTTTGCCACTAGGATATCTGAATGGGACGATAGTGATTTTTCTCCATATGATCCTGATAAAAGCCCTATAAAAATTTTTGGAAACGCGGATACAGTTTAGAAGGTCATCTTGATCGAGGAAGCCGCCAATGAGTAAGAGGATTTCTGGAATATCCAATGGGCGCAATTTAGTACTGTTCATGTTGCGAATAGATGATGCTGATGAAGAAGGATTTCGACGGCCATTTGTCCTGGTTTTCTTAGCGAGAGCTGCCAGACGTGCTGATTTTCTGATTGGTTTAGCTCCTTTTGGCATTATTTTACAAAGTCGGAGTTGAGAGTGTAGGAGTCAAAAAGATGTCTTTAAGCACTGCGATGCAAATGGAGTGTCAATAACCGATGGTATGTGGTTGAGGATGTCTATAGACAAGCAGACAAGCGCGTCTTTTTTCCCTACAGTACGTTCTAAATCTTTTATTTCCAGAGAAAATATTTCGTATCGTTACTTCCATGCAACATTCCTCAACATGATTATAATTCTCAAAGCAAGCGTCAAGAAAAGTCGCTCCATCAACGTACACCATACTCCGATAAGGACAACATTGGCTGGCCCTGCCTTGGTTCTCAATACTTGAAACTGTTTTGGTCAAACGATACCAGGATGACCAATAGGGTCGTATAATGCACGATCGTTCACTGACAGCCTAAAAGGCCGGGGCCATTCTCGACATTTTATCGTTGCATACGCCGAGCTTGATAAAAATAAGAGGGCCATCCCTCTACGGTATGTTTGACTGGAAAAAAAAGAAGAAAAAAAAAGAGTAAAACCTCGAGTATGGTCTCCACCTGTCAATGGGTGTCCATACATTGCAAATAAACTACATGCAGGCCTAGATGATCGGTTTGATTTAAATGCACAGTTTTACTGAGTTAGAGTTTTTTCTAGTACATCATCAGACACTGATCGTTTCAGTCGAGACAGGTGGATGCAAGAACTTTGCGTTGCCCACAGAATATTTGCAAAAACACAATTACGTACATGTACATGTACGAAACTTATTTTTCTCAAAATTCTTGATGTCCAAAAAGAAAACTATTCTATTCAATATAAAAACGTGACAAATATATCTGTTTATGATTTTTTGGCGAGGACTCTACATTTACTACCCTCTCTCACAATATATACGAGAGATATAGTTATATAAGCAAATGAGCAGGTGTCTTGGGTTTAATGCTCCAGGACTGGCGCCAGTTTAGAGTTGGTTTCATTCCGTTGTCTTATAATGAAATTTATCATATGATGTGATAAAATCCTAGAACAGATTTGTTCCAAATTTCATTTGATCAATTTTTCTTCCTTTCGTATTTTTTTTTTTTGCCATGCCTGCTGCCAATGATTATTTAAAATCAACCAAGAAGCCCAAAGTCTTGATTGTGGGTGCTGGTATCGGTGGATTGACCCTTGGGGCCTTGTTAGAGAAGGCTGGAGTGCCATATGAGATCTATGACAGGATGGTTGGGATTAGACCTCTTGGTAAGAAAAAATAAAATAAAAAAAATGAAAAACATTGTCTGACTACTTTGTTTCTTACTTTTTGCTTAGGAGCGGCGCTTGGGCTGGGCAACACAGTAGCCCCCTTATTCAAACAGATGGGCATCTGGGATGAATTTCTATCACTTGGCAAACCACTGCATTCGATTGACAATTACAATGAGCAACGACAGCTAGAGTTCTCCATGGATTTCAATCCTATGAAGGAATTGTAAAAAAAAAAAAAAAAAAAAATTACATGTCTATCTTCATTTATTATTGTCAGTGGAGACCCTGTTTAATTATTTTCTCATTTTTTTTCTTTATACTTCTTTTTCCTAGGGGAGGGACTCTTGATTATGTATGTTCAAGAGCCGCGGCTCACAGTCTAATTCAACGTCAGATCCCTGCAGAAAAGATCCATTTAAACAAGCGTGTCGTGTCCATAAAACAAACCGAGCCGCCGAGTGACAGTGGTGGTAGTGGTGGTGGTGGTGTTGGTGTACAGATCCAGTTTGCAGACAACACAACTGCTGAAGGAGACATCCTTGTGGGAGCCGATGGAGCATATAGCAATGTCCGGTTGAATATGTATGAACAGTTGCAGAAACAGAACAAGCTACCGGCGTCAGATAGTGCAGGTTTGCCTTACAAGTGTATCTGTCTCGTAGGGAAGACTCATCCCTTGGATCCGACTCAGTTCCCGGAATTAAATGATCCAGCATGTCGTTTCTCCTCTATGATAGCACCAAATAAGCTCTATTCGGTACGATTTGTACGCAAGACGCAAATACAGATACAGTCATACGTCCATCGACTGAATACTAAAGACTTTTGCTCGTTGTTTATATTTATATTTCTGTAATCTAGTGGACGACTTATACTATCCCGGATAATATGTATTGCTGGATAGTAATCCAATATCTGGACGGGATCTCATCCTTGGACCAGAGTAGCTTTCGAAACGCAGAATGGGGACCAGAAGCGGCCGAAGCTATGTGCAAGGATGTACGCGACTTCGCCATCCCTGGAGGACTGAATAATTCCTTGACCATGGGGGATTTGATTGACCATTCGCCCTCGATCTCCAAAGTCTTGTTAGAAGAGAAAGTCTTTGATACTTGGTATTCTGGGCGAACTGTGCTATTAGGCGATGGTAAGAGAAAAAACCACCGAAAGGATTAAAGTACACTTTGTCACTTCTCGTTCATTGGCAACTCACTATATTTCCCCTGTATCCTTTTCCTTGCCCACAAATGTATACTTTACAAGCCGTTCACAAGGTAAATAGTTTACTGATGAGCATGCTCTCATGAGTCCATAGCCTCCTTCTCCCCCTTCTCATTTTGTGTTCTTCGCATTTGATATGTGCTCCTTATTAATCACGACTATTATTTTCCTATCCAGGTCCATCCTGCGGGCGGTACAGGAGCATGGAATGCTATACATGATGCAGTCGTGTTGGCCAACTGGCTAAATCTTTTATCTTCTTCTGCATCTGTAAGTGAGATCGAAGCGGTCTTTGAAGAGTATAAGAGAGAGCGTTATCCTGTTGCCAAAATATCCTATGACAATGGCCGAATCTTTTCACAGGTGGTTGAGCAGGTAAAAAAAACAAAAAAAAAAAAAAAAAAAAAAAAAAAATAAGAAAGAAAATTAATATTCCTTTTGGCCTTTCATTCTCCATGGGTCTATTTACTTGCAAATGGATATTAATGATTGAATTCTCTGAATTACTTTTTTTTTTTTTTTTTTTTTTTTTTTTTTAAATCTCTTATTGCCTTTCCTATTCAACTAGACTCTGAAGGCCAAAGTCACACGCTTCGTCATGCGAAATGTACCCAACTGGCTTTGGCGGATCATACTGACACGGAAGATCGACGCACGTCCGCAGCTATCCTTCTTGGAGTTAATTCCAGATAACGGTAGTGTGCCTCCTCGACATCAACCTAGTCTCGAAAAGACTTTATCTATCCTTCGCGCTCAGAAAGCATAAAAACAATATACAGACGTGCATAATTAAATATATAGGATACATTCATATATACAAAAGCAACGACAGCGCCAACAAGCCTTCCTTGCATGCTCAACTGGACAAAAGAGAAGGCTCCGCCGGCTAAGTTCAGGCCCTTCCGTTGATAATATTGTGTATTAACGTTTTGCCTGCTACTAAAAACAAGCAATGTAGAATGGTTGTGCCAAATCCAGATTTGATTGAGTAGGCGGTGCCTGCTTTTATGAAGCACCCTTTCAGCTTTTATTCTAGTGCATATCTCTATATCATTCTCATTTTTGGGGTAGTATGAGGCATGTCATATATGCAAATGTGTAGGCTTCTGTGATGTGTTTTGGACGATTACCAGCGACGGAGGAAATGCAAAGCGCACTTGCCTCGCTTGGCTTGGCTGAAATACCGATCTACATGCTTCGTTGGTTATGATCATCAACCTTGGCAGATACATTACCAAGCAGACTCAGCAAAACTCATGTACTCTATTTAAATCGATCATTCTGGTAAGATAGCAACAGGCATTAAACATCAGGGCAGCACCAAATAATGTTGTCTTAATTAGAGTATGACAGACGACTTTTCTACTAAAAGTTGAGGTCCCCAAGCTTGAGTTGATCTTTTTGGAGAATGCTGCATGGAGATTGCGATCTTCTTCATGGAAACATTCTCTCTGAGAAATAAGATTGCGTCGATTGGCCCCCCGCGCACTGATATACTGATAAAGGCGTGGTCGAAACAGAAGCGCGCCCTTACTCACAGGTCTATCTTAGTTTTCAACCACTAAATTTAATTTTTCTTATTGCTCTTCAGTGCTTCACCACTAGGGAAGCCGAATGGCCTGATAATGCTGTTTCCCCATATGATGGTAGGAGCTCTATGAATGCTTTTGGAACATGGATACGGTTCAGAAGGCCATCTTGATCGAGGAAGTCGCTGATGAGCAAGAGAATCTCTGGAATATCAAAGAAGTGAAACTTGGTGCTGTCCACATTACATACAGGTTACGCTAATGAAGATGGGTTTGGATGGCCATTTGTTCTAGTTTTCCCAGTGAGAGCTGCCAGGCGTGTTGGTTTCCCGGTTGGTTTAGCTTCTTTCGACATTATCAAACAAGGTGGGATTGAGAATGGAGTCAATAAGGTGTCTTTATGTGCTTAGCCCAGATAGAGCCAGCTGTCGATGAGAACAAGGACATGGACATGGACATGGACATGGAGCATGTCTGTGGTTAAAAATAATAATAATAATAATAATAAAATAAAAAAGCTGTGGACAGTTTTATTTCCTTCGATTTGTTATCTCCATAAAAGGAACACTAACAACAATACTCAAGCTAGAAAACCTCAACTTTTAGGAAGGAAGTCGTTCTATCAATGTTTACCATCCTTAAATGAAGACAACCTTGACTGACGTTTCCCTGATGCTTATTACTTATAGTTGTCCGGTAGAACGACACCAGAATAACCCATTTGAATGGTGTACGCAGGTTTTACTAAGTAGGTTTGGTACCATGTCTAGGTTGCTGACCGTAACCTTTAAGTATAATTAGCCTTGCAGACCGCTATGATATTTCAGTCAAGGCAAATGAGACAAGCACTTCGCGTTCCCCATATCACTGGCAGCCGTCCATGAGGCAGGTTGGTCTCCATCACAAGCCCATACACCCGCATTCATACTCAATACTGCTCCAAAAGAAACATTTCCTCTTAATAAATGAAAGTGATACCGAGACGTGCACTTGGCTGAAATCTGAAAGAATGTTTAAACTGCAAAATAAAGACATCAGTCCCAAAAAACAGCCTCCATGGCACACTTCCAGAGACCTTGCCAATAGCATAATAGTATTTGAGTTTCAGGACCAGATCGAGTTATCGAGATCTACACCTGGTTTCATTCCAACGTCATGAAACGACACTCACCAAATGGTATGGTATGCATCGTAAAACCCTAGAATATATTTATTCCAAATCTCATTATAAAGAGATTAGCTTTTTTTCTTCCCAATATTTATTTCTGTCCTGATTATTTTACACCTAATCCGTACCTTTCTTTTTACCATGACTGCTGCCAATTGTTCTTTAGAATCAACCAAGAAGCCCAAAGTCTTGATTGTGGGTGCTGGTATCGGTGGATTGACCCTTGGGGCCTTGTTAGAGAAGGCTGGAGTGCCATATGAGATCTATGACAGGATGGTTGGGATGAAACCTCTTGGTATAAAAAAAAAAAAAAAAGAAAGGTTTAATAATGAGAACTGGTCTGACTATTTTTTGCTTTTATTTATATTCATAGTTTTTTCTATTTTCATTTTTTGTATTCTGGTTAGGGGCAATGCTTGCGGTGGGCGCTACAGTGGCCCCATTATTCAAACAGATGGGTATCTGGGATGAATTTCTATCGCTTAGCAAACCACTGCATTCGATCGAGACTTTCAATGAACAGCGACAACTAGAGTTCTCGATGGATTTAAAGCTTATGGAGGAGTTGTAAGGAAAAAAAAAAAAAAAAAAAAAAAAAAGACATGCCTACTTTCATACGCTATTAAAGAAAGTAGAGAGAAATGCACCTTGCTTAGTGCTTCCTTTTTTTTTGTTTCTTTTCTTTTTTGTTCTTCCCTAGAGGAGGAGCCTGCGATAATCTGTGTTCAAGAGCTCAAATCCACAATCTGATCCACCGTCAGATCCCTGCAGAAAAGATCCATTTAAACAAGCGTGTCGTGTCCATAAAACAAACCGAGCCGCCGAGTGACAGTGGTGGTAGTGGTGGTGGTGGTGTTGGTGTACAGATCCAGTTTGCAGACAACACAACTGCTGAAGGAGACATCCTTGTGGGAGCCGATGGAGCATATAGCAATGTCCGGTTGAATATGTATGAACAGTTGCAGAAACAGAACAAGCTACCGGCGTCAGATAGTGCAGGTTTGCCTTACAACTTTATTTGTCTCGCGGGGCTGACTCATTCCTTGGATCCAACTCAGTTCCCAGAGCTTGACGACCCATACTCTCACTGCTATTCTGTGATGGCAGCGAACAAACCCTATTCGGTATGATCTGTATACAGATGCAGATGCAGATGCGGATGCTCATGGCCACGCACTAAACCTTTGCCCGTTTTTTTAATTATTTATTTTGTAATCTAGTGGTTGACTTGGACCATTAAGGGCAATGTTTATTGCTGGGCAGTACTCCATCATAAGGATGGGGTCTCAGCCTTGGATCGTAGCAGTTTCCAAAATGCGGAATGGGGACCAGAAGCAATCGAAGCTATGTGCAAGGATGTACGCGACTTTCCCATCCCTGGAGGACTGAATAATTCCTTGACCATGGGGGATTTGATTGACCATTCACCCTCGATCTCCAAAGTCTTGTTAGAAGAGAAAGTCTTTGATACTTGGTATTCTGGGCGAACTGTGCTATTAGGCGATGGTAAGAGAAAAAACCACTGAAAGGATAAAAGTATTCTATTGTTTTTCAGTCAATGGTGACTAATTGAATTCTTTTCCATTGCATTGAAATACTTGCTGAATAGCTGCGCATAAGGTAAATGGCTTACCGATGGATATATCTTCGTAACCCTCCTCCTTTTCTCCTTCTTATTAAGTGCCCCTCGCCTTAAAGATATACCTCTTATTAATACTGATTATTACTTCCCATTCAGTTTCACCCTGTTGGGGGCGCAGGAGCATGGAATGCTATACATGATGCAGCCGCATTGGCCAACTGGCTAAATGTTTTATCTTCTTCCGCATCTGTGACCGAGATTGAAGGGGTCTTTGAAGAGTACAAAAAAGAGCGTTACCCTGTTGCCAAAATATCCTATGAAAATAGTTGGATCTTAGCGCAGCTCCTTCAGCAGGTAAAAAAAAACAAAAAACATCCTTTTAGTCCCTCAATACCCATGAGCCTGTTTACTTATCAATGGATGATAAGGATGAAAATTATATATTTCTTTTGATCATTTATCATCTCTTTTAATTATTTTTTTCTCTTTATATCTTTCTATTTGGTCCTTCGGTTAGGATCTGAGAGGTAAAGCTCTACGTTTCTTCATGAAAAATATTCCCAAATGGCTTTGGCGGATCATATTGATACGGGCGCTCGATTCACGTCCGCAACTATCCTTCTTAGAGCCCGTTAAAGATAGTGGCAATGTAGCCCCTCGATATCAACCTAGTCTTGAAAAAACATTATCTATTCTTCGTGCACAGAAAGTATAAAAAACATACAGCTACATATAAGTGAATAAAGATATACTTTAATATAAAAGGACAATGACGACGACAGCATACATTCCTTGCATGTTAGCTGGGCAAAAAAGTTGGCATCATCAACTGAGTGTAAAGTCTCTAAGTATGAAATGGTCGATGAGAAACAATCAATCCTTTAACTTCCACACATGCTAGGTTTAAATAGTGTGCGACTAGCTAGGAAGCCATGTGGCGTAAACACCATATCCGGGTTCTGGCCCCCACGTCCAGTTTTGTGTTTGAACTTTTGTCCGCTATTAATAAGCAGTTGGAATAAAATAATCGGATCAGACCGAGCTTGATTGTGTCATCATATTTTAAAAGTATTCGAACATTCGAACAATTACAGTTTCAGAACATCCTTTAATCTGCAAATCTCCATATCACTTTCAGTTGTTAAGAGGAAACATTTCTTTTGGAGTAGCATTACGAATGCATACGAATATATGGACTTATGTTAGTAATTGACACATCTCTTAAATGACCACTAGCAATGTGAGGAACTCGAAAATATTTATCTCACTTGCCTTGGCTGGAATGTTGGTCTACATCGTTAGTTATGACAAAGGTTGTGATCATCAACTTAGACATGTTATCGACCATACACAGCAAAGCTTATACTCGATCATTCTGGTACCGCTCGGCCAACACAGCCACAAGCACTAAGCAGGATACATCGTAGTATGGCATACTTCACAAAAAGTAGAAGTCTTGTTTGCTTGAGTTCTATTGTTTGTATCCATTTTGAGAATGTTGTTTGGAAATAACGTTGACTTGATGCGGTAACATTATTCCGAGGAAATAAAATTGTTTTACTTGATGCACAGGGCACGATTGTGCACAGTCGAATTCCGGAAACCCAGAATTCAACTGTAAACTCATGTCCACGTTCTTGTTCTTGTTCTCCTCAGCAATCAATGCCCTCCATTCATACTGCAGTGCTCAAAGATACTTTATTGACTCCTATACTCTAAATCCATTTTGCAAAATAATGCCAAAAGAAGCTAAACGAATCAGGAAGTCAGTACCTTCGGCAGCTTTCGCTAAGAGAGCCAGGATAAATGATCGTCCAAACCTCCCTTCATCAGCATCATCTGTTTGCAACATGAACAGCACTAAACTTCACCCCTTGGACATTCCAGAAATCCTCTTGCTTATCGGCAGCTTCCTCAAGCTGAATGATCTTATAAACTGTATCCGTGTTTCCAAAACTTTTCATAAAACTCTTATCAGGCTTATATGGAGAAAAATCATAATTGGACCAAAGGGATATCCTATTGGTGAGGCACTGCAAAACAACAAACAATACATTGAAGAGATTATGTTTAAAGTAGACAAAATTCCAGAGGAGTATGGGTCATTGCAGGGATGTGGTCGTCTCCAGTCCATCGACTACAAAAGGAGATATTCGTGGTCCCAAGCGACTCACTTTCTGGATCTGATCAAACCCCACAGCTCCACCATCACTAGGATTTGCCTAGGAAGCGTTCGTACTCCACGTGGGCTCTGGGAGGGATTGCTGGAATGCGTCCACCTTAATCGCTTAGAGCTTTCTCACATACGTATTGATCATGAATTCGATATATTTTTTCAAGTCTGCAAGAAACTTGGGTATTTGGATATGGACTCTTTATCCATACATCAGCTTCCTATCAACTTCCTAAGTAGTGGAGCCGATGATGATGTCCTCCCAAAGATACATACACTGCGTATAAAGTGTGTCTGTTTAATCACTCCTCCAGATCCGTACACATCATCGTATTTCCTCGGCATGTTGGTGAGGAAATGTCCAGGATTGTGTGTGCTTGAGTATGGAGGACAAGTCTTTTCCATCAGAGACACTGAGCAGTCAAAAAACGAAGATTTTTTCAAGGAAGCATTCCTTCAGCACCCTTGGACTCTAGATGAATTGTCAGAACTATCGCTTCCTTTCATAAATATAACAAACGAGGATATGGCGACACTCCTCAGACGAATGACTGAATTAAGACAGTTAGATGTCGGACTTTGGGACTTCGGTCAGCTTCCTCTGCAGGAATTACTAGCAGAGAAGCAAGAGGTATTGGAGAATGGTCATATGGTACGAAGGAAAAGGCTTCGGAGGCTTTGCGAGACGGTTGAGACATTGATACTCGATTTAAAATGCGCCGTGGAGGATGGTGTTGTTCAAACCATTTTATCAAATTGCCCACGTCTGAGAAAATTTGCAGGATCTAAAATCACAGTAACAGAGATTGTCAATGGTGCAGAATGGGTTAGCACTGGACTGACTCGCCTAGATATCAATCTTTTGGCAGATGTTGATCAAGAGACAGCAGAAGGCATGGCGAAGGCGCGTATTGCGTTTAAGCAACTTGGTAAATTGACTCAGCTACGTCAACTTAACTTAACAACGTCGGACTTAATAAGTAAGGGAAGACGGACGCTGGACTTGAGACTAAGAGCAGGCCTGGATGAACTATCCAATCTGAAGAGTCTACAAACGCTAAGCTTAAGAAATGATGATCATCAGCGAACGCAACTTGAGGATGCGAAATGGATTGTGGAAAATTGGCCAAACATTAGATGCTTGGACGGTCACCTGGGCGATAGGACAGATAAACACCATTCGGTGCATCACTTTCTTCGGTCGTACAATATATACGTTGGCGCACGGTAAAGAAATATATTGTTAATTTACAACATGGTATGGGGGACGAGAGCCTTGAACATAAGCTTCCCAACGCATAACTACCTACTGATGATGATACCATTGTAAAGAATGGTGATAAAAAGTGATGATAAAAAAAAAAAAAGAAGAAAAGGCATTACATATCCCCAAGTTTAAAGAAGAGTTTTTACAGACTGCCAACGACAGTTCAGCTATTTCACTTACTAGATGGGATCGAGAGAAAACCGAATCTGGTAATTGTTTATTTCTCCTTTTTAACTTACTTATTTCTCTTATTCCTATACATTAAAAAATAGGGCAGTAAGTCAATGGATGCAATGGAGTTCAGAATAGAAACTTGGTCATTCAGCTCTTCAATATGGCCTCCCCTTTTTTATAATAAACTCTAATAGGGGGAATAAAATAGACTCGAGGATGGAACTCTTTGCTGTATATCTCATTAAAGCATTTTGTTCTCCTGTGCTCTGCAAATAACAATATTAGTAACGATAATAATAAAAAGACGATCTATAACATATAGGAAAGACAAGAACATACACATAATCTCGGTTGCCGCTTTGGTGCTTTCGTGGCATCAATTATTGATATCGAGGGCTTGAACTTTGTAGCACAGTAGTGATAGTCGTCTTAGCAGTAATGGAGAGTCGAAGTAGCTTCAATTGACAAGACAGAGAGGACGGCATCTGTCTTTGGTTGTTGAATCGATGCATCCGTCATTACTATTGCAGTAGTCGCATGGTATCTCAAGCCTTGATGGTGTACCGCCACCGGAAAGAGGAGTAACCTAGATTGATTTATTCCACCATACTATGAAGATTGGCTAGCTTGATCTTTCTCTGTACAATTCAGCGAGCCTTGATTTGTCGTATCAGTTACTTCCTCGCCTTCTTGCTTTCCCTTGATGTATCCGGGTTGGTGAGCACTGCTAGAAGTCGTGGGTTTAGGTTTTGTTGTTTTTGGGACGATGGTCTGTTAAAACGATTGATGTGATTGATACAAAGGCTGTTTGTAATTCACACGAACTGATAAGAAGAGTTCAATATCAGAAAGAAGGGCTTTTTTTATCTTTTCAAATTCGGTAAAATATGTGATCGATATATTGTTATCAATTTTAACGATAGTACCAATAGTGCTCACGCGAACAGGCTGCAGTTAACTACAGAAGGCCTGTATGAACTGAATAAAACAACAGTCATGGTATATATCAAGGCTGTATCTTTTATATATGCCCTGACATACAAAATCTTGTGGCATTGGTAAATTCTGCACCGGAACTTTTTTTTTTTTTTTTTTTTTTTTTTTCACAGTAAGCGTGTCTTCATTCCTTGAGTATCGCTTACAACAATTCATAGCTACTCTTCCCTCACTGTGTTCTGCAGACTCCAAATTCATTCATCCACCCACGCCATCCTTCGCTATGACTAGCAACCAGCCTCAATGACAGACGCTCAAATGTGTCGGTGTATATCATCTTCAAGGTGTTTTCATAAAATACTGACTGTTTCACATGCTTAAAAAAACGCCACCAATTTTAAAGGTAGATGGGATAAGCCACGATTTTGATTTCCACGTGCTTATTTTTTGCTCTCATGCCCGTGTGCTTTCTTTTTATCGTTCCTCCAATCCCCGCATATTGCCAGATCAGTCTCTTCATACATCATTTCATCCTCCCCACTCACACATCATTTCCATCATGTTTGCCCTCCGTCGCACTGCTCTTCCTGCCTTTTCCTTGGTAATAATAGTAAAAAATAATACAAAGTACAACAATCTACCGCAAATTTCATTCACTGCATAAAAAGATCGCGCAAAAGACTTTTTTGTTTTTGTCGGTCCCTGAATCTCCCATTTAAGTACATGGGCACACGCGAAAATACCACGGAGCAAAATTGATGGATGAATAGCAATCAATGTCTCCATCAACATGTACAAAATCGCTATTTTTGATCTTTTTCAGCCGATGTTTTGATAAATTTCAACCCTTGCATGGTTACATCCCATCCTATCCCGTCCTTTCCCATCTATCCCATCCTATCATATTACATTGCTTTAATTCAAAAGACACCATCCTGACCTTTTTTTTTCTTTTTTTTTTTTTTTTTTTTTCCTTTCTCTCATTCCTATGACAATCAAATGAACAGGCTCGTACTTATGCCACCAGCGGTAACGTTTCTACCCTCTTGTTGGTTGAGCACAAGGACAACAAGGTTGCTGCTTCGACCTTGAACGCCCTCACAGCTGCTTCCAAACTTGGCGGTTCCATCACTGCTCTCGTTGCCGGTAATGCTCCCGACACTGTCGTTAGTGAGGTCGCAAAGCTGTCTGGTGTCTCCAAAATCTTGGTCGCCAAGAGTGATGCCTTCACACATGCCTTGCCTGAATCTCATGCCACCCTCTTGGTCGAAACTCAGAAGAAGCATGGTTTCACTCACTTGGTTGCCTCTCACTCTGCTTTTGGCAAGAATGTCATGCCTCGTGCTGCCGCCATTCTCGATGTTGCCCAGGTTTCTGACATCACTGGTGTCGAGAGCGCCGATACCTTTGTCCGTCCTATCTATGCCGGTATGTTTTGAATAGTAAAATATTCCGTGAGAATAGAGAGATGAATAAAAAAAAAGAGACTCAATGTTGATCTGACATCCTTCAAATCCCGATGGTTTGGGATAGGTAACGCTATTGCAACTGTCAAGTCTAACGATGGAATCAAGGTCATTACTGTCCGTAACACTGCCTTCCCAGCTGCTGGTCAACAGGACTCTGCTGCCTCTCAAGAGGATGCTCCCTCAATCTCTGCAGACAAGAACTTGGCCGAATTTGTCAGCGAGCACATGCAAAAGTCTGACCGTCCTGAACTTGACTCTGCTACCCGTGTTATTGCTGGAGGCCGTGGCATGAAGAATGGCGAGAATTTTGGAATGCTTTATGAATTGGCTGACAAGATCGGTGCTGCCGGTAAGAGAGAAAACAATGCAGGTCCAAGGTGTCACATCTCTTAATTTTTTTATGATGTACAACTATAGAAATGAACCCGTTTTTTTTTTTTTTTTTTTTTTTGCAATATAGTTGGTGCTTCCCGTGCTGCCGTCGATGCTGGATATGTTGACAACTCTCTTCAGATCGGTCAAACCGGAAAGATTGTTGCCCCTGAGCTGTAAGGATCCTGGAAAATGCGTCGACTTTTTTTTTTCTCACAATATTAGTCAACGGCACCTATAAACTAATTATAAATCTAACCATGCTTTAATGACTTTATGATTTAAAAACGCATAGCTACATCGCTGTTGGTATTTCAGGCGCCATTCAGCACTTGGCTGGTATGAAAGATTCCAAGACGATTGTTGCCATCAACAAGGACCCAGAGGCACCCATCTTCCAGGTTGCTGACTATGGTCTTGTCGGCGATCTGTTTACTGCTGTGCCTGAGTTGACCAAGAAGTTGTAAATATAAGAAAGAGGACTGGGATTGTTAGACATAAATTAAAGATAAGGAAGGAGAAAATAAAATGGTTGGACCTGTTATAGATTATTCACTTACAAATCTTTGCATACAACCATATTGAATGATACGCGGATCAAATCCAAAAGATTATTAAAGAGGTCAGTCAAGGATATTTGAACAAGTTGGGCCTCCCCGTGGGAATATTTCATATTTTAATTTTTTATTATTTTGCTCCTGCATTAAAGAATTTGACTCCCATCTCTTCAAACGTCGCGCCTTGGAATGTGGCTGCAATCCCACGTCTCACCAATACTTCCATGGTTTTTTGTAGGACGGTTGGATGAATATTATGGAACTCTTGGCCTTCTGAATCCTCGCCATGTGCAATCTCATAGAAAGTTAAAATCGAATTATTAAGGCCCAATTCAAAAACCTGGATAAAAAAATAAAAATAAAAATAAAAAGAAATAAGAATGTATCAAAAATTTAATTGACAAGGAAAAAAAAAAAGAAAAAAAAAATTACCCATGCTAAGATCATTTCTGCCCAATCCTCGGGTTTGCGCCAGTAAACGATTGCCCTTCTCTTTTTTGATGTCGCGTCCCACTCAGCATCGCCTATGATGATGAATTTTAAATTAATAAATTGATATTCCCTGAACGTGAAAATGTTTTGTCACACAGAACAAATCTTTTTTTTTTTTTTTTTGCCTTCACCTTTCTTGACCATCACATCCACTATAGCCTGAATAGTCTCTGGTTTGAGTCTCCCTATATATTATTAGTTTTTTTTTTTTTTTTTTTTTTTTTTTTTTTTTTTTTTTTTTAAAAAAAAAAAAAAAAAAAAAATAATCCATTGTGAAGCCAGGTTCATCTCCTTGGTAAGAATGAGTGAATAAGAGAAGACAGGGGAAAAAAAAAAAAAATACTTTGAATATTTTTCTTCCTTACGATTTATCCGTTGGTTGTTGAACAATTGATCGTTAACGGCAGTGTCATCCAGATCCAGCTGATAAAGTCGGTGATGCTTATAATAACGCATGATAATCGTGCTCCATAGTTCCGCCTGATTTTTCCATGTAGACGCGGTCGGCTGCAATCTGTTGGGGATTATATAGAACATTAATATCAGAGAAATTAATATCTAGAAATATAATAAAAAAAAATAAAAACTTCCATTGTATTGCATTACGTGTAAAAAGGTGGAAAGTTGTGAATGGATGGAAATTGAAATCCTGATGCAAGAGCTGGTGATTGGCTAAGGCCTGCTGCTGCATTCGATGCTGTTACATCAGACATTTCCTTTTTCTTTCGAATTATATATGTATATAAAGGAGTTCTACAGGTTGTATGGGTTTAAAGATGAAGTGTAAAAAAAGACATCAACAGCTTCTGACCATTAGAAAAGCTGCTTGTGACTACTTTATTTTGGGCTTTTTTACATGGACATCAATCACTTGGACACCAGAACGTTCGCACTCAACCAGAAGCGACTTGCTGTTGCCAATAATAATCCCAACATCAGCTTCAACTACAGTGATAGAGTTATAAAACGAATCGAATGGTTAGCAACTATATGATATATACATATATATATAGTGATGTTTTGAAAAGAGAACAGATTAATACCTAAGCATCCAAGATCAGTGGAAGAGTCACCCAGGTAAGCCCATTTAGTTTCAACAGGAGCAAGACCATATTTGCTGGCATACTCTTCCTGAATCTTTCGAAACGCACGCAACTTATCTGTGCCTGTCAGGCAGTTGACTTTGACTTGGCCGTTCGATAAATATGCTTCTTCTTCAGCTGCGTCATCTTGCTTTGATCTCTTATCAGCAACATCCACATCAGCGATCTCGTCTCCACTTCGTCCTTGGTCTTGGCTTTTGGTCTCTGTATTATTGGTATTATTAGTAGTAACATCAGCAGTGCCTTCACTTCCACTATTATCACCCTTTTCTCTACGTCGCTTTTGTAATTCTTGATGATCCTCATACGAAAACATCAGATTGGAGCAAATCAATTGAGAGTCTGGTAGATACCGCTCAGTTGCTTCTTCACTGCCAAAGATCTGATCCATCGCTCCCCGGATCAGGTCCTGACTCCAATTGACAGAAACAATCCACAGCTCCCCTCTTCTTTTCCTACAACCGTGTGAATCTACGGTAGGGACTCCTTCATCACCTAGCTCCTGTTTTAGTGCTCGCTCCTTACGGTCTTGCTCTTCTATAAAGAGCTTCATAAACTGAACCACCCCTGGACGAAGTCGGATTTTTTCGCGTCCATAAGCTCGAATCTGAGCACGAGTCAATCCCACAAGATTACCGCTTTCATAGACTCGATCCAGAGATACCTTTTCAACCGCGCGTTTGCGCATTTGAGAATGGATCCAAGGTTGAAGCGAGGGGATCTTGGGAACGACGGTCTCGGGTTCTGGAGTAAATGTGCGACCGTCTACATGACATTTCAGCTCCCGAATATGAGGATCTAATAAACGATGTGGCTGTTGCTGTTGCTGTTGCTGTTGCTGTTGCTGTTGCTGTTGCCCATCCATGTTCAAAGACGTAGATGATGAGGAAGGGGTGGATGTGGACATTGATGCGTTTAAATGACACAGATCCCCCACTGCGACTTTGTCCAGATCTTCCAGATAGGCTTGCAAGATCTCGGACCAGGACAGCTGTGGGTCCGCATAATGGACGGGACGGATTTCATTGGCGAGAGTATCGAACGAAGAAGTTGTATCGTGTTCAGTGATGGTCTCATCGAAATCACAAACGAGGTGGTCAAAGTCCAAGAGAGATTTAGTGATTGCAATTGGAGACGGCCTGCCAGAAGGTATTCCATTAAGGTGAAGACATCCATGAATGTCACCCACTTCCAAGTATGAACTCAGATTCTTGTCATGTTTGTTCTCAAAGAGATGAACAAGCCCTTCAGCATCGGTGAATCGGTAGAGTGTAGTTGCCATGAATTCAAAAAAATAAAATAAAATAAAAACGAAATGAATGTTCATTCCCACACATAAGCGCCTTTTAAGCCTTTCTTCAAATGAAAGAAACGTCATTGTATCATTGTCTAGAGACTAGATGTCTCTGGCGTCTCGACCATTAAAAGACTTCTGCTGAACCTATTTTGTCACTATTTCATGTCAACATGAACTCAATTCAACAGACGGGTCTGTGCTGTCTTCGAAATCAGCTTTGTGGCATTCTCTTAACATACAGGCGAAAAAAAAAAAAAAAAAAAAAAAAAATTCGATGACAGAACTTCAACCAACGATAGCAATAATGACCATTCGATTGCGTTGGGACCTCACTGTTTCACTCTTTCTTAAGAATATTAATGTGCTTTAAGAGTTGAATATTATAGCTTACCAGGTCAAGCACCAGTCAAATTGTCCGTGCAATACAAGTAATACGGGACAGCATATTCGCCTAGCTTTCACCGAGATCCAGATGATATCCCATAACTCTACTTGTTAATAAAACTTGTCCTAATTTTAAATGAAATGCACAATAATGGGGAAATGTACCATCTAGACTTGCTTGGTCTTCTGTTAGAAGGCAAGTGTTAGAGATGATGCAAATGTCGATGAGACAAGAGGAAAAAAAGAAGCATTTTGGGCATGTAGCAAGTCGAGACAGGCGGCCTCTGGTCCATAAGGTAAAAAGGAATGAGAACATGAAGAGAGGGAGAGAAAACAATGGTTAGATAGTGTAACTGAGCGTGTCAATTGCTCCGTCATAATATCAAACTGTGCCGCGTTGCATTGTGCCAGACCATAGCATGGCCCAAGCAACCAACAATGTGGTGCTCAAAAGCGTGGCATATTGTTCTTCTATCGTGTATATAAATGCTCGCAGCCTCTGGCTCGAACTCTGATAGCATTCAAAAACTGTGCACGGTCGCACTACCAGTTAATAAAAGGTTTCACACGGGCACAGAGACGGTGTGTCGAAAATGTTTCAAAGACGCGTCAAAAAAAAAAATTTTTTCCTCGAAATGCAGAGTACGCGCCACGAGGCGAGGCAGGGCGTTGATCAATTGAACCGTTGATCACATAAATGGCAGTAAAGCCGCCTTCTCCCCTTCTCTTCTCCTTTCCACTTTTCGGATTTATGCTTCCATGCTCACATACATGCTGTTTCTTTTCTTTCCTTTTTTTTTTTTTTTTTTTTTTTTGTCGATCTTCCTTCTGCAAACAATCTTCGCTTTTTGATTTCTTCTTGCTATACATCTTGCATTGCCTTTATCCAGGGCATATACCTCTTGGCACCTCATTCATTCCACTTTGTATATTTTGTGTAGTTTATATTGCATTCCATCATGCCCAAGCAACACCAGAAACCGCAGAAAAAAGCAACGCAACAGCAACAACAACAGCACCATTTGGGCTCCCCCACAGTAGGGCCGCTACCCACTAATAGCACGGCGATCGAAACGACTAAGACCTACACAACTAATAGACCTTTATCGCCCACGGCCCTAGATGCTATAAATATATTTCAATCAGTTCAGACACCTGAAAAAGGATGGTATCTCCGCAACACCATCGAGGGTGTTCATGGCAGCTTAAAATACGGGCCCCTCCCTGCAGTCGTTGTACGTGCAGGTCCTCGATGGAAGTGTACTTTAGATATCAGCGCTCTTGAGCCTGGATGGTACTCGATAGTTTTTTGTGTATCCTTCAAGAACATGGATACAAAGTCACTGCAGTCGTTAACCATCGACGCGCGCCAGCTCGACGACGATAATCATTGTGTTTACATGGTACATGAGGGAACTAGAGTGTTCTATATGCGTATGTTGCTGCTCTTTACCTGGCAAAAGGAAGGAAGAGCTGACAAGGTCTTCTCTTGGATAATTTTTTTTTATTATTAACATAGGCAGAGACCTGCAAAACCATCATCAGCAATCAAGAGCTTCGCAACATTTGTAAGACGCATAATCCTTTATAGTGTCATGTATATCATCATTTTATAATTACTTACTGACTTCTTTTCAAACCCTGTTGCCATTAAATAGCCACGGAAAGGTTCACTCGCCTGCGATTAGATGGTCAAATCGAGCTTGATGCTTGTGGGCCTATGGAACTGTCTTTCAACTTCGGTAGTGGCGCTATCGGCAGTTTTGAGCTGCGTTATATCACTCTAGAGAGCGGGCAGAATAGTATCTATGGTAAAAAAAAAAAGAAAAAAAACTTCCTACTTGTCATATCATTTCTCATGCTGATGATTTACCTTATTGCTCAACAATAGACCAGGTGTTGTACGGTGAGGGAAAGCCACAGCAGCTCATCAGCATTGGTCACGGTAAAGGAAGCTCGCAGGATAAAACGCTCAATGTCCATTCATATGCAATCTCATCATCAGGCTATGAGCCCGAGAGTTTGAGCGACGAGAACTACTTTGAAGTCGTCCTAGAGAAGGACCACTTCTTGGTTCTGGGCCAAACGAACACATCGACTGATAGTATAGTTGAGCCAGAAGAAGGAGGTTGCCGTCGACTCATCAGCACGCGCGACATGTCTGTTGCAAAAACGTTGAGTATTCATCAGGATTATGAGATCCAGTATCCAGTCCCAATTACGGGTCCGGCCTTTACTTATGCCCAAGTAAATATCAAAAGAAGGAGAGATTGAAAGAAAGAAAGAGTGATGATTCACTGACATTAATCCTATGTCTCTTTAATCCCCCATTTAGGGCTCTATCGTCAATATTGTGAAGGATGCCAACGCATTAACGCCTCCTAGAGACCGCTTTAGCTCTTGTGGACACGATTGCATTATGGACATGCTACCGGTCGACCTGCTCCTTGAAGATGAGACCCTCGAGTACGCTTATAATGAAACCATAGTCCTCAATATGATGGCTACTCAGACTCGCATCCACGGCTCCAGGATAACGGTCTTAATTATCACTTTTTATCTGATATTAAAATTGTGATTGTTGCGGTAAAATAGCTGTATGAGCTTCGAGTGATCAAAATGGTATGCAAATATGTAACGATTATTCAAAGAGAAATCGCAGAGATCCTGGCCTTTTTCATCATCTTTGGCGTAGGAATTGCCACGTTCACAATCGCTATCCTTCATGTGTTAAAAGCTTGCTCGGAAGAAACATGCTCGCTACGCGATCCAAACACAGGATATCCAACTCAGTTCTTTGGTGCTTTAACTTCAACGTTCTTTTTTATGGTAGGCACAACACACACACAAAAAAGTTAATATTTGGCAGTAGGTCGATACCTGATTTTAAATTTGACAGTCTTTTTTTTTTTTTTTTTTTTTTTTTTTTTCGGATAAGCTGGTCGGTTTGGACCTATTAACAGCGAGTTGTCAAGCCAAGACTGGGGGTTCCATGTTATGATGATTTTCTGTTATCTTTTCACCAACATTGTTATGATGAATGTTTTGATCTGTAAGTTTATGATTTACTTTTACTTTGAAGATCAATACCGTTAACATTCCATGCGATTTTGGTTTTTTATTAATAACCATATATATTTCAATCATCATTGGGGAAATAGCCCTGTTCAGTATGACATTCATCAGGGGAGATGACTGCTGGCGCCTGACTTGGATCGAGTGCCGCCTCCGTTACATCGAGTCAGCCGAAAATATGTCCTACTATATTGAAGGCTTTCGCGATACACATGACTGCTTCCCAAAAGAAATCTATCACACAGCTGATCCGCTCAAAATGGCCGCGTTCCATGAAAAGAACCATAAAATTAAACCTGGCATGGCCTTCCAAGGACTCTTCCCTAAGAAGGATGAGCAACCTCACAAAAGGAATAACAGCAGTGTCGACGACAAGAGTCAAAACAATAATAATAATAACAAACTCAAGGCCATTCTCCAGATAGAGAATGCTAGATTAAACGCGAAACAGTATCAAGTCAATCGCGAGACTAAGGCAGATCTTTCAGCGATTGTGGCTACCCTTGCAGGGATGCAAAGGAGTATCCAAGATATGCATGAACTTGAGCAAGAGCGAGAGCGAGAGCGTGAACATGGACGTGAACATGAACGTGAACGAGAACCCTTGACTAAGCGTGATCCAAGAGCAGCAGCAGCCTATGTACGTGCTCAGGCACGTGACTTGATGGAGCATTGGATCAGTGGACAACAACAGGGTGAGCAGCAACCCCAATTTCAGCAACAACAGCAAGATGAAAGAGCAGATCAACGGCAGAAAGTATCGGACGGAGACGAAGCTGCTAATAAACATAGTTTTGGCGCTACGTGAGCGCTTCCATTAGCGTATAAAACACATTTGGGGAATGCATCCAATAACAAATTAAGAACACAGCTTTGAGCACTCTATACTGTAAATATTCGTGGAAACTGTGTAATATATATATAAATTTTTCTTTCTTTTTTAATCAAGTGAATAAAAAAAAGAAGATAGGGGTTGTTTAATGCTTCTTAACGTTCCATGTATGTTCGTCTGGCAGCTCATTACGGACTCCAATGGGCAAGCCAACAGGCTGTACGGCAGGTAACTGTGCGGCGCCCCAAATACGGACGCGCTTGATACCGCCATCGGGGATCATGATGACATTGATGGTTGCGATTCGTTTCTCTGTCAAATCACTGGCCACCTCAAAGAAGTGTTGACGGTGGGGGCCCACATGAACCTGATCCAGCAACAAGATTGGCTCATCTGATCCATGTTCAAATCCTGCAATAGTCACTGCTTTCGGTGGATTACCTTTATAATGGGCTGTATCGATCTCAATGTTGGTAACATGACCGGGTTGGCCTAATTTGATCTTTGCATAATCCACATGTCCAGGGGTTCGTGATCGCTTTGTCTCCCATCCATCAGACATGTCATGTCCACGACCTGGGAGCAACATGTTGGAAGGGTGACCATAATGAGCATCCGAGAACTCTGTGACGACAGATCCTGCAGCAGCTGAGGCCAAGTCATAGATCTCGTGCTTGTTCTCTGGAACAACCATGTGCACAGTTCCATAGGCACGTAGACGAGCAACACCTCCATCTGGATACATACAGAATCGAAGGTGAGTGTAAAAATCCTTCGTTGGTTCCTCTAATTTGAATCCATGGCGAGTATTGGGGTCAAGTGCAACCTTGGAGAGGATAGGGGTCCATTCAACCGTGGCCCATTCCTCATATGTGCGTGAAGCTGCCTTTTCAATTGAGGTCTCCTTGACTCCCTCTACAGACACAAACGGAGCATGGTTTCCAGTGAAGAACGCAGTATCGATTTCAAACCCAGCGATCGTACCAGCGTAGCCAAGTTGGATCACTGCCCAGTCATAATGAGGGTTATGACGACGGGTCTCCCAGCCATCATACCATGCACCTGTAGGAATGAACTTGCCAGGCTGAGAGATGGGTGCTGCAGCTGTGAGGAGGTTCTTGGCCTCTGCGAACCATTCGTCTGTCTGAGTGAGAACCTTGCCTCCGCGAGTCGCCACAGCAAGATCTTTGAAGTTTTATGTTTTAGAGGAAAAAAAAAAAAAGAATCAGCCAATACAAATTAATTGTCCAAACGAGACATGAAGGTTGCACCAACATGACGTCGATAAAATGTACATTCATATTCATATTCATATTTCCAAACAAAACGAACAGCAAAGGAAAAGTTGCATTGCCCACAATTGAGCAAAGGAAAATAGCATGGGAAAATAGGGGGTAAGGAAGAAGGCGATCATATCGAGCATTTGCATTTGTAATTTTTGTCCAGAACTTCGACGAGTAGATTTTTTTTTTCTGTTTTGTTTTTGCATTGAATAAAAGAGAAAAGACGCAGCAGGATGCTGCAACACATAAAGCAAAAAAAAAAAAAAGACAGAGACTGTAATGGAAACAAGCAGATTTTTATTTTCTCTATCATCTCCTAAACCTACCAATGTAGTCTTTGAAAGTCTCGTTGATCTTGTCCGCTTCAATACGTTGGTTCTTAGGAGCGGTTCCGTGTATCATTGTAGGATTGGGTGTATGTATCTTTTGAGGACGGAAAAGGATAGGATGGGTGTTTGTCTCGAACAGTTGAAAGGAAGAAAAAGAGAAAGGAAAGAGAGAAAGAATCCCCTCCATTTTGATCTCTCGGCCTTTTTATACAATTTGCTTATTTCAGACATGCAACGCTACCATTGAGTATTCGTTCATCATCGGGTGTATATAATCGACATGTTAAACCAAGGATCATCACTATCGGTGCCTTTTTTGGTTATTAATCTTCAACTTCACTATTGCCAGGATGGCAATTGTTGTCCTCTCTCTCAAAGCAACTGTCCTCCTTCATTTTCGCGAAAAAAAAATCTTTAATATTCTGAATGGGACCGTGGGAGATTCAAAGACCATACCATGTTTACCATGTATCACATACACAACTGAATCAGGAAACATCTTTTCCGCCATGCACCCTTTTTTTCCTCTTTAAAATTTTGCACTCTTTACCGCTGACCATAACGGGTTGAAGTACCTTCTCCCTTGGAACCCCATAACGCCTCTAAACATCTCTATACCTTCATAAATAAACCTTTCAGAGGCAAGCCCTTTACTGATTCTGTTCAATAGAGGGTATAGTCTATACATACACACATGAGTGTCCACGATTAAATCATTTCTTCCAATCTCAACCCTCTTGTTGTCAAAAGGATGCTTGTATTCCAACAGTTCACTTTGAAAATCGGATGATATTGATGCATTTTTTTTTTTTTTTTTTTTTCCTTTATCGCTTGTAGATATTAATAAGTGATCATGAATCAAGTTTTTTTTTTTTTTTTTTTTTTTTTTTTAATAAAAGATGCGCATATATGAACGTATTGTATGAGTTGTGTGTATACATGAATTATATGTAAGTGAGAGATCCTTCCTTTTCCTTTCTCCTTTACTTTCTAGGTGTGTAGTTGATCTCGACGGGCAAAACTGGCTGGACAAACATCTTTGTGAAGTCAGAGCCAGGCATACCCTTCTCTGTCAGCGAAAGATCGTACATGCGAACAAAGGTCGAGATCACTGCCTTGAGCTGGACATATGCAAAAGCCTCTCCGATGCAACGATGACGACCAGCGCCGAAGGGTAAACTTGGGTTCCTGGCACCACCACCTGCAATCTTTCCAAAACCATAATCAACAGTCTCACCAGTCTCCTCCTCCACAATGGTTTCCCAGCGGTGAGGATCAAACTTGGTGGCGTCCTTGTAGTACTGCTCATCCACTTGTGTAGCAATGGGTGATGCAGCAATGTAGTTGCCCTTTGGAATCACATAGTCAGTACCAGGAAATGTAATGGGACGCAAGACCTTGCGAAGGATCATAATGATTGGTGGGCGAAGCCGAAGAGTTTCACGGATAACATTGTCGAGCAGAGTCATGGATTTCAAATGGTCAAAGGTCAAGGGAGCATCAAGTGATCCAAGAACATCTTTTTGCTCTTCAACCAACTCCTTGAGGATCTGAGGGTTTTCTGCCAAGAACAAGAGGGCCCAGGTAGCTGTGGTGGAGGAAGTATGCTGGCCAGCCATCAAAAGAGCGATCATCAAATGGCAAGCATCTCTGTCAGTGAAGGGTGTTCCATCCTTGTAGGTCTGGTTCATCAATGATTGAAGCATATCGGTCTTGTTGGTGACATTGTTGGCACGGCGCTCTTCAATGACTTTCATGAAAATGGCGCGCATCTTTTCGTGAGCATTGTCACGGCGGAAGTATGAGGGCAGAGGAAGCCATTCAAAGAACATGTTGATAGGTTGGAACCCGCCATCAAGATCGTGGTAAAGCTGAGCAACTGTTCATTATTTGCAAACAAAAAAAAAAAAAAAAAAAAAAAAAAAACCTTTTTAGTTATATAGTCCATTGATTACAAATGATTGTAAGGATTGCAGAGTTTTTTTTTTTTTTGCCCTTACCAGATTCATCCATCAGGGCACGAATTTCAGGTCCCAACAAGGTACGCGATGCAGTGTTAATGATCAATTCTCCCATGGCTGTAAAGAGATCGCCTCTACCGCCGACCTTGTTATTCCAACGCTTGAAGTACTCCCTGGTCTCCTCCTCTATTTCAGAAACATAGGCTCTGAAGGCATCGTTGGTCATTCCCCATTTGACAAACCTCTTTTGTTCCATCAACATGTTGTTGGGGCAATCGTAAACGACACCTTTACCGAACACAGGGGTGGTCAAGGGTTTGTATGATTCTTCTGCAGAGACATCCGCCAGTTTTGCGTTGAACACAAAGTTGTTTCCTTCTATACCCAGACAGACCGTGAACTTGCGACCGACCATGGTGTAAGTAAAGACATCGCCATATTTTTTACGATTATCATCATAGAACTTGAGAGGGTTGAGACTGAAAGAAATGGCTGATCCGAGATAAGGGATCCAGTAAGGGACCTCGGGTGGTGCGTTTTTATTAACATTGATTCGTTGTGCAATTTGAATCAGGATGAGGATGACTACGATACCGATGGCGAGCGTTGACAGGATCTGGGTGAGGTTGGCGGGATTGGTGAGATTTCCTGCCAGAGTCTGCAGGCCCTGAACCAGCTGGACAATGACGGCCATGATTTGTAACGTCCGAGCGAGAGACGAGAAGGTTGAAAGAAAGGAAGGTGAAGGAAAAAAAAAAAGTTGCTCGGTCCGGTCTGTTGAAGATGAGAGATGAGAAGAAAAAAAAAAGAGAGAGAGAGAGAGAGATGAGAAGAGATGGGAAGGGAAAAAGTTTCTCGGATTTTTTTTTATATATTTATAACGTCCCAAGGCGATCCCCGACTTGACTTTGACTGGCTGATAGACGATGGTCTGATTGCTCTGATAACTCTCTTTTCTCTGGTAGCCACCACGGACACACAACAAGACAGCGGTTAGATCACACATTAACAGATATGCAAAACAGGCAACTCATGGCATGATAGCATGATGTGTGTGAAGCCATCTCTTTCTCGATATGCTATCTCCCCTCCTTACTAACGAAACGGTTGGCATGTAGATCAGATCAGACCAGGTCCAGCAGCAAGACAGGGACAATGTTGGTGAGACAGGGATGAGCAAGTGATGTGATTGGCTGGTTAGGAATCACCTCTTTTTTTTACAATTCGCCTGTGCTGTACGTGAAAATAGTTTAACATTGCATGTTGCGGAAGAAGAACAAATTTCAGGGCGGAAAGAAGCCAAACCATTCATTTGGTATATATACTATGAAAATATGCCGCTGTAATTAGAAGAAAACCGAGGCTTTCCGTTCAATAAATAATCTCGGCTGTTTTAGTACTGGATTGTCCGGAGGAAATAAACTCGGTCGTGGATCTTCCCTGCCTGTATTTTAAAAACCCGATCATGGGTAATATGCTCCATTGAAAAGGTAGGACCCTTCATTCGTACCAGTTGCAGACAATCATACGATTTTACTTTTTTTCTTTTTTATCGTGGACAATGTGAAAATCTATTACAATAAGGACTCGATTTAACTCAGTCTGTTTATCATCAGGTATCTTGAACAACTAACGTCTTTGTCTTGCATAGGTAACGAGAAGATCATCAATACATGCTAGAATAAACAATCCATTATGACTATTGACAGTCATAATGAAATAAGGATTTTATTTACTATAGATTTTTGAGAATGAGTGTGATTTACAGATCCATGAGATATGGGTTATAAGGCTTGCATGATGGTGAAAGAATGAAATAAAATGATTATGGTTTGCCTCATTCAATTAGTGCTTTAGTGCTTAGTGGGCTTCCAGTTGGGATCAAAGTTGCTCTTGAGTCCCTGCCATGCCTGGAAGTAGTCGTGCTGAACCTTGCCACTCTCCTTAATGGCCCAATGAGTGGGCTGCAACTGCATCGATGACTCAAACATGAAGGCTTGAGTGCCCTTGGCAATGTACATTGGCTTCAATTCTTCAGTCGAGGCCTTATCAAATGTAGGGGCATCAGGACCATGAGGGGTCATCATAGAGTGGAGGGAAGCGCCACCGGGAACAAATCCTCCTTGCTTGGCCTCATAAGTACCGTGAATCAAGCCCATAAACTCGGACATGCAGTTGCGATGGAAGTATGGGGGACGGAACTATAGGATAGAAGTGCAAAAAATAATGAATAAATGAGCGAAGCTGTTAACTCAAACGATAAATTTTAATACATGTGCATGCGTGTATGTTGCATTTCTTACAGTGTTCTCCTGCACGGACCAACGAGGAGGGAAGATGACAAAGTCAGCAATGGCAACACCTGGCTTTTCAGATTTGCAAGTAAGGACGGTGAAGATAGAGGGATCCTAATGATCGATAGTAATAGCAAGTAAAGTATGGTCAACATTTGCATTCTTGAGACAGGTTTTTTCAATTCTAGAAAGCCAGGGTATTTGATTTAAAAACATACAATGTGATCAAAGGAGACCGAGTTGATGGTGTTGAACAAGGCAAGGTTGTACTTAAATGGAGCATAGTTACCATGCCAGGCAACGACATCGAAGGGAGTGTGGTTCTGCTTGGCGGTAAAGAGTTGACCTCCATATTTGTTAATTATACGGAATGGCTTCTCCTCCTGAGAGAATGCAGCGACGGGTGTCTGGAAGTCACGGGGGTTGGCGAGTCCATTAGCACCAATGGGTCCGAGATCAGGAATAGTCCAGGTGCCGTTGAATACTTCGCAAATGTAACCACGGCTAATATGATACCATTAAGAGAAGGAAAGGATATCGTGAGCAAAACCACTTTCCATTGTGGGCCGTAACTCTGGACTGATATCACTTTCTCACACTGCATCATAATCATTTGATAAAAAAAAAAAGCTTACCTTGGACCATCGGGGAGAGCAACAGAGAATCGAATGCCGCGCTGGATGACACAGATCTCGTTAGGATGGGCCAAGATCTTTCCAAACTCGGTCGTGATGTCTAGGCGACCCTGCTGGGGAACTATTGGAATACCAGGAAAGAGCGTGAGAAGAATGACAAAAAAAAGCCACTCTTGATTGGATGATTGTAAAATTTTGTAATTACATCTCCCTACCGATCAGAAAGTCACCATCAGAATTGTAGAAGGCAGCATCCTCCATGCTCTTGTTAGCAGCGTAGATGAGAACGGCCATACCATGCTTGACACCGACATCGCCAGCACCAGCGATCGAGTGAAGACCCTCGACAAAGTCGGTGGGTTCGGTAGGCAGATCAAAAGGAGACCAACGTAATTGGTTTGGAGTCACACTAACGTTCGCTGCATCAGTGTAGTTTCCCACGAGGTGTGTCTTCTTGTGAAAGGCCTCATAGGGTGTGTGACAGACAGAGGGGCGGATGCGGTAAAGCCAGCTAATCCACCAAGCAACATCAATGCGTGGAAGTGCATTAGCAAGACGGTACATTTATTCATGCAGTTATTCATTTCATTTCAACAATCACATTCCAACATTTCATTCCTTTGTTTAACATCTCTCTGTGACAGAGATGGACTTACGTTCTCTCGTTATGCTTGCGGTCAACAGTGAAAGCAGTTCCAGAGAGTTGCTCGGCGTAGAGACCATAAGGACAGACTTGTGGAGTGTTTTGACCTGGAATGAGAATGAATGAGTGGGTGAATTAAAGTCGAGTTCGTGACATTGCCTCCATGGAAGCTCACTTTTTTTTTATACTCGCATATTTATGCTATGTCACTGCTTTTCTTATTTCAATGCGTCCCTAATCAGGCTTTCTTACTTACCCTTGGGAAGAGCATCGGGGAGAGCCTCGGATGAGAAGTGATTGCCGAAGCCAGGTTGGTATTGGTAATCGTTCTTGATGTCAGTCATGGCTGTGGAATGTAGAAGATTAAGGGAGGTAGAATAGAGAGAGTGGAGAAAGAGTGGTGTGGAGGAAGGAGCAATTGAAGTGAAGAGGGTAAAGCAAAGGAGGAAGAGGGAAAGGAGGTTGCGATCATTTATAACATTTCATTCCCCACATTTTTTTTTAAAATGAGCCTGGCGACAATAAAGGTGCCCTGCAAAAGAAGAATCATGATTGTTCGACAAAGCCCCTTCACGATGTTCAAAAAGAAAAAAAAAGAAAACGGCGAAAGAATCCATTTACACATCACATATACGCATTACACACAACTTTGGTCTTTAATTTTAGTTTTCTCACTCCCAGGACTCATTTAAACACAAACATCCGTCTACCTACTTATTCGCCATCCATTCGCACTTGCTTTGATTGGAGAACTGGGGTCACTTTAATTGACCTTTACCTTGAACACGTTTGTTTGTAGACATCAGTGTCTTTTAATTTTCCTTCGCGTTCTGCAATCGACCTTGTCTACTTTCTTTTACTGAAATTATTAGGGAACTCAACAAAAACATGTTCATTTCCTCTCTCCGGATATGGCTCATCCGAGAGATTTGATCTCTTGACACTTATGGAATGGCACATTCAAAAAAAGAGAGTCGCGCCTTTGCTCTGTAATGTCAGTTCCAAGGCATGAAAGCACTCGTTTGTTTGTTGTATACCTATGACACTAGTAATGCGCAGATAAGGATCCCGGATCGTGAGTCGTGGGGAGAATCAGAGAGAAAAAAAAAAAAAAAAAAAAAAAGTCCAGGTCGTAAAACACAAACCTAGCCAAGTAACGCCCGTAATTAGACGCCACCAAAAAAAAAAAAAAAAAACCACCCAAAAATAGCGCTCTATTTACCCTTAAGAGCAGATACAAAAAGAAAAAATACGCGTCGAGTGCAAGAGAATGGAGATGGAAACACTGAAGGCTCTGCACCGTAGAAGGATCAGATTAGTACTTTACAATAGATATAACCTTTTCCTACCATTTACCATCAAACACATGGAACTGAACCAGGAGAATCAATCTATGAGCAGTCTCCAGGGGCTGTTGACGTCTCAATCTCTGCTCACTGCTATTTCTACCATCCTCCCATCCTCCCTATCTCCTCACCTCCCTGTTTGGAAGTTGTACTTTTTTGCCTTTCAAAGTTTGTCTTGACTCCACATCTGAGAACGATAGTCAACAGCGTATACAACACTTCCCGCTTTCTCCTGATGTTCCCGCAAGACAACTAGGGATGTGTTCCATCGTTTTGGATTATATAAATATGAATCATGTAGACCAAATAGAACTTTGAATATTTTTTTGGTACTCTTTTGTACTCCCTTCAATGAGAGCATTGACCACAACGTAACACGCAATTAACTATTTTTCGATTGCTCATTATTGTGTCTTTTTAGGATGCCTTTTTTTAACGGTCAGAGAAGACTGCAGTCTGCTTTGACGGTATTAACCACACCATGCATGGAGGACCGTGATCATCTCACCACTAATTTTCCCCCCTACCTCTCTCTTATCTTGATCGTACAGAATGCATCAAAAGACATCATGAGAAGTGCTTGTAACATAGGATGTAGACAGATCATTCATAGGAATATTACAAATGTGTACTGCCTAATCCCTTGTGGTTTATGCAAAAATGACAGAAAGGCCCCGATACCGCTCGCCATTACCGCAGGGACGGCTAGAGCAGACCACAGAGAGGAAAAAAGAGTGAAGGAGAGTGAAAGAGAGAGCATTGTCCGAGGAAAGAAACAAGTGCTTTTACAAGGATGATTTTTTTTTTTTTTAATTTTTTTTTTTCCTTCATCTTTCCTGCTCCTCCCTCCCATTCTGAGCACGATCGCTCCTTGTTGTCCCTGCTTCATGCTCTTACTGGCTGAACTACCCCCGTCGCATTGGTCCTGCATCTCTATCACTTTGCTCTCTTTTCACTTTTCTTTTTTTTTTCTTTCTCCCTCCTTCTCCTCTCTCTGTCTCTCTCTCTCTCATTCTTTTCTATCTTTCTTTCATTTATACCACATTCTTGCATTGCCTTCTATTTTACCCTCTTTCGCGTCCCTACCTGTAACCACATTTTACCACTGGAAAAGAGAATGCATCACGCAGCATCTGCCACTATATTTTAGATTTATTCTTCTTTCAACCAGCTGAGCATTTGTAAACGTGGCGTAGCTTTTTTCGAATCATCCAAAACGTTATTAAATCTGTAAGCATAAAAAAAAAAGCGATCGTTGCCACTGATACATCATCCCCTATATGCAACTGTAGATAGCAATCAGAAGATTAAGTACCATAGACGCATATATGAACCTTTTTTATTATTATTATCATTTTTAATTATCTGTCGAGTTCACCAGGAGCTTGGCTTGACTTGACTTTATAATATACCGACTGGCACTTTTTTTTTCATCTCTTTTCTTTTTCTTTGGAGCGGGTCTTGTTTGATTCCTTTATTTCCCGTCTATTGCTTAGGACATGATTTTGTTTCTTTTTGTTATAATCATTTTTTTCCCGTTTATTATTATTATTATTATTATTATTATTATTATTATTATTATTATTATTATTATTATTATTATTATTATTATTATTATTATTATTATTTTCTTTTTAATTGCTGTTATTGTTTGATTGGATTACTCGTCCTTTCCTCCCCCCTTCGTGTCTTTCATCATTTCCAACACATTTTTGCTTTCCTATCCATCTAAAATAACAATATGTCCAACAACGCTCTATAGTCACACAGGGGAAAAGAAGAAATGTCAGAAGAAAAAGGAATAAGAAATCAAGGGCCAAGCTGGGAGGGAGAGATGATAATTCTTCTTTACGAAATCAGTATACAGCTCTTTTTTTTTTTTATTCCTTTATTGCCTGCGGCTCATTCATTTTATCCCGACATGATACTGCCAATGGTTTGCTTTTTAATATTTTTTTTTCTTCGAGTTGAATGCACAGACACACACACGGATGAACACAAAATACCGCCATCTCTTTTTCCGTTCAACTGAACAAGTAACCTCACTCATTGTTTATCTTTTTTTATTCGGACGATGTTTTTTGTCCCTTACCAGCTTCTGTAGCACAACATCGAGACAGAGGGACACAAGCTGAAGCATCGTTGCACAAGAAAAAAGTGAACTTTAAAACTTTTCGTTTCACTTCCTCAAAACTCCCTTGGGTCGGACGCCACCATCCATACAGATCTTCTCTTGTCATACACTCTGCAAGACACTAAACCTAGTTTCTACCTTATATCCATCAAGTATTACAGACGCCATGGATGTCGCCAGTCAGAGTACCACACGCAAATCAAATCTCCGTAACCTTCAACCACGTGCTGCTGCCGCCATCGACTTCAATGACAGTGATGATGATGATTGCAATCCCTTGAGCGCCGATTACAAGGCCCAGCGCGAGACTACAAAAGACCTTGTGGACTTTTTCAAGAACGCACCCCCGCCATCTTCACCAGCCACAACTCCTCTCTCAAGTATAGTCGTAGATGAAAAAAAGAAACGTACATTGCTCCAGCGGTTAAGGTCTCGCAAGGCTAATCTCCCCATGGGAGGAAGCACCAGGGGCCGGAATGTAGTGCTGGCACCGTCCTTGCAAAGCTCTAGCAGCTCACTTGGTTCCCATAGTAGGGTAGGCAGCGAGGTTGCCATCCTACCGAATGGGAAAAAGTACGTCATGATTGCTGTCGATTACAAAGATTCGAAAGATGCTGGAGCAGGTCCAGGGTTAACACACACCGTCCCCAGCTCCCTCAGCTCGAGTAATGTTGGAAGATTACCAGGCCTTACATCGCCCAAACGTCTGAACTTCAACAACGTTGGTGACGACTCGGGATCAAAGCGGGAGTCAACCTTAAATAAGAAGCCCAGCATCCAGCTCACCACCGCCATCGAAGGACGTACAGATACTAACAATAGTATGGAAACAAGCAAAGTATCTAATGGGGCTGATAAGCACCGTTCTATCGCCATTCAGGCTGGTAGCGGCGAAGGCTCCAATTTTATTTTGGATAGTAGCCCATTCATGCTTGATAACTTTGCATTGAACCCAGAGTACGTCACAAAGACCGGTACTGCTCAGACACAATTGAACGGTCAGCAGGCCGACGATACAGCTAACGTAGTCAGACCCCGGACGCACCATTCATCCAAATCAAGCCAATATCAATCGTCCAATGACAGTGGCTCTAAGCGAAGCACCAGAGTTACTTTCAATATCGCCGATCAGCCACAGGAGCAGCCGTCGCAGCAGCCTTTGAGCAAAGAAGCCCTTTCCAAGGCTTTAGCTGGACGAATAAGCAAACACAAGGCCCAGACAGCCAAAGGCATGCTCCTTGAGGAAACAGGGAATACACGTTCTAACGGCTATAGCACAAAGACGAAGACCACAGTCCCTGAAGTGATCCTTCCCAAGCCCGTAACGAGGAAGAAAGTACGACATGTTCAAATCCAGACGCAGCACTGTGTTACGCGTCCCATGTATACACAAACTGAGCCTCTTGGGTCACTGGCCCAGGATTACGAAGCAAAGGAATTCGCCACACAAACGGGTTCTTCAAGACGTGTCTCTGGGACAACTGACGTTGGAATGTCGACGGATAGTGAATCAACGATCATTTCGCCACCAAGGTCATCCCCCACCAAGGGCTCGATGGCTTCTACATCTATCGCCACTACTGCAACAGATACCAAAGACCAAGGATTCTCAACTTTGGATGCAGCCACTAATACTACTTTTAATAACAGTACTTTTTCAACAGTGGCTAAAGTTTCAGGGATGACAGAGAATGAAGAGTTGGTCTTCCTGCGGCAACAAAATTCAGCTCTGCAAGTACAGGTAGCGATGTTGCAACGGGATTTGGCAGCGGAGACACGAGCACGTACACGAACAGCAGTCGCCATGCAGGACACGCGGGACAAGTTCGAGATGTTATCAGCGATGGCGTATAAAAAGCTCAAGGAGATGATATTTCAACGCCATGTGCTTGAGATGGAGGTGAGAGAGCTCCGAGCACAAGTGGACATGCACAACGAGGAGGCAATGTATCCGACAGAGGTCCATCATGAATATATTACCGTTAACTTGCAACAATGAGATTAAAAACACGGCAATTAATAGGAAATGTAGATAGAGTGAGAAAGAGAGAAAGCTGGGAGGATGAAGAGATTAGGTGTCGTGGAAATTTGCACGATGTATATAAGGAATACCATTTAGCATTACAACATGGACATGAGCATTTAGCATAATAAAACAAAACAAAAAAAAAACTAATCTATCTGGCTATTTGCAAAAGATCCTAGTAGAGTGACTTGATCAACATCACCATTTGATTGAAAACATTGTTCTTTAATCATTTAGTTTCACTGATTGCCAGAAAAGCAGATTAAACAAAAGAACTGTCTCTACAACATATAAAAATAGTCGTTGACCGCAGCGAAGAGAGCGCCTTTTAGAAACATAACTTATAAAGTTACAAGTAAGAAGGCTTCAGAACGCTAAATTGTCTGTCCGAATGCCTGTTAAGGACAACAGAGGTCTCATCGGTAAGCAAACCTTTGTCTCTCATACAAAGCTGGTATCTGTCTTATTTCATTTTGTGATGTGAACTGTTCATATTTGAAAGCCTATTTTTTTTTTATCAGAACATCCTGCAAATAGACACAGTTTGAAGCACATAAAGACATGGATCACACCTCTGAGAAGACATCGCTATCTTCAAATGCTAACCAAGAGCAGCCTCAGACAGTGCTAGGGTCCACTTCTCCCAGCAAGGATCATTACGATAATGATTCCCCATCAAGTCAAGCGAATCAAAGCCGTGCCTTTTGCCAAACCGTTGAATCAGGTTATTCGTTGCGACCGTGCACTATGGAGGAATCATGTAGTAGCGAGCAGGCTCCATGTTTGGCTATTAGCGTCTTTGAAGAGATGTCAAAAAAGGGAGAACAACAGCAACAGAAACAATGCCAAGAGGAAATATCGTCGCCTGTTGTCGTACCCGGGTGTGGTTCTGTGAATAATCCTGATTATGGCGAGACGGCCGAACATAGACGAGCGTCGCTTCTTCCCAAGCAAGGAACTATAGAGGCCACAATGGCTATAAGTATTTCTTTGGGACAACCAAACATCGAATCCCCCTCAAATCGCTGTCGAAATCAAGCCTTGCATTCCACCGCTGCTGCTGCTGCTGCTTCTGCCACAGACATTATGAACAGCTGCTCTGTGGAATCTAAACAATCCATTACTTTACCATTTTCAATAACAGCAACAGCAATAACAACACCAAAGTCTGTAGTAACATCGCTCATAACACCCCCTCACATCTCTACCAAAGGCAGCACCATATCAATGAGACGGCACCTGAATATTTCAATCCCCACCATTCATCTCGGCGGAGGGCTACAGGATATCATAGGCGCTTTTGCTTCTTCGACAATCAGTAACAATTCGCCAAACCTGCGAGAACCAACTTCTTTCGAGGGTGTAGGCGGTGACATTGTACCATCAAAAGTTGTGCGTAATCGACTTGATGAAACGAAGTTTTATGCTTTGAAAGTCTTCTTTTTTTTTTTTTTTCTTACTAACTTGATTTTCTTTCTTTCTTTTTTTTTCTCTTTTTTTCGTTTTATTAAAAAATTAGACGGATGAAAATGTCGAATTGCTAGAGGTGATAGAGCGAATTGATATTGATCGTAGAAATACGTTCAGAAGGTGTGAAGAATATGAAGAGGAAATGACTAGGGTCAGGGAACAGGCAGAGGAAAAGAGTCGGAAATTCAAGGAAGCCGAGAAGAAAATCAAAAGGCTTCGAAAAGCAGAGCGAAGCAATGCCAGACGATGTGAAGAAGTGAGCCTCTCTTTCTCCCAAATGAATCAATGAAGGGTATACAATTGTGGATTATTTTTTTTACTAACAAACAAAAGATGGTCTATACCGCATTTTTTTAATATTCCATGGCAGTTGGAGAAGATTTGTCAGGAAAAGTGTTCAGAGATTCAGAAATTGGAATCAAGAGCTAAAAGTGTTGCGAAAGAAAATCCCCAAAAATACATTAAGTTGCAAGCCGAAGTAGACAAATTGAAGCAGGAGCTTGATATCAAAACCAGGGCCACTTCGGAAACAAAGGCCAACGTTGATCGAGTAAGCAGTGCTCTGATCCCTTTTTTTTTTATCTTGTAACTTGATAAAAAAATAAATAAAAATAAAAGAAATGAATTTAAGGTCTTTCTTTTCTCTGTCTCATTCTTTCCCTGTAAACTACAGTTGGAACAAGAAATTGTTCGCTGTAAGGATGAGATAGAGGGATTACGGAACAGTTGCACGACCATGAAGTGTGAACTTGTTTGGGTCATGGACAAGAATATTAAACTTACTGAGCATCTGGAGAAGCTCTGGATGAATACCATGCAAGGTCATGCCTCCGAAACCTCTAGTAATCATTCTTCCTCTGACGAGCTTTGTGCACAGGTAAAGGAAAAAAAAAAAAAAAAAAAAAAAAAAAAAGACAATGTAGCTTGGTTCCATGAAAGAAATAACGATTTGGCGAGCAAAAATGATTAACAAAATTTTATTCTATCCTAGTCCTTGCTGGACGAGCTCAGTGACAGTGATCCCGACTTCTCTTTGGGAACATCCATTGATGAGCGAGTTACGCGTGATGACCAAAAGGAAAGTGAAGGTCCACATCCTGGGAATGAAAATATTAGTGCATCTTCAGCTTGCGATATTCATCTTCCTGAGGATAGGGACTCTATTGAAGCCATTCCGAGCAATTCTGAGAGCGAGAGTGGGAACCATGGAGGTCAGGATTCGCTTCCGGACGGTCCTTTTATAACGCCTTTGTATGCGCTATTAGAAACACAGCCCACCGTGGAGGGAAGCTTGACAGAGGCTACGTCTTGTCCATCAGATAGTCCTGGGCCACAGTTACAAAGACAGAATGACATGGACTTAAACGATTTAAGTGAGCCATTATCGCAGATTTCCGGCCCCGATGCAGCCACCAACACTGATCTGATCTGCTTCAACAGAAGCGAAAACGAATATGTTGATGACGAGGTAGGATCTCTGGACAGCACGCTTGGTAGTATGGATGACATGTCTAATACCACGGATGAAAATGAAGGACAACCACTACCTCAAGCGGAAGGGTATTCATCCTTCGTTCTGTTGGATGCGGCTAGCGGTCAATGGGCCTTACGAATATTGTCCATTATTCTACAGAACCAGCAGAGACAGGATGAACTATCTATTCACATCTATAATAGGCAGCATTACCTAGATCAAGAGATCCAACATGTCCGGAGAGAAGTTGCCATGTTATATATGCAGAGCAGAAAATGCAAGTAGCTGTCACGAGATGGATCGACCAGTATTTGCGGCACTATATGCCGATTGTCATGCTTGTCCTATTCTTTCTTATGGTTCTTATGCTCAGGATGCTTGGACTGTTCAACACCATATCCCAGATAGGGCAGAGGGTGACTTGGGAGATGTCTGATGATCACTATGTCCCGAGTTGAGTAGCAATTAGTGTATAAGGATCGACAAAGTGGTGGTATGAGAGAGATGTGGGCTTTGTGGTTTGAAGTAAAATTTAAAGAAACGCGTTTATGATAGTCAGACACTACACTTATTTTTTTATTTTATTTTATTTTTAATAAAAGATCTAATATTGTTCAGATATTTCTATTCACCAAATCCAGGGAGATTAAGTAAGCTAATAAATGTAAGGAATGATGCGCCATCGCACGATTTCGCAATACTTGTCCCAATCCTTGCCATACTTCTTACGGCACTTTTCCGCATCTCTCAGCTCACGATGGAATAGCAAGGCAGCAAAATAAATGGGATAGAAATAAGGGAGAGGACTTGCAAAGCCTGTATGGCAATCATCAATCCGACAATACATAAAGACGTGTCAGAAAAACACCTTGTAAATATTAAATATCAAACAAAAACAACAATAATAATAATAAAGCATGTATTAGGATCAACTTACCGCAGGGCAATGACCATGCGAGAGCCATAAGCCAATCGCCAAAGTAGTTGAAGTGGCGAGCTGTGCCCCACCAGCCGCTGATCATCAGCTTTGATCCCGATGCGGTCTCCATATATTTTATGCCTATTTGCATTATAATAAAGGTACAGATTTTTTTTTTGTTAAGCACATCATATGCATGGGGTATTAACAATGGCCTAACAATAAATTAAACAATTGAATATTACCTCTATTTTGAGGGGCAGAAGGTCCATAGAGCCTAAAACGATTTTTTTGACCATTGGCTCCCCTAAAGATAATGTATCCGATGCATTGAGTGATAATGACCAAGGCACAATGAACCAAACCCATATCGAGAGGGAAGGTAGCCAAGTAACGAGCCTGGATACAGTAATTCATGGGTAGCCAAGTCAACAGACCATTGGCAAGCATGAAGCCGAAGCCATCTGTAGTAATGTCCATGGTAGTCAAGACTGCAGGCTCATTCCATAGTGAGTCTAGTACGTAGAAAGCTTCAAGCAATTGTACGGCAACCATCGAGTTCGTGATACGTCCAAGTTCATGATATTGCTTGCAGGCCATGCCAAAGTTGAGAATTATCCAGCCGATAAGGCCTGGGCGAAGCTCAATAAAGTGCTTAATGTCAAAAGTCGAGTCAGGAGATGCACTGAAACGGGGATTCAACTCTCGTCCAAGAACAAACTACAGAGAAAAAGAGGAAAAGGGAGAAGGACCAGTTAGGCTTACAAATTTGCCTAGGGAAATTCGGGGATGCAAGTTCGTTAGACAAAAAAAAACCTACATCATAAATCATATTGCCGGTGTTACCACCACAAGCAAGGATCTTTTCTTGACCGTTGCTATCTGGAAGGAATGACCAGATGTAGACAAAAATTGACAAACCATAGGTCCAGACCAGAGAGGCTGTGATCAAGCCTAGGAAATGATCATACAGAAACAAGAAAGGCTTCACACCCTTGGTGTATACTGTTGCAGCTATAAGTGCAAAGATCAACATCATGGTCCTTAAAGCGTTGACTTTGTACTTGAGCTTATAGTTGGATCTATCCTTTGTTAGAGGTGACCCACCAACGCCTCCGACAACAGTTCCCTCAACTACATCGCCAGGGATGACAAAAAAGGAGATAAAGAGAAAAGCCATATAGGCTGAATAGACATAGAATGCTTTCATATCCCAGGTGGAGCTGAGAAAGTTCCAGAGATCTGCGGGATATGATGCTGGATTGGCGCCGATAGAGGGCCAAAATCCATCCTTGGGGTCCCAGAAGGCCGGAATGCATCCGAAGCCCTCGCGACAATTAAAGTAGAGAGCATAGGTAACTAAAGGGAGGAAGACGAGCATCCCGACAGCACCTGGTGGCCCGAGGAACTCATACTCGGGAGCAGGATTTGGCGGCGTGCGCCTGAATCCTTTAGAGGTTTTACTGGACATTATGTTTAAAAAGATTTAGGAATGCAATCAATGTTAACAATACAATCGGAAAGAGATAGAAAGAGAGAAGAAGAGAAAGAGGTAATGAAAAGATGGAATGAGAACGGAATGGTAGATGAATGCTGAATAAGCTGATCTTTTTTTACATCGTCTGAGAAAAAAAAAGAATGGCCTGATTTTTTCTAATATCCGGTTTCGATGTTGCCACCAACTTGTACCCAATAAGATTGTGTTTAAGGGGATTGAAAAAATAGTTGACATGACACAGCAATGGTGATGCAAATGTGCAATTGTCTTGTTTTAATATTATTACAACCATGGAAGATAGTTTTCCCTTCAGCTTCGGACTTGCATCGGATGAAGATGAGGAATTCAATGACATCTTCTGTCCAGCGAAAGCAAAAGCCAAAGTTGTAAAGTCAAAGGCACCTTCTGCGGAGGAGTATCATGCTCAGATAGACGCGGATGGGGTAAAAATAAATTCGCCAGTTATGCTCAAAAGGAGAAGGGTATTACTTAATAGCTTTTCACGTCTTTCTGAATGCTAATTCTTATAATTTTTTTTTTTTTTTTTTTTTTTTTTTAAAAAAAACAACCAACAACAACAAAAAAGTGGTTTCACCAAACAGGCGCCTCAGTGCTTGAAGTTATGCAAAATGATAAGAATGGTGCCAACAAAGTCAAGATGAGGGCTGATCATTATTATATGCTACATCAGTATCAGGACGCATACGAGATCGCAAAGGAATATTGTCGCGTCGTATCTTTGCAAAATCAACTGAATCTGATAGATAGAATTGAACAATCCGAAACTGAGATTGAAAGAACATCAAACATATTAAAGGTAACGGATTCGAAGGAGATGCAAGAGATGGCTCTCCGCTGTGCACTCAAGTTAAACAAGTTGGACGAAGCTGCAGCATTTGCCGATGAGCTTGTAGGTCTTATTCAAATCCGAAATCAGATCGGGTCTATTTTTTTTTTTTTTTTTTTTTTTTTTTTTTGGCGCGCCTTAATATATATATATATTAACGATAGACCTTCTGGTCCAACTGGTGAATGGATATTGTATTTGTAGACGCTGCAAGATATTGGAACTGTATTTCTTAAGGCCAAGGCATTTATAGCAGTTGGACGCTACAATGGTATTGACCGTATTCATCGGTTTGCTTATTTACTCAATCAGCTGCAAAACTCGCTCATATACAGACTATGAACTCATGTTATCTACTCCTTCCTTAACTGGCTTGTTTATACTAGCTGCGGCACTCAATCTGGTTCAATTTCAAAAGACAAAGAGTAGCAATTACTCTATTTGGAAAGCTCTTGGAGAATGTTTGCATCAGTCTTCAAAAGCACTAATATTCCAGTCAGAACCAAAGCTATCAATACCAACCTTAATATCTAGACCATATCCTTCATTAACGTTATGTTCCTATGGCGTGGATCTTCGGAGGGTAAAAATTTTGGCTTTAATCAGCATTCTGCGAGCCCGTTATCTAATGCTTGTATCCACGTGGTCGAATGTCAGCTATGCAAAAGTCCGGTTTGATCAAGAGTTAAGAACCATTGATGACCTACGGAGAGTCTTGGAGCGTGAATGTGAGCTGGAGATGTATGACTCAGCTAGCCAGTTGAAAGAGTTCGAGAGTAGCTTACAAGACCAAGACTTGAAGCATCGACGGTTAGAAGATTATGAGAACAAGATTGTCATCCCAGCTCTAGAGCTACTTCAGAGGATGAAGCAAGCAAATGGTGAAGGTCTAAAGGAAGAAAGTGAATCAGCTTTGGAGATTGTAGAGTTTATCGTCAACTCATGGGATACACAATTGGTAGACTTTTCTGCTTCTGGAGGTGGAACTGACGAGGACAATGACGATGTGAATGGGCTCTCAGTCCGGGACAAATAAAGACTCATTATCAAGGGGTTGAGTCTACATATTCTTGACACAAATGAATCAAAAGCATGTGCGCGCGCACCGACCAACGCGGGCGATGTGGAGGAAAACGGATCAAGACAGAATGAATTCACACGCCTCTATAAATTCAATAAATAGGAGAGAGAGACAGAGAAAGAAAACTTACTTCTCTCCATTCTTTATTCTCATTGCATTGCATTCATTCAAAAATGACAGCGGTTTCTTGTTCTATCCGAATTTCAAATAATATTTCGCGTCATGGGATGCATTTTCATCACCAATGGACTCTTCCCAATCCTCAGAGAGTAGCGACAATGCGGACGTTGCCCACATTACACAAACCTACAACAAGGCCATGCTATGTCCATACACATGTCTTTCCTCGAAAGCTGCCTCAAAGTCGACTATTGTCCACACTTGATGCAAGCGCAGCAATATCTTATCAACCAAATCTCGTTCAAGAACATCTACATCCAACCACCACCGCTACTGCTGGCACTTCTAGTTCCTCTGGTCCTTCTAATGCTTCTGCCGCTACTACTGCTTCAGCTACTGCCAATACTACTGTTGCTCCTGATACTGCTACCACTACAACTGTTACTGCTGGGACTCGGTCACCATCTCATATCAACATGCAGCGAATAAAACTTGTTGCCACCCGTAGGGAAACTCCCTTATCAATGGCTCAATGCCTCAAACTAGGTCAGCATCTCAGCTCGAAGGCTCTACTCAAAAACCTGGCTTTCTTGAACCGAGAGCTCCCTGTTCGATTTTCGAAACGGATCATTGAGCTTACTAATCTACCTGGTGAATTAAAGGAGACTGAGCCATTCATGAACTTGATCAAGAACTATTCCAGGTCATTTGAAGAGTTACAGACCTTTTCGGACAACGGTCACCTTTTGTAAGCTTAATTGAATCACCGTCTGAATTCTTTGAGCTGCGCCAAAAAAAAAAAAAAAAAAAAAAAAAAAAAAAATCATGGGCAAACTTTATTAATTTATTTTGTGAATATCAGTTTCCTCTCCTCCAACACCTGTCTCCGTGACGATCTAGATATAGATGACAAGGAGTCATTGAAGTTTTCCATGCAAAAAGAATATGCTGAGCTACTCCAAAATATTACAAATCGTCACAAGCAAGGTAGCAAATCATAAGAAAAAATATCCTCCTTTCGAGTCGTAGATGTTGTAGTATCGACCTGACTTTTTTATCATCACTACCTTAAATACACTAGATGTGATTAGTATGGCGCATGGAATAAGTCTCTTCAAGCGTTATCAAGACAACCGCAACAAGCCTTCAGAGGAAATCCAGCACTTTTTAAATGCATTCAATCGTGGTCGACTTGGAATTCGAATCATGGTCGGACATCATCTGGCTCTACAACATCAGTTTTATCATTTGAATGAGCCTTCCTCTCCTCCCTCAGCCCCACCCCCAGCTTCAGCTTCAGCATATCTCTCAACCCCCTCAAGCGCTCATTCTCAAAGAATTGGTATCATTGAACCGCAATGTGACATCGAGGCATTGATCTTGAAGGCAGCTCAGTCAGCTCAATTTGTGTTCTTTCAGCATTACAATACTGTGTTCCCACCAAACATACATATTGAGCATGTAAAAGAAGTTGGAGGCAGGAATGTGCGATTTCCAGTTGTGCCTGCGTTGTTGCATCATATCTTGTTTGAATTGCTGAAGAACGCCATGCGCGCTACCGCGGAATTCCATGGATTGGATCAATCAACTTATCCAGGTAAACATCTCTCTCTCTCTTTTTTTTTTTTTTTTTTTTTTTTTTTTTTCTGCTTTTTTTTTTTTTTTTGTGAAATATATTAGTACAACTGGAAGACTAGAATGTTTTCAGGAGAAGGATTTGCCGAAATCTGACAAAGCGTCTCGTTTGAATCAATTAGATATTCAGATTAGATTATTATCGACTGCGAATGGTGACCTTAATATTACAATTAAAGATTATGGTGGAGGCAAGTCTCATAATCATGAATTCTATTATGTTTTTTTTTTTTACTCTTTTTTTATCGTCATTACAAAAAAACTTACAAGCCTTGTGGGATCAATATTCAATAATATAGGAATGCCTTCAGAAAAAGTAGTCAAGCCTTTCAATTATATGTTCACGACTGCATCCAACACTGTCTGTATCGATTTCCATTCCATAATGACGGCGGTTGAAAAGAAGCCACATAATGCCACGCTGGGTGAGAATCTGCCACTCTGTGGTTTCGGATTTGGTTTAGCTACATCCAAACTGGTAAATGGCTTTTTTTAATATATTTGTTTTGTTTTCAATTTCAATAGTCAAATCTTTTATATGATATGCTTCATGTAAATTAATTCTGTTTATCTCTTCAAATAGTACGCTCGACTCTTCCATGGTGATTTGACCCTAAACTCAACCACAGGCCAGGGTACTGAAGCAAATATCACACTGAAGCGATTGGAGGATCAGATAGAGCAACTGGAGGAAGCGTGAAAGTCATTTATCATTGATGTATAATAGATTGTACATATTCTATTTTTGTATTTCTTTTTTCTTTCAGTAACGTCTATTAAAATATCTAATGGGAGTAATACATATAACTATCCTTGCAATCATAACGCCGGTATCTATAATGGTTCTGCAATAGAGTTTAATGCGCAGGGAGCGCCTTTTGATCTCTGTTCTGGAGACTCTTGGGATGGATCAAAATCTTGCACTCTGTATCCTTGCACAAGTTCTTTAGGGCCTTCCGCTCCAACATCTCGAAGAACTTGAGTCCAGAAGCCTTTTCCACAGCTTCAACTGGTACTTGGAAAGCTGTGAGTGGGACCTCATTCTGTATCTTGTCGTTTGGTAGAACAAAAGCGCCGATTGTCATATCACCATTGCCCTTGTCCGTCAAAATAACCTTGTAGAAATGTGTGGGAACTGCAATATTAGGAGGATTGCCAATGACTTCGTACTTTACAAAAAACTTGCCGTTTGTCGGGTCCTGTTGTGGAAGATACAGTGGTCCAGTAATGACATAAACATCTGAATATTTTTTTGTCAGATTTCGACAGAAATTCTCAAAATGAGCCCAATAATCACGATTGAAGCCATTGCCGACTTGGGGTGCAATGTTGGATAAATAAAACGTTTCATCCATGGCGTTCTGATTTCTCTTGCAATCCGCTGCAGGGACCATATGGCCACGATCATATCCTGAACGGAAGTAATCCGCTAGATGAGCCTTGTACAGGTCAGGGATGAGGGTATCTTCCATAAAATTATTACCCCGAACAACGCCATCACCTGCTACTAAAGATGCTGCAGTAAGATGTTCAGCGACCCAGTTGGGGTGACGAAATTGGCGCTGTGTATTTTTCATGATAGAAAAGTTGAAGACATGAGTTCAAAATAAAGTTAGTTGATAGGGGCTTTTTTTTTTGCTCATATAAACAATTTTCCTTTTTGGCTCAACTTGGATCGGTTACATTATAAGAAGCGACATATGCCTCTCTTGAAAATACATCGTTCACTGGTCCTATTTTTTTTTTTTTTAAACTCGATAGGTTAGTTATTTGGATAGTGCTCTGATCATATCTGAAAAAAAAAAAAAAAAAAAAAAAAAAAGACAAGGAATGTGAAAAGATACCATACCCGGAAATCCAAAAGGTAAAATCTTGCGCGAATTACCAGCAGGGAGACCTGGAGGGGGGCGTATAACTACAGGGGGTGATGGAGATGGTGAAGAAATATTCGTATTTTTGATGGGCACCTGGGATAATGGTGTATATTGTGGCGTTGGGACAGTCGGCGTCTGTTGCTGTTGCTGTTGGGTCGTCAGGGGTACGGGCTTAGTCTCTTGCTTAGACTTGAAGTAACCACCCATGGCAACAGCACCAATGACGGCACCTCCAGTAAAGATTGCAATGTTCCTGACGACCATGGTGATGTCCTGAGATGGAACAGGTGGGAAGGGGAAGAGGAAGGGGAAGGGAAGGAAAGATAGGATGGATATACAAAAAAAAAGTTGCATTTCGGAAGGTGTGGCTGAGCACGGCAATTTAAAACATTAGACATTACTGAAACTTTTAAGCATGTAAGAAAACGAACATTACATCGACATCAACCAACATCGATAGCATACATATTTCACAGGAAAGACCATTAAATTCATTGGACTGAAGGGAGAAAACTACCATCCACCATGGCTATGGACAATAAGACAGTGCGGGATGCTATCCAGATTCATGGAACAGACCCACAGTTCCTAATTGAAAAGATTCTCAGGACTCGCATATATGAATCAACCTACTGGAAAGAACACTGTTTTGGCTTAACAGGTATGGGATTAATAACGACACGATGCAAGGATACGCATCAACTAGCCTTTTTTTTTATTTCTTCCAGCTAACTGTGATTTGTACTTTGAAAACTTAGAATCCTCAATTATTGAGAAGGCTTACGAGCTTAAGTACATTGGCGGTCAATATGGAGTCCAGAAACCTACAGAGTTCATCTGCCTTGTTCTCAAACTATTGCAAATTCAGCCCCGCGAGGAGATTGTGATCAAGTACATCACAGGCCTGACAGAGTCTGATAATAATAAGTAAGTCGATGGGTTAATATGAAGAAAGACACCACATGTTCCCATGTTCATGTCCTACAAAAAAAAAAAAAACTGACAGTACAGCCTTTTTTTTTTCCCTAGATATCTACGTGCCTTGGGGGCATTTTATTTGCGCCTAGTCGGGAAGCCTGTCGATATCTACAACTATCTTGAGCCTTTACTAGACGATAGTCGAAAGTTAAGAAAGAGGGGTGCAGGTATTTTTTTTCTTTTTTCTTTTCATCAGTTCGGCCATATATAATATATTCTCTAAACTTGTTCAGCTCTAACTTTTTTTTTTTTTTTTTTTTTTTTTTTTTGGTATTGTTAGGAGGATATTCAATTATTCATATGGACGAATTTATTGATGATCTGTTGCGGGAGGAACGTGTTTGCGATATAGTGTTGCCTCGTCTTGTAAAAAGACATGTACTGGAAGATGCTGGAGAGCTGGATCCTAGAATAAGTACTCTTGAAAAACTGGAAATGGAACTGGAAGAGGAAAGAAAAGCTGAAGAGGCAGCGGCAAGGCGCGAAGATGGAGGCAAGAGATCACGCTCGTCTTCTCGCTCTAGATCACGATCTATTAGTCGTAGCCCTAGTCGTAGTCGCAGCCGTAGTGTTAGTCGTAGTCGCAGTCGCAGTCGCAGTCAAAGCCGTAGTCGAAGCAGAAGTAGAAGCGCAGACAGGAGCAGAAGGAGCAAAAGTAGAGGCACAAGTCGGAGCAGGAGCAAAAGTCGGTCGCCCAGCCGCTCAAGATCCCCTCATCGCGATCAACATTCATATTCTGCTGAATTAAGCCGTAGGAACAGGACTGATCGTACTCGCGACCGAAGTCGTAGCACGAGTAGAAGTAGAAGTCCCGATAGGAAGAGACGCGCGTATTAGAGACATCAAAAAACTGTGCAGGAGCAAAAAAATAAAAAAAATAAAAAATAAAAACAGGAGCAATAAAACAGCTTCATTTGACATCATGCAATCACTCTATTTTCAAATCTAAAAGCTACCATGTATTTACTGACACTCCGCGTGCGCAAAGCAACTCCTTCAATGATTCGTTACGTCTGTGGTTTGAATGGAGGCTCCCACATAAATGGATCAACTGGGGCCAACTCTCCAACATCCATAATACATCTCTTTGACTCATTCGCTGGGGGCCGGAGAAGTAAAAATCCCTCAATTGTTTAAGGGCTTTCAGTTGATATAACCCTCTCTTCAACCTCAACTGCAAGGCATTGGGGAAGGAGGGTCCATCTAATTGCCCTCCATCTATTGATGATGAATGGGGTTGTGATCCGCTGCTGTGCAATCGACTAATATCTAGTACTTGCAATTGACGTAAAGTCGAGAGTCGCTCGAAAACAGCCTGGTGGATCATATTTTTCTCTGCTAAACCTTCTTCCTCATCTTCCTCATCTTCCTCTTCTTCTTTCTCTTCCTCATCATCTTTATCCACCTCTCCCTTTTCCAGAGATATGTGATCTCCCAGGCCCGTTTCCATCTGCATCTCCAAGCCCTGCTCGAGATCTCCTTTCTCTTGTTCTTCCTCCTCAACATCCATGTATTCGACTTCAGTTCGTACCACAGTGTATCCAGCTTCAATATTGATTCTCAGGGTTTTAAGCTTCAAGCATACCCAAGGATCCCCCACCAAGATGTCGTAAGCAGAAACAGTGCCTGATATCAGTGTTTCCAGGGCTGGGAATGAAGAAAGAATAATTTGAATCATAGGGCTACGTATCTGTCGACACCCTGACAGGTTCAGCTCCGTGATCATTATGGAATGCTTAAGCACCACAGTAAGAGACTTGGCCCCAAATGCAGAGTTGGGCACCACTAGTTTCTCCAGATTCGATATATCGACCAAGAGTTCGTGAAGGTCACTATCACTCAGCCCCTCAGCATCAAGTTCAATTGAATTCAGTGAACATATTGCTCCGGTCGATCGCATGGATGTTATCGCTGTGCGTGGAAATCTAGTTCCATGACTGCCTCGCCAGACCAAAGATTTTAATTGAGAACAATTCTTTAGGATCCGTTCCAGCTGTACATCTGCACTACTATTAAACTTGAAGAGACCGAGATGTTTCAGCCGCTTGAAGTGAGGATTCAGTGGCGGTGTGACTATGGTCCCTGCCACGCATTCCTGAAACAACAGATGGTTCTCTGACGGAAATGTAATCGATGAGAGTTCTAACCGATTTGCATGGGCAGCAATAGCATACCAAAAGTCTTCCATCAACTCTTTAGGAATATTCATCCCAATAATCGCCAGAGACTCTAAATGAGATACCTGACTGATCGCTCCCCAGAACGCTTTGTCAGGTAATGGTCTAATGCCCATGACCGTTATGTCTTTCAGTCTTGGGTTTGTTTGAAGCAAATAGGTCAGTTGGTCAATGTCATTGCGGGTATTGTTCAGGGTTCCACTCTCAACTGTGCACAAACATTGGCTTGAGATGAACAAACGCTCCAGTTGTGTGCATCCGATGGAAAGAAAGGGCGAAGAGATTAGACCATAAAAATTGAGACGCCGAATCAAATGGGCGTGTTTGCGCAGGATCATTAGGGGAATCTTGGGTGACATTGAGCAGTCAGAGGAATGAATGTGAACCCAAACCATGGGCAGAAATACCCGATACCAAGTACGGGAGACTTGGAGACAGACGCAATGTGTTGCCCTGGGAAGATATCTACCGACATGAGCTAGGATCTCCGGTAATTCGAAGATGGGATACTGAGCGATGGCCATGATGAGAATTAGATGTAGTTCGGTTGCAGTCTGTTGGGGAGTTACTATCAAAGGCTATACTCCAAAGCAAGCTCATTTTTCGCCCCCAATGGCTTTTTCTTGGCAACAGGCAAAAAAGGGCTGCAATCTTGTACGCACAAGCCCACAGCCTAAAAAATTAAACTAGGGGAAACAGACGTGTTGGAAACATTTCATCTGAGATACTGGTAACACGTTGCAACTGTATGCAACTGTTCCTGAACCTGCATTTGCACTTGAACCTCCGCATTTATCACTACAGATCTACATCATTAATTCATCAATCTTGAGCACTGAACTGAATTGACACACGCGTTAAAAGCCCGGTGCTTGGCACCTACAGCTAGTTAGGCATTGAAGCGACAGTTGGCCTGATCTCTTTCCCCAACAAGATGGGAATAAGAGAATGGTAAAAACATTTGATCATATCCATTCATAGCCATATAAAAGGCAGACTTCTTTTCCATTTCCTCCTTATGTACCTAACGCTTTCCACTTCACACATACACGCTCATCTCACCACCACTATCACCAAACCAACATAACCAATACTAACCTACTTTATAGTGGGTGAATCTGTATCTTTAAGCTGTGTATCTGTGTATCCGTATATCCATAATGTTTGGTAAAATCAAAACACAAGGGCCTAATAAGACTCTACCATACACATATTCATTGGGACCAGTAGTGAACCAAAGGCAATCAACTTCTTCCTCTTCATCCGCCCATGCTTTTCTTTCTGCACACTATTACGACCACAATCAAAGTCAAATGCCAGATCTACAGCATCCTCAAGAGCTCCATTCATCTTATCCGCTCCAATCCATAGTGAACTCTAAACAACAACAATTAAAAAACAATTACCAACGGCACCAAGAACAACACAATCTCTCCAATGATCTTGCTTGTTTTGGCTTTAATGAACAGCGACCCACTACTACTCCACTACCGCCAGTTAAAGGGGCCTTACTTGAGTCGCCACCGATGCTGGTTGACTTCTCAAGCGTCACACCAACGACTCGCTACCAAGTTCGAGCTCTTGCTCGTCGCGCTTTGTCGTTTCATGTACGCCAGCGATCCCTTAATATATGCTGTCTATTTATTTGGCCGGCTATGCTGGTCCTTATCTGCTTTATCTTTTCCCTCATTATTACGTCTGCAGGAGAGTATGAGGACGGAGATGATGATACCCATGACATTACCAAAGATGGCTGGAAGGGCATGGCCCGATTCTGTGTGAACGAAGCTGACCCGCATCGATCACTCGCTTTCAAACTTTACAAACTGCCGTTGCCCCACGCAGGTGAGGGCGTTTTGAACGTTGGATGGTACCCAATTTCTTATACGATGGTGTCAAGGACGGATGACTGGAATGGTATCCTCCCCTGTGCTAGATGGTTCGGAGAAAGGTACCCGATCGGAGGCAAAACCCCCTACGAGAACGCGTCAATAGCCGATGCCACTCTCCCCGACAGGTAATGAGTGGTAAAAAGACTCCCTACTGAAATATCTAATCCTTATTCCGACTTTGATACCCCAAGTTCTGTACTGAATATCATGTTATTTAACATAGTTATTACGCAATCCCTCCACCGGGCGGATGGTTCAAAGTTGGGCAAGATAGAGAGAAATTCCTTTTGGGTAAAGACCCGCGCAAGCTGGAAACTATGCCTGCAATCTTCAATATGACCTCTATAAATCAAACAGTCTACTATACAACCGCCAACGAACAGATCACTGCACTCCTTGGCGCCCTTCCTGATGTCACTCATCTATTTACATCAGAAAAATGGCCTCCAACGGATCCAAAGGTCGTGTATAATGCCACAGCCAAGCCCGGGTCAGGCCTCTTTGGTCAAATCCCTATTCGATACGCCAGCACAACAAAGCCTCCCACTCGAGATGGAAGCACAGCGCAGAGAAATAAAAGTGCTACGGCTGACGGCATGATAGCAGTTTATTATAGCTCAAGTCCATATCTTATCAAACTGGCAGATCAAAATAACGCTGATCAAACGATCCAGAGCCTTGTTACTGGCCTGAGCCTTCGCGGAAATAGTAGTCGCGAATTTGAAAACATGCCATTTGGGGCGATTGCTTTCGAAGCCCTAGATATTCAAGCTTCCAGTCTCAAAATGGTCCTGCAGTTTGGTCAACCTCTTATTGAAACTGTCCCGGGCTCAAACAAGAGGAATGGATGGGTCTCCTCGACTACGCCTTCTGGTCTCAGGCAGATGATTACCATGACACAAATGAGTCAAGCGATAGTCAAGGAGAAATTTGGAGGAAAGTATCGTATCTCCCAAAGTATAAAGGCATTCCCATTTGAATGGTCAACCGAAGCGCTCAAGGGGTACTCTTTAAACTTGCTTTCGATCCAACTATTCCCATTTGGCTTGTCCGTATTGTTACCTACACATGTAGGAATCATGGTCTTGGAGAAGGAGAATCGACATCGTATGATGATGGCTATGGTATGGTCGGAATTATTGTTACCGTTGTTATTGTTATTGTTATTGTTATTATCATTGTTATTCATAAAGAGAGTGACAAAAACAAACGTTTATAATCCTGATGACCTATATTATTACTATTATAGAACGGTTTGAAAGTGTGGTCCTACTTTTTAGCTCACTACTTTGAGTTCCTGACCATGCAGCTTATCGCATCATTCTCTTTCGCTGTGGCCTGCGTAGTTGTCCGAGAGCACTTTATTTGGCGTACCTCCCCTTGGATTACATTTCTTCTTCTTCTTTTATGGGCGCATGTTCAGGCGACGATGGCACTAGTGTTGTCATCCATCTTTTCCAATACACGCAAGGCCACTATGACTGTGTATTTCTTTGTCGCAGTGTCATGTATCATGATCGGTGTCTCAGACCGAATGTTCAAGGATGGAGCCCCTTCCGTATGGTATATTCACCCGAGCTTTGCGTTTTTTGAAATCATGGAAGCCATGATCCGCCACGCCAGTCGCGTCAACGGGCTATATCCCTTAGTAGCTAAGGATTTTGCGCCTGGCACAACCTTATTCAAGTTGACCATGATGCTTGTAGGCGAGAGTATTTTGTTCTTGATCTTGACTTTGTAAGTACTGATGGAATCTGGTTGGCTCATTCTGTTGTAGTTTCCTTACTTGTACTCGGCGAAACTGACAATGGGCAACTACCCTTTCCTTATTTATTTTTACTAGTTACCTTGACGCAGTAACACCTTCAGAGTATGGTATTCATCGACCATGGCACTTCCCTATCACTTACTGGTTCAAGAAATCACAGAACCTGAAGTTCTCACAGGAAAGTACGTTCCAGAGTGAGAGCGAGGTGATTCAGGACGAGCTCGAGGGGTCCGGTGACGCAGATGCATATGCTGAGCGTGAACGTGTGAAATCCGTTTATCAGCCATCGACCACACCCTTAATCATCGATAAGCTCTTTCACCAGTATCCAAACAAAGCCGAGCCCGCATTGAGAGGTCTCTCATTAGGTGTTGAAAATAACACTGTCCTCAGCTTACTTGGACCTAATGGCGCAGGAAAGTCGACATTGATTCACTTGTTGACTGGATTGTATAGCCCTACATCAGGCACAGCCTATGTGGCCGGACATAACATCCACACAGACATGTCAACGGTTCAGTCCAAAATGGGTGTCTGTCCGCAATATAATATCCTCTGGGATGAACTCACAGTCGCAGACCATTTGTTGTTTTACTCTCGGCTGCGAGGAGTGCCTCCAAGCCTAGAACAACAGGCAGTCAGCCATGCATTGGCGTGTGTGTCTTTGACACGATTCCGAAACCGGGCTGTCAGTGGGCTATCTGGAGGTGAGAAACGCCGTGTCTCGATCGCAATTGCTCTCTTGGGTGACAAACAGGTGATTTTCCTGGATGAACCTTCAACCGGGTTGGATCCTGAGGTGAGAAGGGTTATCTGGGATGTGATCCAACAGGTGAAGGTCGGCAGGACCATTGTTTTGACAACCCATTCCATGGAGGAAGCTGATATCCTATCAGACAGGATCGCAATCATGACAACAGGACAGCTTAGATGTGTAGGAACATCCTTGCACTTGAAAGGATTGTATGGAACGGGGTTCAAACTTGATGTGACAAGCAAGCCTGGACGACTAGAGGAAGCATGCAGAAGCTTGGAGCAAGCTGAGGGCGTATTAAAGGGCAAGAAATTCAGGAGAGTTGATAAATTTACGAACGCCACCACTTTTGAGTTTGAACTCGGAAATGCAACCGATGGTAGTAACAGACAGGACTTATCGCTAGCGGCAGCTGCAACTCAAATGTCCAAAATGGGCCATGAAGGGCTCTCAACGATCTTTGCAAATCTGTCCCAAGCAGATCGATTCCCGGCAATCGAAGACTGGGGAATTTGTCAAACAACACTCGAGGACGTGTTCCTTCGGATAGTAACCAGCGGACCATCTGCTCTTGCAGCGCCAGCTATAATCAACCATGAGCCGTTAGAGACGTGAAGATTGTTTTTTTTTTTTTTTTTTTTTTTTTTTTTAGAAAAAAAATAATAATAATAATAATAATAATAATAATAATAATAATAATAAAAACACTTGGCTACGAGAAGATCATATTCCTGATAAATCTTTTATTTACAATAATGGCATTAGCTATTTCGGTTGTCTCGATCATTGAGACCTTGTGTACTGATTTATACAGCTTAAGCATCCGCTACGGGCACAGCGGCGCCGCCTTCATTCTGAGCTGCTGCTTCTTCATCAGCAGCAGCAACAGGTGCATATCCTTCCATTTGTCGAATCTCAGTGGCCAATGCGTGAACTGAAAGAATAGTCAATCCACACAATACTATCGTGCCTAACAGTGCTAAAACTACAACGCCAATCCAGAACCATGCAGCACTCATCGGGTCAGGATCGCCAGGAAGCAAAACGCGATCGATCACATAAACAACGCCACCAGATCGAGGTGCTGTCTTTGAGTCAACAATGTTTTCCTTGTTACCATCAACAGCAAATTGTTGTCTAATACCATAGCCAGAGAATCCAGCCTTGCGATATTCTTCATCGGACCAAGCAGGATGAGCATAACCAGCGTCCACAACCCTTGCTTCCTTACTCGATCGGGCGCCTTTGACTCGGACTCCGAACGTCTTGCCGTCATGGTGAATGTCCCTAAAGCTCAGTCTTGAATCCGAATTCAACATGCTTGCCTCATCATAATCGATATCTTCTTCCAGCTTAAGCACCTTTCCCGGGATGACATGTAACCTAACTAAGCGCGCAGCAAAATCCCAGTCATTCAATGCACCCTCAAGAAGTCCGGCCTTTTTGAAGGCTTCATCTGTGGGAGCAAAAATAGTGAAGTCTTGTTCCCAACTGGTCAATATGCGGGTGATGTTTGAAGTCTCGAATGCGCCTAAAAAGGTATTTGTACCAGCTCCTTGTAACAGATTGTACAGTGTAATTGCGAGCGTTGGCGGCAATGCAACTGCTGATACTTTGTGGATCACGCCTGATTTGACCAAGATATCTACAAATGTACATCAATCCTAGGGTGAGTGTTGGTAAAAAAAATAGAAATATCACAATAGCAAAGCCTTTCGATGTGGAAACGATAATACTTACCATCAGCAATGACCTGGCCGCCAACCTGTTCAGACCGTTCTAGTCGTCCCTCTCCAACGTAAATAGTGCCTGACTTTTTTTCCACTACAAGTTGGCTTCCTTCTGACGTCCTCAAAAGTGTTGACCCTTGCTTGAAGCCGGCCGTGTAGCGAATGTCTTCTACAATAGCATAACGGACAACAGATTCCAAGGCAGAAAATGAACTGTCATTGAGTAGCAAGTAATTTTTGACTAACCCCAGGCTTTCCCAAGCTGATGTGCTTGGCGCAAACACGGTCACGCCACGTGCGTCCGACAAACGTTTGTCCAAGCCAGTAAGCGACAGAGCATCCATATATCTGGCAAGTGACTCATCATGCTTTATAGTCTTGACTAGAGACTTTGGTAGCTCTAGGGTTTTAGAGATTAGGTAGATGATGGACTTGCCGATTTGAACTATATATATACATATATTTTTTCCCAATAAAAAAAATGAGAAAAGGTGATTAGAGTCAGAGCTCTTGATACAAAGAAAGTAAAGATAGGATATCTCAAACAGTAAAGAGGTATACCTGGTTCCCCTTTAATTTCCACTTCGTCAATTAAAAGTGTTTTCCGCTTGTTCTCCTGCTTAATCTGGATTTTAGATTTTTGTGCTTTTCCATTCAAAAATTCAGTGTAAAGCTCAGTATCCAATAGTTGGCCATCTTGGAAATTGGGCTGGAGCTTTTTACCAGGGACCACATGGTATTGTAGTAAATCTTTTAGGACTGTGTCCGGATCGAAAATATCGTCCTGGGGCGCAAAGATGGTGTAACTTGCTTCGGGATCGTCAATATACCGACTCAATCCTGCATCTCGAAGACTGTCGACAAATTTGGTTGCGTTCAATCCCACAAGATACTTTGCGGGTGTCCAGACAAGTGAGCTCGGCAGCAGCGGAAGCGATACCATGTGAATCACACCATTGGACGAAAGAATATCCGTTCGTACAACCTCAGCATTATCAATCAGTAGTTTATCACTCTCTAGACTGATCATCAACTCTTGCCCTTCCAAGGTAGATACACTGCTTGTGCCTGGCTTGATGTCTTGCTTATAGAGCGTACCAGCATGGATATGGTGATGAAACGTGATTTCTAGATCGTTGCGACCCTGTGGATGACGTAAGTATTGCACTTCAATATCATTCAATTTCTTGAGAGCGTCGGTAGTGGGTGCAAATACAGTGAAGGGCCGGTGCTGTTGGAGTAGGCTGTCTAGCCTCGCTGTGTGGACAATATTGAACAGCAATGACAATTCATCATACTGCTGTATTGTTTCCGCTATAGAACGAGAATATTTTTTATAAGCATGCAAGATTAGAAGCTAATTGAAACATAATTATAATCCCTTCTTCTGTAGGGACAAATCGATCAGCATGTACTCTTATAAACACACACATTTGTTAACATATGGGGAGGAAACTTACTGATAATCTCTGGTGGAGTCAAAAGGCGATCCACCACATGAACAACACCATTATCAGCCGCCCAGTCATGTTCCAACAATTCTGCACCACCAATGAGCAGACGAACCTTTCTTCCAGGTCTCCAGCTAGGCTTGGTGACCTTAATCAACTGGCCCTCTGAATGGTTTCCCAGAAAGCCTTCTTTGACGAGCAAGGTCTCGAGCAGCATGTCACCCTTGAGATCTGTTGTGAGAGTGCTATCTGGCAAGAGGTGATACATCAATGTCTGCTTATCCATGCGCTTGCCTTTGTTTTCATCATCCCATTTAGCAAACGCAGCATTGGTAGGAGCAAAGAAGGTGCATTTTTCGCGTTTGTTAATAAGGACTATCAATCGGAGTCTCTGCAGCTCTTTGATTAGGCGTGAGAACGCGGGGTCAGAGGAAATGACATCAATGACAGTCTTTGTAGCATGCGATGGCATAGCTACTATGAAAATGTAAGTAACAAACAGCAAAAATAGCCGTGCTACTTTTGACATGCAAAATGTTCTCATGGCGACTTTGCAAAGGTGGATGTTCTCAAGAAGTGTGTGAAAAAAAAAAAAAAAAAAAAAAAAAAAAAAAAAGAACATGTAACAAATGTCAATGGGCCACATGTTAGGCTCGAACAGAGAGGGAAGCTTGCATTCTACACGTGCAAGCCAAATTTTGTTGCCTTTTATGGGCAACGACATTTTGCTTTCCTCTCAAGCTGGGAGCAAACTCGGCCTTCTACTCTGCTCTGGCGATCATGAATAAATTTTGCTCTGCTACCAAGTGGATCCGTATCTTCTTGATAGTGAGCCAGTACATGAAGAGAGAAAAGCAAGAATGAGAGAGAAAAGGGGGGAGGGGGGATATATATGGTCCCGGCTCTCGGATAATAAGCCTAAGTCGTTATATTATTCAACTTGAGCAAAAAAGTCAGGGTCCAAAGACAGCAATGTTCAGCGCTCCGCTCTTTCCGTATGAAGTCCCAGGTTGTAATGAGCCTGTTCTTCATTAGATAGTGATACTATCGAGTTTGTAAATCGAATTCTCATCTCCATATTTTCTTCTATGATCATCTGCTGTGAAAAACTACAAGACTTCATGATTATTGACAGGAGAATAGAGGACGAGAACGAACAAAGACTAGCACCTGTGAGACAAAACCTCAGATGGAGAAGCAGGTCTGTCAAGTAGACATCCTTGAAAAACGATATCTTCTTTGAGAAACTTTGAGATACTGCACTCGTAGTTACTTTGATACTTGTGATGTATACGCTCAATTCATGGCCTGGTGGAATGAATATAAACAGTGTATCGTACTGATGTACTAAGCATACCAACATGGGTTTTCTTTTTTTTCTGAAATAGAGAAATGAAAATGCTGACATGATAGCAAAAAACTATATCAGTCCCATGTATATCACCGCAAGGAATATCTTGCCTCAAATGAAGACGCTCATCATACAATGGACCACTTCATTTCGTAGGATCACTTGTAAGAGAAAAATACAGCTTTGGTTGTTTCCGTGTTTCACATGTTTTATTGTCGTTCACACTTTCTGAGCATGGATGTTAAGTAATTGAATGCTGTTATATGGATACTTCACAAACCATAACAGTTACCATCCCTTCCAATACCACAAGAGTGTTTACATCCCGAACATTTCCTGTTGAAAAAGAGGAGACCCAAATCAAAAGATTCGTGTTATGGGGATGACAACTTGATGATCTTAGAGCCATAAAGGCCCCCATTTTAAAAACAATTAGCGCCGAAGATCTAGAACTATTGAAAAAGAGCATTTGCCAACAATCTTCTATTAAAGAACTGCATGAAGATCGTACCCATTATGGCCAATAAAAGATCTAAAATAATAAATTTTACTTTTCCTCATGACACCACACTGGGCGGAAAGTCATTTCAGCAGAAGAGGGATTGGTAATGTTGTAACTCGGTCGTAGGTGAAGGTTTGCCTATCTTGTATGTCCTCTCATCAAAGACGCCTCTTTTCGGGTATAATAATATTCATCTAAGAGATGCCTCGTTTATAAGATAAAGGAAAACAAGAACAAATATCAGGCACCAAAAGCAGAAGTCTGCAAGAAATGAGGCCTGAACCAAGAATACTTCATTATAGTAGAAACATTAAATCTCTATTTATGATACCATTGATTATACGGCAGCGGCAGGTCTGTTTACATCCTCATTGTTATAAAGATAATAGTAGTAAAAAGATATGAAAGAATAATTAGTGCAAGTGCTGGATTGCTCCACGAAGCAACATGTAAATCAGGTATCAATCAAATATTAATAGCACATTCACAGATATAATTATACTCTTGCCTTTTTTTCACGAGTGTTCGAAAGCGAGAGTGTCCAAATGTTCTGGAGACGCGCCTTTGATACAGGGTGGACATCTAATGGTGTAGTCTTTCTTGCTTTTTGTCCTGTCCCCACTTTTGTTAACCTTTTCTGCTACTTCTCTTCTTCGTTAGTATTTCGTTTACTTTTTTTTTGCATTTCGTTATTTGGTGTTTTCTTTTCTTACTTTTACTTTCATTGACTTCTTGGTACTTACCTACTTACCTGAGACTGTCCACCCTACCACCCTATACAGTCCCTTACCCTTGAAGAAAAAAAATATAAAAAAAAACTTCTTTCCCGGTATTCGCTTTCTTTCCTGTACTTTCGTTTGCTTTCACTTTTTTGCTATGCTTCTGTTTGTTTCTCTTTCTACTTTCTTGTCATGCTTTCGTTTGTATTTCTTTAACGCTTGTTATCTTTTGACTCATTCTTCTTTGCTGGTTCTCTTTCTTACTATCCTTTGCTAGTTCATTTCCTTGTTATTCTTTGCTGGTTCACTTTCTTGCTATGCTTTGCTGGTTCACTTTCTTGCTATCCTTTGATACTTCCTTTCTTATTATTCTTTGCTGCTTCACTTTCTTGCTGCGCTTTGATGGTTCATTTCCTTGTTATCCTTTGGTGCTTCCCTTGTTATCCTTTGGTGCTTCCCTTGTTATCCTTTGGTGCTTCCCTTGTTATCCTTTGGTGCTTCCCTTGTTATCCTTTGGTGCTTCCCTTGTTATCCTTTGGTGCTTCCCTTGTTATCCTTTGGTGCTTCCCTTGTTATCCTTTGGTGCTTCCCTTGTTATCCTTTGGTGCTTCCCTTGTTATCCTTTGGTGCTTCCCTTGTTATCCTTTGGTGCTTCCCTTGTTATCCTTTGGTGCTTCCCTTGTTATCCTTTGGTGCTTCCCTTGTTATCCTTTGGTGCTTCCCTTGTTATTCTTTGCTAGTTCATTTCCTGTTATCTTTTGATGGTTGCTTTTTTGTTATCCTTTGGTGCTTCACTCTCTTGTTAGCCTTTGATGGTTCACTTCTTTTTTACGCTTCCATATTTTATCCTTCAATGCCTCACTTGGTTGCTACGCTTTCATTTCTTTCTTCCATGCTTGGCTTTCCTGTTATGCTTTCATCTCTTTTTCGGTACTTCACTTTTGTTATCCTTTTCTATGTTATCCTGGGCGCATCTCTTTCGTGTTATGTTCTATTACGCTTTCCTTCATTGCTTCGCTTTCTTGTTATTTTTTCATTTGCTTTTCTCGACACTTCACCTTTTTACTATGCTATCCTTTGTTTTTCTTCCCTGCTTCACTTCCTTGTTATGCTTTCTTTCTTGCTGCTTCACTTCCTCATTTGTTTTCCTTGGCTCGTCACTTTTTAAATATACTTTCATGTACTTCTCTTCGACGCTTCACTTTCGAGTTATCCTTTCCTTTGTTTCCCTTCGATACTTCGCTTTCTTACGTTGTTTTCATTTGTTTTCTCCCTTTTCTTATTATAGCTTCCTTTTCTTATTATAACTTCCTTTGTTTCTCTTTGTGTGTGCGTGTATGTGTGTGTTTTGTTTTCCTTGTTATACTTTCGTTTGTTTCCCTTCTGTGCTTCTCTTTCTTATTATGCTTTCATTTGTGCTTCCATTTCTTTTTTGTTTTCTTTTTTTTTCTTTTCTTTTCTTCAGTGCTTCCCCTCCTTGCTATATCTTACATTTGTTTCCCTTTTGCTTTTCTTTCTTATCATATTTTCATTTATAGGTGCCGACATTTCTTACATATATTTTTGTTTGTTCTTTTCCCTCGCTTTACTTCTTTGCTATGCTTCCGTTTGTTCTTTCTCGACTTTCCCTTCCCCTTTCTTTCTCTCTCTCTCTCTTTTTTTTTCTTATTTGCTTTCACTTACTCTTCCTATGTGCTTCTCTTCCTTAGTTTATTTTCATTCGCTCTTTCTCGGTGTTCCTTTCTCTTTCTTATTTCTCTTTCTTTTGTTGGTTACTTGCCGCTTCTCTTCCTTACCTTACTTTCTCTTACCTTACTTTCTCTTACCTCTCGCTGCTTACCGCTCTTGGGGGTTATTTTGCCTTTGGTATAGTACGGAGACAAAAAGTATGTAGTTTAGTATAAAGTAGTGACGGCAAGAAAAGGCAACGCTCGTGTTTGAGCGAGAGTTGGTGATGACATAAAGAGGCACAGGGAGAGACAGAAGAAGTGTGTGCGTGTGTGCTTGTGTGTGAATGTATTTGACAAAGGACTGCGATCGAGACTTACTTTTCAAGAGGTGGGGGGTGGAGAGGTGGAGAGATAAAGAGGTGGAGAAGTGAAGAGGTGAAGAGGTGAAGAGGTGAAGAGGTGAAGAGAAAGGAAGAGAAAAAAAAAGGAAAAAAAAAAGAAAGAGCGAGCTTAAAATGAGAGAAAAGCGTCATTCTCCCAATCTCACTCGTCGCCACCATTTCTCCTTATCTTTGTTGAAAGCGGACATAATTATCCGAATATAGGCGAAATGAAAGTGATTGGACGCCATTTTGAAACAGCATGAAATTCAAAGAAAGGGTGGATGGAAAACTGTCGGCTTGGACAGCCCGGAAGCGATCCCGTTGCCTTTCATTGCGACATTTTTCGCATTTGTTGACGTAATAAGCGAAAGTGATACGACATTGAGAAGAACGAAGCAAAAAGCATCGAAGGTATTAAACTTAATGACTATGAGTAGACACTACTCACACCACGACTTTTGACCCCAGACTTACACATCGTATGCTTTTTTTGCGATCGCATTTTCTTAAGGAACAAAAAAAAAAATTGATAGAGAAAGATGCATTAATTTTTCATGCATCTTTGGGTGTAGCCACACTTTCATTACATCTCGCTCTTCTCTCTCTTTTATCGCTTCTAAAAGTATAATAGACAAGGATCCAGGCTTGTCATAGACTCTAGTTCCTTCTAGTTTCTGATTGAAAGTAATACAGTGTGTTCAGGTCTGCTACAGTATCTGGTAGATGCTTTTCATGGAGCCCATCACCTTTCTGGCCCATGTCCCAAAGGTAAGCCTGCCTTATTTTTCGTTATGACCATCTTGTTGAGCGAGCAACAACAAGCAACACGTAAAAAGTATGTAACGTGTGTGTCGAGGAAAATATTATATCCAAGCTCTGCAGGGCCTTCAGGGCCTTCAATACTTTTGATTCAACACCTTCATTACTATTGTATTTAATTCTTCGCATTAAATTTATTTATCCCTCTTTCAATGCTTTCCCTACCTTCACGTACATTATTCCTTTTGCTTCATGTGACAATGTAATGACATCAACCGGAAGATGCTTTTGCTTTTAAAGCAACGACTATTGCCATATTCGGATAATTATGTCCGCTTTCAACAAAGATAAGGAGAAAATGGTGGCGACGAGTGAGATTACCCAAGAAATCATGCATGGATATTCAGCGAATAAACAAGAATGCAAGAATAGCAAAATGGTGTCTGTTGGACAATGTAAACACTTTAAGGTTTGGTGGTAAATGTGGTGCAAACATTTTGATGATGACTGACATAAGGATTGGAGCTGTGTGTCACCAAGGAGTACCCACCATCCCGCCTAGTGCAGGTTGCCGGTTCACACAGCAAGATAGTGCTTACTTTGAGTATTGCTCCATGGTGCTCCTCATTTATACTTGTGCAGGAGACAATAGAACAGGGAAATAAAGTGCTTCTCAATATATATATAATATTGAAGCCCTCTCTTCCAAAGCCAGTTGTTCATAACATAACAATAGGCACCAGAACCCCTCATTTTCGGAGCAGTAATTAATAAGTTCACCCTCCTATCATCTAAGCAATGCCGCCTCTACTAAATTTTTCAATTTTCGGAGACTGCATTTTAAAGCTTTTTTTTTTTTTTTTTTTTTTGTGTGAATACTTTTTATTAAGAGATTGCTTGCTATCTAGCTATCTAGCTTACCTGGTTACTATCCTAAGCTACAAGAAGCCAGACTCTTAGCCACCTTGGAAAGCGCTTTTTCTTTGTCACCATCGAAAAGACTCTCCAAGATGTTGTCCGGAGCACACCACGTGGAGGTGGTCTGGCATATCGTGCTCCGTTGGTCAGGCCCCATGGCCTTGCAAACGCCCGCACACACACACATTTATTTACCCATCCCATCTCCATTCCCATTCCCTTTCCCATTCTGGACCGAAGGGGCTCCGCCATCGCAAGGCTCGTTAAAGAACCAGCTTAGGCTCATGCCCGTTCGGACCTACCTTAGATATGCATTGGTTATTGCACCTTGGATGTGCATTGTTGCTATGTTAAAAAGTGCTTTGTGTTGTGTTAGTAAGGGTTTTTTTTTTTTTTTTTTTTTTTTTTTTTTTTTTTTTTTTTTTTTTTTTTTTTTTTTTTTTTTTTTTTTTTTTTTTTTTTTTTTTTTTTTTTTTTTTTTTTTTTTTTTTTTTTTTTTTTTTTTTTTTTTTTTTTTTTTTTTTTTTTTTTTTTTTTTTTTTTTTTTTTTTTTTTTTTTTTTTTTTTTTTTTTTTTTTTTTTTTTTTTTTTTTTTTTTTTTTTTTTTTTTTTTTTTTTTTTTTTTTTTTTTTTTTTTTTTTTTTTTTTTTTTTTTTTTTTTTTTTTTTTTTTTTTTTTTTTTTTTTTTTTTTTTTTTTTTTTTTTTTTTTTTTTTTTTTTTTTTTTTTTTTTTTTTTTTTTTTTTTTTTTTTTTTTTTTTTTTTTTTTTTTTTTTTTTTTTTTTTTTTTTTTTTTTTTTTTTTTTTTTTTTTTTTTTTTTTTTTTTTTTTTTTTTTTTTTTTTTTTTTTTTTTTTTTGAGGATTTGTTCCGGAGGCTTTGTTTTTTGCCTGGATGGACTGTTCGACCTCTCTTTGGTTTCGCCTTTTGCTGTGGCGCCGACTTTGGTACCAGTGCTTCCAGACCACCGTGGGAAGTGGCCTAGCTGCTTGATTTGGGTTGTTCGTGAACCTTGGCCATCATCCCAGATGGGTGGGCTGGGCTATAGGCCGTGGAGAAGGCCGTCGTTCGACTGCGGAGACTTTGAGGGCCGTTTAGAGCGTGTGTTTGGAGCGTGGCCGTTTGGAGCGTGGCCGTTTGGAGCGGCTGAGCGTGGCCAGTTGGATACGGCTTTTTGTTGGAGTGCGGCCGTTCGAGGATGGGTGCCTGAGCATGGCAGCCTGGCTGTGCGTTATGAAGCCCCAGTTGCTTTAGGCAACTTCATGTCGTTGTAGTCTAATCGTGGAAAAAAAAAAGAGAGAGACAACCAGAAAGAAAATAATCAGAACAAGGACAGTGAAGCACAGAGTGACAGTGTTGAGAACTTCAGTAAGAGTGATTGTTTAGGGAGTGTTGCTTACCTTTTTGTCTTGGTTGTGGAGGCCGATGGTCGAGGAGACCGAGGAGAAAGAGAAGAGAAAAGAAAAAAAAAAGAAGAGAGTCAAAATAGGTCCTTTTTATATTGGTTCTTATTATTATTTTTACGTTCGCGCAAGAAGAGAGAAGGGCCGAGGAGTGATTGGCAAGCGGTACTAAGTACTTGCTTGCTGTACGCTCAAGAGCGACCAATAAAATATCAACAAAAAAAATTAAAAAATAAAAATTAATATACGTGTCTTTGATGTCATCTGTCATATTTCATATGATATAAGAAGAGACTCTCACGATTGAAAGTGGAATAAATGCTCTGTCTCAAGACTCATAAGGAAACCTGTCTATAAACAACCAGAGCATGAACTGTATTGCTCTCGAGCTTGTTTACTCTTATGATAAAGGAGATCATCTTCTTATCCTCTTCTTCTATTTCCTTTCTTCACTCCTAACAAAGAGATGGGAATAGACTGTCGTTGGGCTGTACTTTGGCAGCTTGCCGTTTTTCCAGAGTGTGGTGGAAAATAACACATGACATTCGTCAGAATACCTCTCGCCCTTTTTTTTTTTTTTATTTTTTTATTTTATTTTTTATTTTCATGCAATACAATGTAGAATATATAAAGATTTGAAGGTGAAACAAAGTATCAACGTTTATATATCGACCAGTAAAAGCACACGATCGTATCGAGGAAATGACGTGTCGTATCTCTTTGGCTCTTTGAAAAGGAAAATAAGGAAAAGAAAAAAGGAAAAATGTCTGTTTGAACAAAAACTGCCGCAGCACAGTTCCACGACAATGCATCCTATTCTTTGTTAAGGATGAAGAGAAAGAATGGGAGAAGAGAGTCAAATAGCAAACTGATCCTCTTACTCAGCATAACACTCAGCTCTCAAAGAAACGACGATATAAAAAGAAACAAAGACAAAGAGAAATAGAAGACAAGCAGTATAGCACGGCAAGTGCGATCATAGATTTAACTATAGCAGCAATAGCGACTACCTCATCGTCAATTATTATGGTATCACACTCCGTTGCTACCTCAGGACCTTCCCCTCGTCATGCTACTGTCAAAAAGACCCAACCGAACCTAATCAGCAACAGTATTGGTGGCAATAACAGTGACGCCAAGGATGATGCCACTAAAGCCTTGACAGTCTTTACTTCTGGATCAAGTGCCTTCCGTACTAGAAATATTATGGAAAGCTATACCCCAATGGTCCCACCGTCGTTAAATGCCAACACAGCTAATGGCGCGTCGTCGTGCTCGTCGTGGACGCGGTCATTCAAGTATAGCAACTGCAGCCCCAACGCACTGTTGTCAAATGCCCATACAGCTAATGATTGGTCATCGTCCTCGTTGTGGATGCGATCAATCAATTATAACAATCGCAATTCCAACACACCACTGTCAAATACCAATACAGCTGATGATGCGGCGTCGTCCTCGTCGTGGATGCAGTCAGTCAATTATAACAGCCACAATTCTAACCGAATTCACAGAAAGTTTATACGTGGTCCAGTAACTAGATTGGAAACAATATGGGAATCAATATGGGAATCTGAACCATACTTTGTGCCCCAGGCAAAAGATAATGAGGCAACTGCAAAATCGGATTGAAATGGCATAACTTCTGCTCATATACATTCTTCTCACGATACAACATCAAACAGCCTTTTTACCAACAGTGATATCATCGACATCAGTTAAACTCATTGCTTCACAACCTGACAGCGTTATCTAGACTGATGCAGTAAAGGACTCCACAGCTTTGGTCAGCGCAAAGCCCAGACTTCGTGAGCAGGAAACATCCAAAAGAGAAAGTAAGCGTATGAAACATTATGCAACTAAGGATTCTAGCTCTAAGCTTAAAACAGAAACAAAAACAGCAACAGCAATAGCGGCAGTGGCAATCCTGCAAACACCATCGACATCTTCACTTTTTATGTCCGGATTCAAAACAACAAGAGAGTTCAAAGAGTAACAATGTGACA